AAACAAATGTGCATATTGAAAATTTCTCAAATATTTTCCTTCTTAACCACAGACAAGAGTGGAATCTGTTCAGTCTGTATTTCGGTATGGATTTGATTAAGTATGACATAAAGACCAAATATGAGCATAAAGTATTTCTTATATACGTCAATGCTTTAAAATGTATGGTTCAATATTCTATATTAAAATTTTTAAACAATCCTTTATTGATTAACTGCTAGCTTTATGAAAATAGTGTATCTAAAGAATTATTACATGTTTCACATACTTGCATTGAAATCAAAATTAAGTAGAATATTCTTCATCAATGTTGTAATCATTTTATATGCTGCAATGTATAAGAAAAATTAATTTTGCTGCAAAAATTTTTCATAAAAATGTAAGGAAAACTCTAAAATATTTGAAAAGTTATCTTAATAATAAATAAATAAGTTTAAATTACCTAATATTTTTCTGGTGAAATAACAGCACTGATTAAATTATTTTATTTAGAGCTGCATTAATTTTTCTAAAAATCTTTCGCTGAGTAAAATATACCTTACCTAGTGCTGTCATTTGCTAAAAATGTTATCAAATAATATACAATTTAAATTTTATTCTCTTTTTCTTAATTTTAAAACAATTTACTGCTATTAAAGAGAATTTTTTAGTGTTTTATTGACTCTGTTAACAGCATGAATGGGCAATAGTCTTTATTGGTTCAATAAAATATCTTTTATGTAACTTAAGTCCATTTTTCAGGTTACTGGACATACATTATATAACATGTTGAAACTTGAAGAAAGCCTTGTTGATCAAGATGACAGGCCTTTGTACCCTCATAAAATAATTTCAACGGAAGTAAGTCGGACTCAATAAACTGATTTAATAACTGAATTATAACACTAATTTCATCTTGATATTATCTATTAATCTTTCATTTTATTTTTGCACAAATTTTCAACTCTTTTAAAAATTATATCATTGTCTAAAATTTAAAATTCTTTATAATTAATAACTTACTATAACAACTATATAAAAACAAAAAAGATAATTAAAAAAAAGAGAGAACAACGAAGAAAATTAAAAAAAATAATCAGTTTTAATTCATAAAATAAGTTAAAAATAAAGAGAAAATATGAAATATAATGATAATGATTGATGAAAAGAGAAGAAAAAAAGTTTGTGAAGTAAAAAATATTTTTAAAAAATTTTATTTAAAAAAATGAAAAACCCGAAAAAAATAATGAAAAGATTTAATCTTGTCATCAGCTCACACAATTATATCCGCAAAAAAGAGTGCTTTCTAATATTGCATTAATATAGTCAAAGCAATATATATCATTACAATAGTGTGAGAAGCACCCGAAAAATTGAACATATTAAGTAAAAAAATATTAGAATGTAGAAAAAAATGCAATATAATTGCAGAATAAAATACCAAATGTAATCTATAAAGCGAGTAGCGAAATCAAATGAATTTACTCTTTCAGTATCTTTCAAAAATTATTTAAAATATTTTCATAACAAGTTTGCCAGATTACAAAATATGAAAATAGCACTCTTTTTTGCGGATGTAATCATGTGGGCTGATACGAGATTATATCTTTTCAATATCCTTTTTCTGGCTTTTTAATATTTTTTTTAATAAATTTTTTTTAAATATTTTAAAAATATTTCACTTTATATAATTTTTCTTCTTTTTCATTATTCTTTATTATATTTTTTCCATGTTTTTATTCATAAATATATATGTAACATGAAAAGCTTCAACTGATCTTTGTATGTTATTCCTTTATCCAAATTTTCTTCCTTATGTAATATTCAAAACTAAACGCTTTCTCACGCTTAATTATTCACTCCCTCTTTTCTTATTCTATATTTAGATCTCAAGTATACATAAGCTAACATTTTATAGTTTTCACTTTACTAACTGTGGGAAACATATTTTTCTCTTGACCTATTTAATATACTGATTGTAATTACTCATGTTTCCCTTTTTCCTTAAGACAAAACATTATTACGAGACTATTTTGCAAGATTTTCTCTTATTTTTATTAGAGAACACTTTGATTTGTGTGTCATTTGATGTTCATTCTCTGATTATGATTGTTAAATAAAGTTAATTAGCTCTTTTTAAATCAAGTGCCTGTTCACCCAGCTCTCCCGACTGACATCATTATATACATAAATATATATAATTTTTTTTAATTAAATCTAATTAATTATATTTTGTAATTGTTGTTATTTTAGTAAGTACTAATCAAGCATGAAGCATTAGAATAAGGAATTAAGTACTAATTTTTTGTTCTAATGCTTCATGCTTGAATATATATTTGCATAATAACTTATGGTTTTAAGTATGAATTATTTTACCTGTACAAAAGAGTTTTACTGAGACACAGAAAAACTAAAGTATAAATTCAAGAACTAGAAAATGTTTGGTTTCTTTTCTGAATATTACTAGAAAATAAATAAAATCAAAGAATGGTTTTGACAAAATTATTTTAATTTTCTTTCCTTTATTAAAGAGAAAAATAAATGAGTTTTTTTTATTTTTTTTTTTATCAAAAAAGCTTGCATTCTGTGAAAATTAGTTCTATGTAATAATAAGATTATGGGTCTATTTTAAATAAGACTTTTTTTGACCAGAAAAATGTATCAATTGATGTCTACCATAGTAAAATTTTGCTTTATTTCTATTCGTAAAAATTGTGTTGTTTTTTATGCACTAGGTTTTGTCAAATCCATTTCCTGATATTATTCCTAGAGTCATTGTTAAAGAAAAAGAAGAGAGAAAACTGGAAAAACCAAAGGAAAAAATTAAAAAGTATGTATGACAGGTAAAATACTTTATTTAATTTTTATAAATGATTATTTTATTACTCTACTAGAAGGTCTTTGAACTAATATTTTTATTTATCTGCTTTGTAATAACTAAATTTTTTGTTGCATCTGTTTCTTTGCAATAACTAAATTTTTTGTAAATTGTGATGCTTGTATCTTTTTTTTTCTTCCTGAAGTTTAATAGTTCTCACATTTTCTCATAGTCAAGTTTCTGTAGAATGAAATTTTTCTGTTACGAAGGAAATTATAACCTATGAAAGATGAAGGATAAGTTTAAGCACATTACTAAGTCTAAGACTTATTAATGATTTTGCTTAGAAAAATACAGCTGATGAAAGTTACAGAGTGACTAAAATAACTTTTTTTTAAATTAAAATCAGATATTCTTTTTTTAAAAAAAAAGTTCCTTAAAAAGTTAATTATGGTTAGTTAAATTTTTAAATGTAATTAAAATTGAAATAATAATAAAATATTATAATTAATTAAATATAATAAAAATAAATTATGACAATATGTTTGAAACTTTAATACTGTATAAAAAAATGTTTTATATTAATATATAAGTGAAAATGTGTTATTTGAATTTTCTGAAAACTGATAGAAATATATCAGTAACATTTAAAAGCAAGCTAAACTAAACTAATCAAGAATTTAATTTCACACATCTTATTTTTTCCAATTTTAAAATGACTGATTGGATTTCGCTAAACAATCAGACACTTTAATTGCATTTTGTCACACATTTTTATTCTAAATAAAGTACCAAATAATTAAAAAACAAATGTGCATATTGAAGATATGCAACTTCTTTTTTAGTACCATTTATTTTATACGAAAAACGAATGTGTATGTTGTTAAAAACCAGTGAAATTTCTTTTACACATTGGCAACAAGAAAATTGAAATATCAAGCGAGTAAACAATCATAAGCATGAATTCTTAAACATGCAGAATTAAAAATTTTTGGATGAAAATTCTTTTCTCATCTGGACAATTAGAAGCTGAAGCGAACTGAGGTATAATTTGTGCAGAAATGGAGGATAAATAGCAAATAATTCTTAAAAATTAAGAGACTGAGTCATATATTTTTTTATTGTACTTAGTGATTTTTGTTACTCAGAAGATGGGTGCGTTTTCACCACCCCCTCATCAACAAAAATTACCCACTTATGCTTTTTTTCATTCTCTTCGGAAACAAGACCAAAATATTAAGCATTCAATGAGTAAACTGGAATTGGGAAGCTATCTGAAGGAAACTGCAAAAGTATTTTTTTGGTTGGCGAGCGCAGTGAGCAGAAATAAAAGCCCTCCGGCATTAGAAATTTTTTTTGTAAGATTTGGCAGTATAATTATAATTAGTATTATAATCAGTATTCTGTGACAATCATCTCTAGCACTAATATCTTTCTGCAAGATACTTTTAATAATAACTAATATGCATATTATTAATTAAATTTAAAGTAACAGAAACGTTGTATATACATAAACAGGGTGCGTAGCGTTTTTAAAAGTGCTTAAAGGTGCTTATTTTCGTTTTTTAAAAGCCCTTAAAGGTGCTTTTTTCATAGGGTGTTTTTAAAAAGTGCTTTATTTTTCCTTTTCCAAAATGAGATATTTTTTCTTTGCCATATTTATTTTTGCCACAAATTAAGCAAAATGACATTGTTTTGTCCCAACGTTTTCAAAATTAATTCAACCCCAATCTATTTCGCCGTGCTGTCGGTCCGTAGCGTATGAAAACGCCATTTGTTTTACATGTTTGATAAAATACTTGGGGATCCGCATGCGCGTATGCTGAGCTGGATTCAGTGGGACGGATTTTTGCCCTCTCATGTGCAACTCTGCTACATTTTGCAAGAGATTCTCAATTTCAGGATTCAATTAGTTTTGGAATGATAATTTAAAAATACTTCATATTTAAAAAAGGTGATAATTATCCTTACTCCAAAATTTTGGGTTTTTGACAATTATCAAGAACTATGTCAAATTTTTTTTTGACATAACGGATAAAGCAGCCAATTGTCAAAAATGTGTCAACTTTGCCTAATTATATTTTTAAGTACTTAAAAATATTTTTGAGTGCTTGAAAAGTGCCTAAAAGGTGCTTATTTTTCGTAGAAAAATTTAGCTATGCACCCTGAAAAAAAAGCTGTTTGGAAACAATAAAATTTCATGTATTTTTTTAAAAATGTGTACTATTTTTATATTCTAATGTCATGGGCGAAATTCTCACATTTTGTAAGAGGAAAACACACTAAGTATTTCTTTTTTCGCATTTCGTAAATATCATCGCATAAAATAATAATTAAAAATCACAAAATCCGTGAAATAAAAGAAAACCAAGTTTTTTTTATTTTTCCCAAATAAAAACAAGAAAAAATCATGAGCATTTCTTCTCTGATGCGGGAAAAAGGCATCTTTTGAATTTAATTGTGGAGGTAAAAAAACCTTTAATACATTTCTGCAGAAAAGAAATTTTTTGCTTCAATACTCTTTTTTTTTCTTTTTTTTTCCATTCTTCTCAAATAAGAATCGAAAAATTACGAACATTTTTTCCCCCTCTGATGAGCGAAAAAGGCATCTTTTAACTATAATAAATAGAGAAAAAAATTTCGAAAATTTTTGCAGAAAGGAAAACCAAAATTTTTTACTTTCTGAATGGGAAATTCTTTCTGCAAGAACTCTATAACATTCTTCGACAATGTCGCCGTGTCTCTGCGATTTTGCGACGGGGAGCAATATAAGGTAGAATAAAATACGTAAAAATCAAAATATGTCATAAAGAAAGTTACAAATTTAAGCAAAATAGGTCTAAAATAAATTAAACTGAAAGGAGAAAAACTTAGAACCTCTTTTCAGCTATGATTATTCTCTTAATAAATTCTTAAAGCCTTTAGCGATATTTAACTGAGTATTTGAAAATAAATCTGTATCTCCTAATTATATAACAGTGTTTTTTTGTGTTTAATTTTTATAAATATAGTCTAATATCCACTAAAAAGTGTATAAGTGTGATACCATTGATTTTTTATAAGACCTTTTTTTATTAGTTTTATTTTAGTATTATCTTTTTAAATAACTATTATAATTAACCTTTAGCTAATTAGCAAATAGCTAAAGGTTGGTTTAATTATGAATTGAAACTAAAGAGATATTATTAAATAAAATTTGCTTAAAATACCCTAAATTATTCAGAATGGTACCCAGAATTTTTTTTTATACTCTTTGTCTTAAAGAAATTATTACTTCAAAAATAGGTTATAGCAACTAAATTAAAAAAATGTATATGAAATTAATATTTCAGATCAAACTAATAGCAAATTTGTCTCTGAATTTATACAAATTAGACCATATGAAATTGGTTCAAGTTTTTAGGTTGTGGTAAATATTTTTAAGCTATTAATAATGCCAACAAAAAATGATTGTGTAAATTTTTTAGTGCTCATTCAATATTATTTCAGACCCAATAACTGAAATGTTTAGTTTATTCTTGTTTCATTTGACAAAATGTAAGATATTTAACTTTTACAAATAACGTACGTATAATGTACTTATATAATTCATATTGTGTTTTAGATTGCAAGTCAAGAAAAACTGTAGATTTAAATTCTTTAAAAAATGAGAAACAATTCAGACTAAATAAGTTAACTTGAAATATAATTGCTTATTGTCTGTTTCTTTAGCAGATTGAAATGTCATAATATTGAATAGTTTTGATTTTATTTTAATAATCTTCTGACTTTATTTCGAAAGTTTATAAATTTTAATAAAGTTTATGTGACTCTTAAATTTCCAGTTTTAGTTTTAAAAAAAGTAAATAAATAAGTAGAAAATAAATAACAGTTTAGTTTGTACAAAATTTGCCAAACAATTCATGCATTTTCAAAATTTCTGACAAAGTCAAAAAGTCTAATTTATATTTACTTGAAAAAATGATTTTCTAGTCTTGTTCATTGTTATTTCAAATTATAACTGGCATTCTATTTAAATGATGTTTTTAAACCATGAATAAATATTTTTAAGAAGTCTTAATTATTGTGAATAAAATAATCTTGAATAGAAATAGTAGAAGTTTTTTATTAAGTTCAGTCAAATGTCTATATCTAAATTTTTTAATGACTCGAAGTATAATTTTAAGTGCATTATAGTACTATGATTAACTTCGAATAATTTATGTATTACTCAAAATGTGGTAAATTGATTTTTTCTATAATTCAAAGAAATTTTCTTATCTTCAACAAAATCAAATTTTATCTATTAGTTAAATCTTTTTCCTTTTAATGAAAGAAAAAAAAATTGCAGCTTAAATAGATTTTGGTGTTTTCATTGAATTGCCTAACCAAAACTCCTGGGGAAAAAAAGAAACTAACAATTTTCCAAAAAATGCTTTTATAAATGATTTTTAGTATTTCGTGCAGTTCTAGTCTGAAAAGTCCGAATCCCTTTCAAAGCTAAAACAAAAAGGTGTTTGGAGTTGTTTCTCTGTAGAAATAAATATTTAAAGTAGTCTTTTATACATTTTTAGGAATTTTTCGGACAAGATAAGTGTTGTAAAACGCATGAAAGTAAAACGTTCGATTTCTTTCAAAAGATTTTAACTATAATTTTCTTTTTTTTTTTTTTACTTCTTCGAAATATTGAATAAAAAAAATTGTAACTACTGCTTATTTTTTTAATTTTCTAAAGTTTACAAAACATTTTGGAAACGATATTTCTTTTAATAAAAATATCTGCTGTTATTAGCTTTTAATAGTAATTTACCTAACTTTGTAAAAAAAATAATAATAAGTAAAAGAAAGTAATTGTAAGAATTTCGATGTGTTTGTGAATTTTCGATGTGTTTTCATTACACTTTGAGTTATTAAAGTTTCACGGCAATTGTAATTTCATTTCGACAGAATTTCTCTGTAATGTTAATTTTATTTTAGTTTTTTCTTTTTCTTTTTAAAATTTTTTTTTAAGATTTAGATTAAGATTTTATTATTTTAGAAATTATAAACTCTTGTCTTTTGGTGAGGAGGCAGAAGAAGATGAAGCTGAAATTGAAACTGTTAATCAGGTAAAAAATCTCTAACTTTTCTGTAAATGATTTTTTTGCAACATTTTTCAAATAGGTAAAAAAATGCACCTTTATATCATTAAAAGGTGTTTTTTTATTATTTTTATTTATTTATTCATTTTTTGAAAATATAGTTATGCACTTTGCTTGCTTATTTAAATTGCATTATTACTTTGCATTTGCTTTTTTAATTTTTTAAAAATTATATTTATCAAAAATTTATTTATTCTGTACATTATTGTTGTATAATGTTTATTAAAGTAATAAAATGCTGAAATTGTTTTATTGAACATTAAAAGAGAATATTTGATTAAGACCTTAACTTCTCATGTTACCTCCATTTTTCAAACTCAAATTCTTGTTTTAATCAAATACTAATAAAAATCAAGCAGCATTACATTAAAATATAAATTTCATGCTTTAAAAAGATATGCAATATACTAATGTAAGCAAAGTTTGAAATTTTAACATTTCGGTTTATTTTCGTGGAATCGCCCATTTTTTTATTTAAAAACAGCTAGAGTGAATGGTCTTTTCTACCTTCATTTTAATTCAGTTATGGCTATATATAAATTGGGTAATGAGAAAGTCTTTTGTTAATTCTTTGTAATAATATTGGCTTTTCATTTATGCTTTTCTTAGCATCGAAACTAAAAACATGAGTTATAAGTTAATTAATATTTTTTTCATAATTTAATTAAAAAAATTGGAGCAGTGTTGTAGTAATTCATAAATCTTGATAAAAAATATTATTTGATTTCATTTTTTCAAAGATGGATTTATTTTAATTGAATAATAATATTTGGTATTGAATTTAAAAATGCAATTAATGTATTGAAAGTTTAATAATAAATTTTTAAGTAAAAGATGAAGAAATAATCTGATTTCTATCCAAATATTTTTCTTTAAGCATTAAAATTACAATTTATATGTTTTATATTGTTTGTTTCATCTTCCACTTTCATATCATAGGTTTACAAAGGACAAAGTAAAAGTAGTCATGATCTGATCGATGATCCAGAACTAAGCTCAGTACCTGCTGTAAATATAAATGAAGGCTTCACATCAAAAAACGATTCCAGTTCAGCTACTTTAGAAAATATTCGTAAAAAGCTAGACAAAACTAGTGCTAATGCTGAAAAACCAGTTGAAAATGATAAAAATGTCCACAAATCTGAAAAAGATGAGGCTCTTGATAAAAGGTACTACTTATAATACATTGTCTTTTCTTTTATATAGTTTATTGCTACAACGTTTATAACTTATCAATTATCCCAAAAAAGAATTTTAAATAACTAGATGATAATTTTACAAATTATTTATTTTGCTAACATGCAAATACATTTAAAAATGCAGTTTTCCAAGTAATCTTCTTAAATGTATATATTTGGACATATAGATTAAACTTACTAAATTTTTGAATTGTTACTTGGTAATAGATTAGTGAGGTTAGTGAGATTTTCATAGAAATAAAAAAAAAGGGCAGGGTTCTTATATATAGGAAGAAAGAAGTCAACTTCAGTTTTGGAATGAAATAAATAAATAAAAATTATAAATTAATAAAAGCATTTGTGAAATTTAATTTTGCTGTTATTTTTTATTGTCTTTAAAATAATTAATAAAAGATTAAAAAATACCAATTGAGCAGTAAAAGCATTCATAAATCAAAAGAAGTCTGTAATCTTATGAAAACTATTCAAGCTAACAACTATATCTAATATTAAATTATCATGAAATTAAGTACATAAAATTCTATTTAAAAAATGTAATATTTTGAACTGCTATAAAGCTATTTTAATGAATCATCAAATTGATGTTATGTTAAGGAAAATGCTTAAAAGCCATTAAGTCATGCATCATTTTTTTAGTTCAAGCACTTTATGCTTGTAATTCTTTGTGGTTTTATATTATTTATCTTCAAAAAGAAAAGCTTATCATTAAATAGAGTTTATCAACTTGAAAAGGAACTATCTCTCATTTTGAAATGAAAATGGTGTAAAAAACACAATATGGTAATAAAAAGGAGGAGGAGGGTGGAAAAAGTACACAGTAAAATAGCCACAGCCCATGGTAAGCCACTGTAAAAAAAAATGTACAAAGCGAACTTCGGTGCAGGTATAGTAAACATTTCAAATACTGTCACATTCATTTTTCATAATCATCTTTGTAACGTCATGTTTCTTTTTTTCCATGTCCTAGATCAGATATGATATAATGAATGAGAGAACTTAGTGCTAACTCACTTTATGATAGTAGCATTCTGTTAATAATTTCGCATACAACCGAAGAAAGTTTGTATATTTACAAAAATACCCTGATTTTCCAACTATTTAAATATTCAAACATAATACTGGTCCCAAAGAAGTCAAATAAAATGTTGATAGTTTAAATATAAATATGAATGAGTTATTAATATTACCATATTTTTGTATTTACATATTTATCGAGCCAGTATTCCATACTAATTTTCCCCCCTATTTGCTCAATGTTCCAGGAAGGAAATTCGTAGACAAATAAAGGAATTGAAGAAAGAATTAAGTCAAAAGAAGGAAAAAGAACCGGATGTTGCTTCAGTTGAAGTTGTAGAAGGTAATATTTTGATACATACTTTTCTTGTATGAAACATTTATTATATACTTGCCATCTTTGAGTACCATAATGATCACCTTTTAAAAATATCTTGTACAACATATAAACTTGAATGGTAACCTAACTGAATGCACAACACAACTATATTTAAATATTCTAATTCTTCAACCCCTCATCTAATCAGAACACCATAATTAGTTTTAGACAATATCTTAACTTACTTTTATCTTTGCCGTTAACCCTTTCAACCCGGCTTTTGAAGCATCAAAATTTAAGTATGAAAAGCAGTTTATGTTAATGCTGACTTATAAAATTAGTGCACTATGAGTTTAAAGATTTCCTTTCTTCCCGTTTTTCCAGAAATCTCCTGGGACAATATATCCCGATTTTCTTGAATATTGTAAAAATACCTTGCATGGGAATAAGCAATGAAAATAATATAAATGCATCAAATTATTTATTACCAGAAGTTGTCTTATCAGAAGTTATAGAAACCATAAATTGTTGTTATAAAATAATCAAAACAAAAACTAAAATTTTGTCTTATAATATTTTTATCACTAATGGGATATATTGCCCCTCTGGTAAGTACGATTAGGTTATATTGTCCCAATGTTAAGCACAATTGAGACAATATACCCCACAAAATAGAATTTGTCAAAATTTCTTTAATCTGATACTAAATAGGTTCAGTTATTACTTAATAAGAACAAACGACTATTTTTCACAAAATATGGCAAAAATATAGTTATACTTACCTCAAAATTCAGAAAATGCATAAAATAAAACGAGATTCACTCCCATGCTTACAAACAGAAGTGTGTCGTTTTGAATATGAAAGTGTTTCCAAGTTCCTTTAGTCATATTTTTATTCCCTAATACCTAAAGAACCGTGAAAGCATTAAAAAAAGAACATGCGGAATTGGGATCCGTTTATCCATTAAGGAATAAAGAGTCATCTTTTAGAACGTATATATCCCATTAGGATCAAAAGGGTTAAATCATAAAAACCAACATGAGTATAAGTATGGGACATTTTAACATAGTAAACAATCAAATTATTAAAATTATATCCATCCCTGTCATAAGATAGGATAGAAAACGCATAGCTGTGCTCCATTATGTGCTGTATTTTCCTAACCTACCTCTAAAGCCATAACTTGATTTTCGCATAATATATATATATATATGCTATTGCTCGAAAAAGGCAAGCTTCGTCATCAATAATTGGTATGATAGTATGTGTTACTATAGCACCGTTTATGTTCAAAATTTCTACAGCCATTTAAAAAAGGATAAAAAATAAATCTGAACAATTATTTTGTCACTAAGTTTTCATTTCTATAAAAATACAAAATTGTTCTAAATGTAGAGCATAACCAACTCTTTAGCATTACTTAAATTATTAATTGAGGCAACTAAAAATTGAATCTAAATTAATACTTAATGTATAACTAATTTTTAGCACTACTTAAATTATAACTTTAGACAACCTAACAAAGTGAATAATAACTATGTTGCCAATAAATAGAAAATACCCGAGTTTGTGGTGCCACATAAGAGAAATATATAGAGAGATTTTACTCAATTCTCTCAAGTAATATCTTACTGCTTCAGTTTCTTTAGATTATTTATTTAATATGGTAGATTATTAAGCTCCTAGTAGTTTGTAATTGTACAGTGTACAATGGAAAATTAGAGACAAGATAAACTTCTCATCTTCTGCAAATGGTGTACTATTTTGTTAATTAATAAACTTTTCATTAAAAAATACATTTCTCACAAATTTTACTTGCACAGAGCTGCTATAATAATTAGAATTAAGCTTAAAATACATACTATACATTTAAGAAATACTTTTACTTCTCAATTTAAGTTATTAAATTTGCCATATACACCTTTAGTTTTTAGTGGACTTTTTTCATTCCATATGCATAATGTGCTCATATAATTTCATGTGCATGATGATTAAAAATCATAGGGCTTTGATAACAATAGTTTTTGTGCAACAATTTAATTGTTTTTTAAACTGCAATGCTATTAACAGTTTATTTGGAATTTTTTAGAAGTACCTGAAAAGGAAGAAAATAGTGTATTATCTCTATACCACAAACAGTTAGAGAAATATCAAGACAAAAGTAAATCTATATCTCGAAAAGGAACATCTGAGCGAGAACAACAAGTAAATAGTTTTATTACTATTAGCATTTTTTAAAATTCTTTAACAGCAACTTTCCTTTATTTAATTAAAATATAGTGAAAAATGAAATAAAATTTGTAAATTTTGATTAAAAGTAAAGCTTTTTTTAAACAAACTCATACAAAACAGAATTATTCAAATTCATTAAATATTAAATACATTAACAATCCTCTGGTATATTTAAACTTTAGCTTTCAAAAGTTCTACCTAATTAATTTAAAAATACTATTTTAATTCCCATTGTTGTATGTTAAAAATGTTTATTTTAAACTATTAATTAGTTACTTTTTTTATTTTAACAGACACTGAAATTTCTGGAAAAATTCAGGACCACTTTACAAAGTGCAAAAACGACTGTCACAAAAAAAGATGAGATAAAGTCTTCTGATGAAGAAGATGATGAAACATGGTGACTATTACTATTTTTGTTCATTAAATAATACTTTTGCACTGCAGGTTCCAGGTAAAAATAATTGAATTTATGGTGTTATACTGATTAAGTTTAAAAAAAACTTGTTAATATAGTTTTAGTTTTAATAATTCTTGAACTTTGGCACTTCATTAGTTTGCTAACATGGAATCTAAAGATAAATAGAATTTCATAAACCATTTTTGCAAAGAAAAAAAAGTGCTAAGGAATGGATTTAAAAATTTAAATAATCCTCAATGCTGATGAATCGGTTCAGAGTCATCACTGTGCATGTGTTAAAATAAAGTTCTAATATATATATATNAACCTTGAATGATTGTTTCTCAAAGGACCATTCATTATGTACTATAGATATGGAAAAAACTTATAAATGTATAAAAAATAATAAAAAAAGTATTGGATTTAAAAAAAAAAATTTAATACATAGTCTAAAAATTTTTTAATGAAAAAATTATATACTTAATGCATAATATATTAAAATAAAACATTTGAATTTCTTTTGAAATATATTCAGTAAATTCATAAACTTCAGTACTATAGAATCTCAATCGATCGTTTCTCATGGTGGGAGGATAGATATGAATGATAGATACATTGTGAACGATAGATACAGAACTAGAATGAATGTGTGTCCACATAAAATATCAAACAATGTCTTGTAAAGTGAATTTGGAAATTAATAAATTAACAGTAGGTATAGTAATTTTTCTTTAAAAAAATTAGGAATTGCTTTGAAAATATGAAAAATGCGAAATAAAGTTGAATAGAAACAATTTATTTAAAATATTTGTAAATTTTGGTTTAGATACAAGCTTTTCTTCTTAGTGCAAATAATAAGTTTTTGACATATGTTACAGATTACGGTTCATTTACTGTACCTTTCTATGACTACAGAAAGTTTTTTTCCGAAACTTTGAGACCTGGTTGTGGCTAACTCCATTTTATTTTATAATGTATAACCGTCGTTGAACCGCTGACAAAATTTTGGGTTTATGACTTACAATGTTCAACTCCTTAGCCTTGTAATTTTGAACCCAATCCAGAAGATAAGGAAACTCCTGGATTGGATCAAGTATTGGGAGAAATTTGCCTTTGTGAAGGACTTTTTGATGGAATTAACATTTGCATTACTTGAAGAGGAAAACCTCCCATGGTTAGCCTGACAGCAAAGGTACTCTAATCCATGATCCGTCTACCACTGAGGATATCTTTACATCAGCACTGTATACGCTGCAAGCAGGGTGCGGAATTTATATCGACCAGCCATCGATGGGATTCGAGCCCAGGTCACCTTGTTGGAAGGCGAGCGTTCTATCCCCTGAGCTACTGCGGCTCTGGTTAACTCCATTGTCTCCAGCGATATCACATTGGACTTCATAAGCTTTTGAGACCCTTTCTTGAACCGACAATACCACAGGTTTCAACATTTTCGTCTCCTGGTGCATGAACATCAAATGGGCTGATTGAGGCATTTTCCCCTGTTTACTGTAAAAAATTCTCATTTTCTTCTTTATTAATAACATCAAGAGTAATTTTTTTCGTCTTAAAACTAATTAGCTGCAATATTTTTGAAAATGTCAGCAGAATTTCTGACTGTACGTACAGGAAAACCATAGAAGGGGGAATGATAGATCTAAGTTTGATTATATATCTATATGCTATTATTAGTTTAGGATTGGTATTAGGATGAAAATTTTTAATGGTAACGTAGCTACAAAATATTGTCAGATGCACAGCTGAAGTTTTTTTTTTTTTTTTAAAAAAAAGACAGAATATCAGACAAAAACTTATTTTAAATATTATATGATACAACCTATTCAAATGTTGGAAAGATGCATTGATAAACTTTAAAATTGAATCAGTCATGTTTAATTTAAGAATAAAAATAAAATGTTAAGAAAAATTGCATTTGGAAAGGGAAAAAATAATTATTTCTTCTTCAGATAAAAAGTTTTTATTTCAGGTTTAAATGTTATAAAAATTTAAAAAAAATTCAAACAACATTATAAAGTAGTTTTATTCTCTAAAATTCATTTTACTTTGTAACTTTTAGGATATGACAATTTAATGTTTTAATAATTTTCATCATAATTGAAGCTGTCATATCTAATCACACGTGTTGTTAATGTAGACGATACTAATCTCATTAATATCAGATAGAAAATTAAAGCCTATTAATTTTATTTGCAGGTTAGCTCACTGTTTAAGAGCAGAAGATCAAAAATTAGTATTAGCAAAGGATGCTAATTTGCCTACCGCTGATCGATATGATTTAACTGATCCAAGAAATCCTTTAAATCAAAGAAGAAGGAATGAAAAAAAGATGAAAAAGTAACATTTTCATTCACATTGAACTGTACTGTTAAAACCAATTGTTTTTAACTTTTTGCTCTTAACTGTAAATATTAAAATAAAACATCCTTTTTAAAAAATTTTAATTTAGCATTTATGAAATAGAAAATTTTGCAAACTGTAAAGAATAAATGTCTGACAACTCTGGATAAGCAAATTTTTACAGGGAACTGCAAACCTGTGTCTGCTTTATGTTAAAACAATGCATTTATTTGTACTTATCTTTTAAAAACATTTTTTTTAAAAATTCTTAGGGAAAATAAAAGCTGCAAATTATTATCTGGTTAAAAATATTATGGAACATATCATTTTGTCTAAATATTTTAGGAAATAATCTCGTATTGTCTAAAAATTTTGGGTCATAGTCTCATACTTTGGAACATAATCTCACATTGCCAAAATTTAGTGACTCAGAATCTGACTTGAAAATTATGAACTTACTACATAACAATATTAAAACAAAAATCATAATAGGAAAAATTAAAAGGTATAATTTAAAGGTTAATAAAAATTAAAATTAATCAGTATCTTTTTTTAAGTGGAAATTTTGATATACTTATATTTTCAAGCTTTCTTTTAATTTTACTATTGTGAAGTTTTACTTTGATTTTATTTGTATTTAAAATTATAACACTTGTAATTACATTAATTTAATATTTCTTAATTTTGTTATTGTTTGAGGCAGATGTAAAAAGAAAAACAGAAATAGTTCCTTCATATTTGACAAATCAAATATTTTCTATCTTATTTTTAATGTCTATTTTTGAATATAAATTATAAGTCAATGCATCTACTATTTAAATTTAGGAATGCAGATGTTATCCTCATACTTAATTCATTTTTAAAAATAAAATAAATATTTGCTCAAAGGCTCATCAAAAATTTTATAGTTTTTACTTTTGAATAATGTTTGAATCAAACATTACCAAACCTTTGATGGAGTTATAAGAAATGAACTAAAAATAAAAAATTGTTTTATAAAGAGAAAATTACTATTTTTTCCCATCAAATTATATAAAAAGGTCAATTTCATTAGTATTTATGAAAACAACTTGATTAAAATTACAGGTAGCTGTAATGAACCCCCCAACATTAACTAAGTTTCAAGCAAACGCTTTAAAATCGCAAGATTTTTCAATTCAATCATAATAATTTAATGCTTCTGCTGCAAATCTCGGCCCGCTCGAGAAGAATTTCATTCGACTATTTTTTATGGTGGTACATTAATTATCAATACATATCATCAACATTTTAAATGTGTTACCTTTTTTTATTATGAGTCGGAGTCATATTTAATAATAAGATTATGAACGCTTTAAAGAAAAAATATTTATTTTTTTAAATTTAAGTGATCATATGCTTTTAATCACTTTTTACTATCAATACCAGTCAGTGCCTGCTGGAAAACATGAAATATTAACTCCAACACACTTTCCTAAATTGACTATGGATCTATTTTATAGCTTTACAAAATTAAACTATTAATTGATAAAAAATAAACTTTAGTAATGGATGAAAACGACTAAATTCTATTTTTATCCAGATTTATTTAATAGATAAAAACATGATATGTAATTTTTATCCTTTAGATATTAAGAATGCTCAAGAATAACTTTTTGAAATATTACATAAAAAGATCATTACGCCTGGATTTTTCTGGAAAGATGTGAATTTAAGCTTCAAAACAAATTTAAATTCTTCATATTTCTTTTTGTTTTATACATACACAAGAAAAGCTCGACACAAAGAAAACAAAAGCACCACACTTCACGATGACATGGACAGTATTTATTAAAAAAATGATAAGTAAAAATGTACATGTATTTTAACAGCGCCGTCTATTGTTAAGTAACAAGGCAAGGTGCGAACACTTTTCAAAACAATATATTGGAATTTTTCTTGAGAGATAAAAGATTAAAATTAAATCAAATTTATAAAATCACAATTTTCTGATTGTGTTCATAAAATAATAGATACATGTGCTGAGATAAATATTATAATATATATATATATATGTTAAGCACATATACTAGTGCTAATTAAATTTAGTTAGGAAGGGGTTTTTTTTTTATCGATGAATGGCTTAGTTTTCTATAAATACTAGGATATTTGGTTTTACCAACATGTAATAGGTTTATTCAATATATCATTACAACTTTTGTACAAACATATTAAAAAAGAATACTTAATAAGAAATCTGCTAATCATTTACATAAGTTCATTTATTCATCTAAAAAATTAACAAATTACATAAAACACTTTCAAAAATTATAATACATTATATACATCCCATTGCTATAAGTAGAATTTATGAATCAAATTTTGGAAGTTTGAACATCCCGGCTGAATAAACTAACTGTCTTTCCTTTACTTTCTTTTCCAAGAATTGTTTCATATCTTGAATGGAGCATTCATTTGTGCTGGAGCCTTGAACAGTAAACATTCGGAGCATACTGTGAATACGCTCAAGAGGTAAAGACTCCATGTTGGTGAGCATACCAACAATAAAAGACCAGAAAGTCTGAAAATAATTAAAAAAGTTAATAATAATTTAGAATAAATTTGATAGAAATCTAATTTAATTCTAAACATTGCTTTATTTATAGATAAAAAAACATGAGTTGATAGCTTTTAGTCTAAGATTGAATAAGAATCGGTATTTTATGTAGTAAGAAGATATAGAACACATAAGGATTTAATTTAACTATTCTGTAACTTAAGAATATTTAGGGGGAGGAAAAGTGTGGAAAAAAACGTGTGGCAACTTATACTATTTTTGACAACCTTATAATGATATTTTTGTAGGAAATAAAACTTGTTTTAATCTAAGAAAATACTATAAGACTATCAAAATAATTTGAAGCTAGGAGGGCAATAATAGATTAACTTATTTAGAAATAAATGAGAGATAAATCTATGTAACAATAATAAATATTATTTTTTTTTAATATTCCACTAGGGCAGTTAAGGAATTTTTCCAAAATGTTCTATAATTTCTGACAGATATGAGATTTCAAAAGGAAAAAAAAAGCATATGGAATAAAAAATTGTGTTTGAAAAACAATTAAGATAATTATTTTGATGCTGCAAGTTATTTTGATAATATTTTTGTTCAAAAGTTGATTTAGGGTGTTAAAAGTATCAAATTTAGTATACTATATTAATAATAATTTATAGCAATATTTTTAAAATTTTAACAACAGAATAAATATTTTATGGCACTAACAAATCATTAGGTCGGAAAATAAAGAGCTTCATTTAAACACTTTTTTTCAAATTATTTTGGATTAACTGTCTATTAGTAATATAAAGTTTTAAAAAAAATTAGATTGAACTATAACATGAAATTAAAACTCAAACAATGCAAAAATAAACCTGAAAGCAAAAATAAACCTGGAAACACCAATTTAAATGGTAAACTTTATAACATTACAAATATTAATTTAATGATTGATCCCCTTATATCTTCTTCTTTGTCAGCGCAACTTGCAGGCATTAGCTGCCTCAACAGTTGACAAATGCCAGTGCCTCCTATCCATAGCAACTCCCTTCCAATTTCTAATCTTTAGGGTTTTCAGGTCATTTTTGATGTTGTCGAGCCATCTAGTAGGGGGCTACCTCTGGGACATGACCCCTCAGGGTTCTCATGGTGCTATTTTCAGGGTTTCTCCATAAATGAACCAGCAATCTCAACCTATTACTGTGGATTATTTGTTTAATTTGGGGCTACTTATAGAGTCGGAAGAGCTCAAAGTTATATCTGGTTTGCCAGCATCCCCTTTCAGCAACAGGGTGGGATCTAACAAATCCTTGCCTGCTGATCTTAGCATTGAAGTCCCCGAATATGCCACATAAAAAAGTTCATATCGCAAGTACCCAACATGAATCTATATTTATCTATGGATTTAAAGTTTTTTTTATATTAGTTTTTATACATTTTGAAAAGAGTTTGAAAGAAAATTTTGATAGTGTAGTGTGGATTTTGCATTGCATAAATGTACTTGATCCATACAGCAAGTTCTGCAACTAATGAATTGTACTCACTTTGCCTGCTATTTCGTGGAAATGCTTTTAGTTTATTGACTAATTGGGACAAAATTGGTTCATAAATTGTCTTTTGTGGCATTTTATTTCGTAGTTAGATTTCAATATTGTTCTTTACACTTCTCTTAAAATTTAAAAAAAAATTTTATTAAATTTTACTTGTAGGTGACAAAAATTTTATCTTCTACATGGTTATTTAGTTATTGAGTTAAATTAATTTTATATAATGCAATACATTAACCAAACTTAATATCATCTTCAATTTCATCAATATAAAATTTAATGCTATTATGTTTTTTTAATTCAAATTTAAACTTTCCTACTTTACCATATATCTTTAAGTGAGCTTTATTTCATACATTCAACAGAAAAGGGAGAAAGTTCCAGTTGTCCAGTCAAAAGGGGCATCTGTTTGACAACTAAGGACAATTATTTTCTCATCAAATTACATTTTTAATGGACATTAAATATTTATCTGTACCAAAATTGTTGGTGAAAAATAATTTTTAAACAAATTTTATAATGGTCATTAAAATTTAAATATTCTTTATGTTCAGGAAATTTAAGAATGCTGTTGACTATATAATATAATATCAACTTATATTAACATCAAAATAAATATAAAATAAAGATTATTTTTAAATATATGTATACATTTCTAATGTTTTTTAAATAAAATCGTAACAAATTTACCTGCAATTCTTCTTCTTTCATATCTTGAGAAGAAGCAGTTACAGATTCTTCTTCATCTTCAATCATGACAATGGAATCACATTTGTTGCTTTTCTGGTCTTCTGTAAGAACGAAAACATCAGGTTCTGCTTCTTGAAGAACTCCATGACTTTGCCAAAGAGTAATTTTACGTCGTAAAACTGATGCTTGCATTTGCATTTCAGAACTCAATTCATTAATGGTCCATTTAGCTATAAAATATAAAAAATAGCAACTTTCAATTACTCAAGTTATAAGTATATCTTAAATGATTCATTAGTGATTCAAAATAGTAAATTTTGTTAGATGTAAAATATTTATTTTATAACCCAAGTAATGATTAATTAGTACTCACTAAATAATACTTTAATTTTAAAATATTTACTTTTATAAATATTCATTTACTAAAAGCTAGTACTTAAATAAATCCTCTAGTTTAATTATAAAAGAATTTAACTAATTCTAACTTAAATTTTTTACTTGTGTAGTCTTTCTTTATTTTTAAATGAATAAAAGCTTGCCATTCACAAGGTTGAGCTAATAAAAAATGTTTAAGAATTATGAATTATTTAACCTTACATTGTCAACATATTTTATAATTATAAGAATTAAAATAAATTGCCTATGAAATTTTTGTACCTCAGGACTGATTGTGCTCCGGAAAAAATCCGGATTTCCGGAATTTTTGCAAACAGTGATCCGGAAGTTTCCGGAGATCGAAGGTCCAGACGTTACAAAAAATCATTGATCACAGAAGTTTCCGAAAATCAAATTTTCAAAGGTGGAACTTAAAAACACAGTTTATTTTATTTATTTGTAAGGGCGAGCCGGAAAGATACTTTATAAGCTTACATTCATGATTAATATTAATTTTTTATCAGCAAATAGTTGTTATAATCATAAACTCAAGAAAGAAAGACATATTTGTAAATTTTAATTACTTCTCCAGATCATCATAGGTATGTGTAAATGGTATAAGTATGAGTAAAATTTTAAATGTATTTTAAGTAAACTAAGAAATATTGAGGAAAAGGAAACAAAACCCTGTTTAAATTTTTTTCTGATTTTTCAATTTAAACTGTTTTTTTTTTTTTTTTTTGAACTCCAGAAATTTTCCGGAATTTTGACTTGGGCTCACAATCACCCCTGGTACCTAAAAAACCTTTATTTTCGACGGATCAAACAATATTTAAGAACAACTTAAAACAAGAAACATACTTAAAAACAAGAAACAACTACTGAAATTATAAAAAAAAAAATTCTGATGACATAAATGAAGTTCTTATTTAAATAGTTAACAAAAATAAATAAATATTTAACTAAAATAAATAACTTTAAATAGTTTAATAGTACAATTTCATTAATTAAAAAAAAAGTTAACCTCACTTTCGTGTTCATACAACTAATTTCTATCTTATGTTAAGGCTCGTACACAAGCACCTTATTTCTATTACCAAGCAGAGGGCACCTCGAATCAGACAAGATAGAAGAATAATTCAATCATATTAGATTTTAAGTTACTGAAATTAAAAATTAACAAAAGTGTATTGGGCAGCTTTCAGGAGAACTGCTCTAGACACTAGTCTTGTGTTTTGTGGCAGGTACTATGGTTACGATTGTCAGTCACTTTCAAAAGTGGTGTGGGATTGAATAGTTTTGTCATGATCTTGGTGCCGGTCAGCATGAGAATCTTTCTTGGAGACCTTCATCCCCCCCATTAGAAATGTGCTTTCTCATGTTACCATAGCAGCAGACAGCCCCAGACTTTTAGTCTGGAGGAGTTCTCCTCAAAGCCGAACAGTAGTTGTTTCAAATGACAAAGTAAAATCTTACGTTTATCACTAAAATGACACAAAATTGTAGCATGTACTGGACTAACACTGACATTGAGAATTCTTCCCTTCAGTTCAATTTCTAAATCAACTAAGCCCAAATGTGGCTTCCACATGAGTGTTCTGTTTCCCTTTAATGCTTCAAATGCTGTTGTATACTTTTTTAAATTTTGCCAAATATAATCTGGCAATTTCAGCTTTTCTTCTTTAAATGACGGCCAAAACTGTGCAGAAAGTATCATTGTATTTATTGGAAAATCCTGTAAAATACATTGAAATTAACAAATTTGATATAAAATTGAAAATATATCATCAAACGTGTTATTATATTTACCAATTAAAGATGTAAATAAATAATGAGTTAGAATTATCAGAAATTTTTTTTAAATAAAAGATAGTAACAGCTTTCTTTGAATTCATATTTATTTAATGCTTCATAAATAGTATTACAATAAAAACAACTGTCACTTTTTACAAAATAAAATTAATAAAGGTTTTAAAAAAAATGCAAATTGTAGCAATTTCTAAAAACAAATAATACCGTAACATAATATGATTGGTCCTAATCAGTATTTTGAAAATAAATTACAATGGGAGAAAAAAAATAAGGTATTTGTTTACAAACCTAAAGCATGAAATTCTGCACTTAAGAATGGGAGCAAACATTCAACTCTTTGCAGGCACAATTTGTATGTGAGTGTGCTTTTCAATAAAATTATAAAAAATAATTAATTTTAAAACAAATTTTTTGAATTTTTGAAAAATAAATAATAATTCTTAAATCAGAAATTTTTACTGATTATGAAATAGAAAATGCTCTAGTCCAAGCAATAAAATTGTTAAGTAAAGCAAGAGGTGGGAAAAAAAAAAGGTACTTCAAGCAATTTCCTTTTCTTTTGGTACTTCAAGCAATTTCCCTTCGTTTTTGAATTTTAGTTAAGACTTTAAAATATAGGTAACTAGATTCTTTTCATTTACTATTAAAATATGTATTATTGTTCTTACAAATTTTATTTTTATAAATTAGTCTTGTTACAATTGGCTAATAATAACACCAGGGGCAAAATATGTAATGACAACTAGCCCCCACATGCATTCATTTTACTTCATGTGGCACATTTAATAAGAAACATTTTTAGTTTTTTTTTTATCGTTACTAGGATTGTCACTCCAAACTTTCACAAGCTTGGAAAATAAAACATCATTTTGGGAAAAAAATTGGTTTGTCCCTACTTATCTAACAGCCTTCAGTGGCCTTATGAGTATTATTTTTAATTTTCAGTGATGTTTTTTTTTTCCTATTTCAATCTATTTTTTGCTAAATTTGCTCCTGCTTTAGTTGTAAGTTTTTGCATTTTACTTTTTTTCTGGCACATCCAAACAAACTGAAAAGGAGGTGAAAGCTCTATGGTTCAGGGATGTGTCTGAGTGTAAAGTAAAGTAAAAAAAAAAGCCTTCAGTGGCCAAATGACCCATCCTCATTGACTCACTATTCTGCAGTTTTTTTTTTTTTTTTAGTGCTCTGAATACTCCATTCTCTCTCATCGTTTTGCCACTCTGTGACTCCTCATTAATCGAATCAAACACAACCTATAATATTCCATTTTAAATAACTGTAAAAAAAAAATCCTAACAACAACATCAAATACAGTGTAGGGTTACTTAAACTTTATCCTGCTGCTTTCAGCAGCATTAATATGAGTGATTAGTTTACCTCATGGAGTCACAACTTTGCAGAACTCCATTCATCAAACTCAAGTCATAAGAGTTAATAATAACAATAAAAAAATCAAGATAAAAAATTTGACACACAATAAGGGCTGATTTTTTTAACTTCATTTTAATTTTTAAAAAAATGCAAGATGTCTCTAATAATACCACATTAGTTAGAAAGATGCCTTTGCAAAACATATTTTATTCAGTACATTAAATAGAATAAGTATTTTAATAATTAAAAAAAAATAATAATTATAAATACTCAATGAGGGAGTTTTGTGACAGAGAATCAATGGAGCTCACTGCCAGTTACTTCAATTATTTTAAGATCTGAAAAATTGTTGACTTTTTGAACTATACAGTTCATAGTTTCCACGTGACATCATAATTATTTATTAGGTAATAATTACTTTTTTAATATTTAAAAGAATTCTACAAGAAAAAATGCATGGATAAAAAAAATTGACAATTAATAGTATTTGGCAAATCATTTTTAGAAACTTGAGATCCATTCTTATTCTCACTGTGCATCAAGCTAGACAGGTTTGTGCAAATTACACTATTCAGATTTTTAATTTCCAAATGCACATTTCACAAATTTTTTTATTTCAAAAAAAAAAAGCAACAAAAAATACAGTTTGCACAGTGCTATATAATCTTTCTTCTTTACTGGCATGTCAGTTTTTCTCTAAGAGTTTCCTCCTATTGTCCCTCTGTTTGGTGAATGTCCTCCAATTTTTGATTCACAAAGTGTTGATGCCCTTCTCAACACTGTCGATCCACCTAAGATGTGGTCTTCGTCTTGTTCCCATAGGTTTTGATTAAAATATTTTCTTGCAGTTTCGGTCTTTCTGCATTCTGATTAAATGACCAGCCTAATTTAGTCTATAAATTTTTATGTACTTAACAACATCAGACTCCCTTGAGATTTTATTCAGCTCTGAGATAGTTCTTCTTCTCCATGAGCCGTTTACCTGAGTTCCACCACAGATACTACATAGTACCCTTTTTCAAAAATTGCAATCGCCTCCTCGTCTTTCGATGTCAATGCCCAAGTCTCAAAAGCATAAGTCAAAACAGGTCTTATAAGAGTTTTATATAAGTAATTTAGTTCTTCATTTTAGAAAGTTGGATCTCATATATTTTTTCAGACTGTGCAAACATCTATTAACATTTGTGATTCGTTTATGTATTTCTGTAATAAGACGTTATATAATATTTTTCATTTTAAATAAAAGCTTTTTAGTAAAATATTTTATTTTGCTTTAAATTGTCTGTTTGTAAAAGCAACTGAACAAATTACCTCTTTTTGACTCTTATTATAATGATTTCTAAAAATCAGAGCGAGTTCCACTGATTTCATTTTATGAAACTCGCTCACTAAATCAACTAAAATAATTATTTTAAAAATCATTTTCTAAAGCAATATAGTTAAATACTCTTGTAAAAAATAATTTTAGCGCATGTTCCCTCAACAACTAAAAAAAAAATTAATAAATAAAAAATATGCACTAACACCTGGCTCATAATCCTTTACTTCCCCAGAGTTCAAGTGAGAATTCAGTCGCTTGGAATCTGCTATATCCTTCAACATTACTTCACAGAAATGCAGCTGTGATTCACCAAACCTCAATTTCAGAAGTTCTAAATAGCGAATCTCTTTTTCAGTGTCATACGAAAATGTAGTAAGAATTCTATCAGCCAACAAGCTTCTATATTCATTCACAAATAGCTCTTTGCTTCCATAAATATTCACTAGTATTCCAATGATATCGGATGATCTTTGGCTTTCAGTTGATTTTGCTATTTCATAGAAAATAAAAATGAACATAAAAATACACTATTTTCACTGACTAAATATTGATAAGTTAATATGTGACTGTTAAATATTAATAAATTTAATATATGCACAGTTAAAAATGTTCACACATTTTAAAGAAGGAATATATTTGAAAGCAAATAAACAAAATTTCAAGTCAAGAATATCAAAATTCTAGCACATAAAGATTCTATTTAAAGTTCAATAAAATTAATACTTGAGAAAATAAATATCATTAAATTGTTTCCCATATTAACTGTTTCATCAATGACTTTTATTTATACATTCATATATTTTGCTAATGAAAAAATATACTTAATAAAATGCTAAAAAAATTTTTATTGTGAATAATTTAACTATTTATATCTTAGTTTAGAATGTGAATAATAATATCATCCTATTTTAATAAATTATTAATAAAATCTAAACATAAGAACAAACATTTTCAGAATATAATCTTATTCGACACACATTCCATGTCAATAAGAAAAACACTTATGCTTAATTGTTATAAAAAAATGGAAACACTAAAATATTGGGTAATGTTTTGATAGAAAAGGGAAGGCTTCTTAAAGCAACATAACACTAAGGTTTGGCAGTAAACTTAAAATGAAACATTCAGATGATTAGAATCAACTGAGAAGATAAGATACAATTGTATCGAGCTGTTGCGGAATTACAAAAATGTACAGAAAGCATTTGCTACAATACTATTTTCAAATATTGTTGCAACAATCAATGAACAAACAAAATTTTTGAATACATACCTGGATCAGCATCAACTGGATCTGGACACCATTTCTGCCAATCATCCATTTCTTCATCCATGGGAAAATTATCTTCTAATTTCAATGGTACACCTTTGAGTAATTCACAAGCCAATTCACCACAACTGTCCTCTCGAAGACTAGAAATTATGCATCGAACAGTATCTTCTCTTGATCTAAGTAATAAGTTATTAGTAAATTTTAATCTTTTATGATTTATCTTCTATAACTATAATTTAGGGTAGCACAACCTGCTGGAATCATAGAGATTTCGGCAAGTCTAGAAAGTAGATACTTCCTAGTAACAGGTCTTTAAGATAAACAAACTTCAAAACATGCATTATTCAATGAAAAGAAAAATAGACAATAATTTGTAGTAATGACTTATCACATTAGTCAAACTGGCCTGTTCCTATCCTCATTCAATGATAATGTTTTGCTCTTAAAACCTAATATTTGGTATTACAAATAAAAATCCCAGTTTTCTAATGCAAAATTGCATGGTATAGATAAAATATGGTCTGGATTTTCAATGAAATTTACCCTATATACCTGGAAAAGTCAATGAATTTTTTTTGTTTCTAAAATTGGGTGGAAACCCTGTTATAAGGAGAAAAAAAAATTTTTAAAAGAAAAGAGATTAGTTTATTTCTATTGCTAAATTGTGTCCAGAAAAGAGACATTCTGGTAAATTCACATCCGGATAAGGAATGTACTTTATTTAAAAAAACATCAAACAAAATGGGTATAATTGGAATAAGTTTATAGAGCAGAAAACTATTTTACATAAATAATTTTATAATTTAAAAGTTTCATGTCACTTTCATCCACATTTAGTCTCTTATAGTTATTTATTAGCCTATTTTGAACATCAAATAATACACATACATTACCCAATCTCATTATTTCTTTGCAAAAAATATTTAATAACAATAGAATCAGACTTTACGAAATCAAACCATAAGAATGAATTTATGAAATAATATTTTTTAATAAATAAGTTGATTTAAATCAATGATTTTTTAAATAAAAAAAAATAAAGTTATTAAAATGTTCAAAACTTTTTTTAAATATTTATTTAAAAGATATACAACCTGCAGCCTTTGAATTGTAAATGTACAATAAAAAACATTTAAATATATTTAACAAACACTGAAATTATTAGATTAAAATTGCAAAATGTAGTTGCCAAAAAATTTAAATTGTTCAACACTCTTGACAATTTTTTTAATTGTTCTTTAGCTTTAACATATTTAAAACAAATGTATTTCAAAAGTTAATTTGAAAATTAAAGAATTTATACACATTAAAAAAATTACCAAATTAATATGTCCACACAGAAAGTTAAAAATCTTTTAAGATTTTTCTTTACACAGAAGACAAACTGCAAAAAACTTTAATTACGTTCTTAAATTTGAAAATACTATATATCTAGTAAATATTATATATAATTAGTTGTACTTTGTCTCTTAATTTATAAGACAAATTATTACAATAAGGAATAATTAAGTTATAATAAGTTAATATAAAAATTGATTCTTATTATATCACTCAAAGGCTAAAACTTTCTTTTCTGAGATCCCTTTCTAAAAAGAGTTTTTCTTAATTTAACCTTTCAACGTCAAGTTGAGAGCAGGGTTAAACTAGGTAGCAGTTATGCAAAAAAAAAAAACTTTTCAGAATGCCATTTATTATAGAAACGCTACTAAGCATGGGCATTTTAGTAGAAATTTACCTAAGTTGTTTAAGAATACGTGAGTTAAATGCTTAATACATAAGAGCTATTATAAAAAAAATGAATATTTAAAAAAAAAAAAAAAAACATTACAATTTGAAAGAATAATGAAAAATCACCTCAAATACTTGCAAACTGGCTCACTAACAACTTGTAGAACAACTCCAGTTTGATCCAAAACTCTCAAAGCTTTTATTGCAGAAATGTAAGCAGTAAGAATGTCAGATGTATTTACCCCTTGGAAAAAATTAAAGCAATATTGTCATTTCTTAAAAATTTAAAAAATACAAAGCTATACAAAAAAAAGTTATACAATATATATTACACAACTGATTAGTTCATTTAATTCTAGCATCTGTTATAAATATGTACAACAAACACTAGAGATGCATTTGGGCTAACCTATTAGGGCCCTGCCTAAAGATTTTACACCCCAATCCAAGATTTAGTATGACATATGAAGTTCAATTCCTGAAGATATAGTACTTCATAATTTTTTACAATTTTAATTTTTTTTTAACATTTATATTGTTCTTAATAACCATATCAAACTAATTTTAGTATATTTGTACAGTTTAAAAGAGGTAAAAAGTGAATAAACACTTTATCATGAAGACTACTTACAACTGATGAGCATGATTCTGTCATGTTCCTAGTAAATGCATTTTTCCCCCACCTATGTTTGACAAGATAATCCAATTCAAATCAAAATTCGCATTAAAAAAACTCACAATTTGTATTTTAAAAAAAATTCAAAATCTATAGTAAATAAATCAACCGAATTTGTAATATAAAAAAGTTACAGATAGATAATGGTTCCACAATGTGGGTGGAAAAGGTGCATTGCCTGACCTTATAGTTCAAGAACAGGCAGCAATATTGATCAATAAAAACAAACGCACATAATGAATTAAAAAAAAAAAAGAAATTGAATATATAAAATATAGTCACAAGAGATAACAATAAATGAAGATACCCATGAATAAGATTGTTGGTGTAGAGGGAGAAAAAAGAGCTTAAAAAAAAAAAAAAAAAAAAAAAAAAAAAAAAAAAAAACTTAAAAGAAAATTTTTTTTGTTCTTAATTGAATTGAAATGTTTTCAAAGTTAAGAAGAGGCTCCACTTTTTTCTTCAAAATGGAGAGACATGAAAGCAATAATGGTGTCATTGTACAATGGAGAAATGATTAAATACATTGTGAATGTCATCATAAACTATAAACCTGAAAATTCAAAGAATAAAACGTTTTTAATAAATTAATTTAGATGTTAGATTATTATGACTAAATTCCTTATTTTATCATTCAAAAATATTACTTTATATATTTAATTTTTAACTTTCCTACCTTCACTGTTTAAAATAAAATACTCATCTCTACATTGTAGACAGTCTACATTCTTTAAAAATTATTAAGAAACCAATAAAACCATCTACCATCTATTTATGGTTTAATATCATAATTAAAATAAAATTAAATTCAAGATCACAAACAAAAGTAATTATAGAAAAAATATTTATAAAAAATAATATAATTGAGAATAAAAACATAAACAGCTAATAACATCAATTACCAAAAATGAAGAATTTCAATATAATAATGTCTTTACAAATGTTAAAAATTCTAATCAACAATATTTAAAATAAGTTTAACAAAACTGAATAGTATTAATTGCTTTGTCTAATAAGTAAATACAAAGTAAACTAAAAAAAAAATTCATTTACCAGGATGAAGTAAACGATTTTCTAAAGATGACTTTAAAGTACTTATGAGTCTTGGTCGTAGATTAGTTATTTCCAGACATTCTTTCAAGTCTTCTAAGGCAGCATGAGATTCAGGAAATTCAATTATTATATCAAATAGTTGATCAACTCGAACATCAGCAAATGCTTCATACAAGATGTGAAACAGGCGATTCTAGAAAAAAAATTATAATTCACAAATATTTTTCTTAGCAGAAGATACAGTTTTTATCAGGACTTATAGATATTCTGTCTAAATATAATATTCGCAACAAATATGTTTTCTGCCAAAAAAGCAAAGTAAATCTATTTTAATTTTAAAATTGAAAAAAAAATCATATAAAAAAAAGGGGAGAAGTTTTGTTTTTGGTTCTTTCCCTTTCATTGCTTTTAGGTGCAAAAAAAAAGTAGTACAGGGTGTTTATGAAGTCCTGGACCCATTTTGATGTTTAATAAGTCATAAAATAATAAAGATAGATTAAAATTAATAACATAAATGGTTAGATAGACTCAAAAAATTTTAAGACCCTTGTCAATGAACTTCCACGTGTGCCCTCTTCGTCGCATGGAGAATATCAGGTCGATAGTCAATCCCAGAAACTTGAAAGGATGCTTCGTTGTGGAACATAATGACATTACAACCGCAATAACCTCTGTGGATGCCGACATGCTTGCCTTTACCCGGTGTGAAATTAACTATCGACTTGATGTTCTCCTTGCGAAGAAGGGGGCACACGTGGAAGTTCATTGACAAGGGTCATGAAACTTTTTGAGTCTATCTAACCATTTATGTTATTAATTTTAATCTATCTTTATTATTTTATGAGTTATTAAACATCAAAATGGGTCCGGGACTTTATAAACGCCCTGTATAAAAAAAATTTGCAACACATAATACTTAATTTTAAGTATTACTAATATCCAGTTTAGCGATGTACAAACATACTTGCCAGCAAATGAGTAAAAAATGGATTATTATTACTAATTGAAAAGTGGATATTATTTATTATAGCTTATAAAAACACCAACGGTTTAGCAATATATTTATTTCAAAATTTTTATAAATTAAACTAAAACACTTACTTTGTGTTCACGAACTAATTCTTCAATATTAGGAGCACTATCCCAATGAAATGAAGATAACCAACTTATAACAGTTGTTTCAAGCCACTAAAAATAAACTTAAAATTAATAGCTGATATAAAATGAATTACTTTCCATAGGAATTGTTAAGATACTGAATATATATCAAAAAATGCTCTTTAATATTTTATTATGATTCTCACAGATCTATTAATATTCCATATAAAACTTATTTAAAAAATTTAATATTAATAAACAAAATTTTCCTATCATGTGAATTTTTATAGAAACCAAAACAATCAATGCAATCATTATAACCATGCACTTACAAGGTTTAAAGCAATTAAAAAAATAATAAGTAATCAGCATTAAAACTATAGAAAATTCATCTAGGTTTTGAAATTTTGATTTAAGGTGAGCATTTTGGTACCAGAAAAATTATTGAAAGGTTTTCATTGCATATAAACAGAGTCTTTTTAATTAGAATAAACATGGATATTAATTATTTGATTAGAAAAAATTTAATTACAATATGAGAGCTTGTAAACTTTAGATTTAGTCTGAGGCCAAGAACAAAAATTCTAATTTAAATCAGAAAAAAAATAAAGGATTAAGTAATAAAAGAAATATTGCTGCACATAAACAGACACAAATTAGATAAATCAGAAGTATTTAAGTTGATAAATTTTTGTGACCATCTTCAATTACTATGAATAATACCTTTACTTTAATTTATATTCTTTCAAAAATTTTGGCAAAGAGGTACTATTTCATGTAACATAACTTCTGAATTTTCACTGAATCATACATATCTCGAATACTTTCAGATCATGAAATAAAAAATTAATTTTTATAAAGTTTACAGGTTTAATTCATAACCCCTTTAATTCAAAATAAATAATAGGTGACTAAACTTCACAAATAACTGAAAATATACTAGGAAAAAGTTAAAAACGTAATATAGGATGCAATATAACAGAATACAATGCAATTTCTTTATGTTTTAGCTATACATTATAGTAATGTACAAAATACAGAAGCAAAGGTAACAAAAATTATCGTTTAACTGTTAAATAAACACAGGTCTAGAAACAGGTTTTAGGTTCAAATATTATAGATATGAAATATAAATAAATTTGAGTGTTTTATATGCACAATATCAAAAAAAAAAAAAAAAATTATACATAAAAGAAAAAAGAATTCTAATTACTTGTAAAATAAAGCTTAAAATACTTACAATTTTCACAGCACTAAGAAGAGGAATTTCAAAATTTCCTTTACAAAAATCACGAATATATAGCTCAACAACATCTTGAGCAACATTTATAGGAACATCTCCCACGACCAGTTGAAAAAAATTTAATTCATGCCTATAATTTAATAATATACATTAAGAAGCAAAAGAGATAAAATTATTAATTATCTTTAGCAATAAGAAGTTTTGTTATTAACATTTATCTACTGCGATATGACACTTTAATTTATTAAATAGCATTATTTACAAAATTATTATCAAATTACAAGTAAAACAAACTTTTTTTTCCTTCTCCTTTTTCTTCCAGCGAAACTAATATTTCTCTTTTGGGGCTATTCATGATAATTTGTCATTTGAATTAATATACTAACTTTAAAGGAGAATATTATATTATTCACATTCTTACAACAGTCCATTATATTATGGAGACATATAGTATTATGGAAGTGGAGGTTAAGACTCTACAAATCAATGACTAACAAGATATTATTCTTAATATAATTTAAAATTGTTTAGGAACATACATTTAATCAGATTAATCTGAGCCTAGCTTCAATATCATAAATGTTTTGAGAAATCAAAATTTATCTTTAAATACATATTATTTGGAAACAAAAATATTATTCTATTATTCATAGTCAGAGCCGGATTATACCTTTTGTAGGCCCTAGGCATAGCCGTTTTTGGACCCTCCCCTCTTTCCCCCACTCCTCGACATTTTGCGTAGTTTGGAATTCGACAGCATAATACAAGATTTAGTTGAATCCAAAAAAGTAATATATTAGATCATAAGATTCTGCAAAATAATTTATTGCCGAAAAATATTATATTTTTATTTGTATCTTCATAATTTTGTGCAAAATACACTTGTTGTTTTTAAAGCTAAATTATTTTTGTCAACAAATTTTTTTCTCCCAAGTTTTTCGTAGGCCCCTGAATTTCGTAGGCCCTAGGCACGTGCCTAGTGTGCCTATAGGTTAATCCGGCCCTGTTCGCAGTATATTCAAAACTAATCATTATAAATAATATTAAAATGCTCACATAGCATAAAATGTTTTGTTAAAATTGAAACTTAAAAGAGAACATATATACTGATTATTTTATAAAATATTTTGTCATGAATAGATTTTGAGATACCATAATAACTAATATCATTATCTTTTATCTAATTTGTTCCAAAAACTTAACAAGCAATTGAGTGTTTCCAGTTTTATGTTGCAAGAAAGAAAAAAAAATAACAATATAGTTAATAAAAACATCTTAATAGTTCCATATTTAATTAGTTAAAATCTATAAATGTAATTTTAAAAAATCTGATGTACATTACACTCAATCAGTGATATACAAGCTACAAGCTGTAAAATTTGCAATTGAATTACATGAAAATAACGGATATTATCACATTTGTGAGTTTTGGAAAAATAAATTGAAAGTTTATGACAAGTTTATTTGATTTATATGTATACTAATACAAAGAAGTGCTATATTTTTCTCATTTAAAAGAGTTAGACATTAAACTTTTAGGATAATATTACAGCATCAGCTTAGTGTTAAAAGATATTTTTGAAAATTTTAAGGTGATGTTTACTTTTAATTTAAGTACTAGAATTTACTTTTAATTTAAGTACTAGTATTTACTTTTAATTTAAGTACTAGTATTTACTTTTAATTTAAGTACTTTACTGAATAAAATATTTTTTTACAGAATGATTTTTTTTTCTTTTTATAGCATAAAATAATTAAATAACTAGGTAACAAGACAGTTGCAACTTAATTCTCAATACTGATGAAATACATTTTCTTTAAACAAGCTTAAAATGATTCATATTGGAAAATGTTTTACTATTTCTGAAACAATGTAGATGACAAAAAATCACTAATATAAGAATAAAAAATATAACTCACAATCGATGATTTGTGATATAAAACTCTGCCAAAAATTTCTCACAATTGCATTCGCCACCTTCAGAAATGCAAGCAGTACACTGTAACGACTGTGTTTCTTCTAAAAAATAAGAAAAAAAATTACATTTCAACATATTTAATTAAACATATCTAAATAAATATTTTTTTAATAAATTTAACTTCAGCAGTAGAGAAAATTACCTGATTTCCTCAACACATGAATTTAAAATATTTTAACATTGGAATAAAGTAATTCTTCCTAACAAAATTAATTATAGTAAGAATTATTTTTGTTCAAAATTAAGTGATTGTAAAATAGATTTGTAATTGAGTAAAACATAGCATGAATATTCAATAGAATAATGCACTTAGAAATAATTAATTTTCATAAAAGCAGTAAAAATAATTAAATATAGAACTAAATTTCTCTCTGTTATTATCAAAAATTAATTTTATGCTTAAAATGCTTAATTTATTTAAAATATAATAAAACTTCTTTTAACCCCTTCAGGACTGGCAGAAGAGAAAATTGACATTTCCTAAGGACCACATGCTTTGAGTTTATACGTACAAATACAAGAGTGCCATATAGAAATCACACCCATGTGATTTTGAACAGTTTAAGTCAAAAAGTCTTATTTCTTGTATGATACGCCATAAAGAAATAATCATGTGACATATATGTGATCATTGTCTTGAAGGGGGTAATATATTCACAACTAAGATGATTTGTAAACACTATTAATGTATAATAAATCTTGCAGAACAAAGATATGATTTATTTGATTTTTAAATCAATCAGTGCTCAAAAAACAGTTAATGAGAAGATTTCCATATCTATACTTGTATAAAAAAACCAGCAGTAACTTGCTAGAAACTTCAAAAAAATAAATAAATAAAGACAAATGCGAAGAATATAATTCATAGGCATCCCGAGACAAGCCACTATATATATTATACATGTTTATAGTTGAAATATACATGTATCGATATGGAAAAACTTCCAGGTTCACATTTGCTATCAAAGAATTAAATATTAATAATTCACTACTTCAAACAAAATACAAGCATGCTTAATTGAAATACCTTTTATATGCTTAAATTTTGATTGATATGCCTTGAATGATTGGTTATAGTAATCCACAAGAACAGCTCTGAAATCAACTGGCCAATGAGCAAATGCAAGAGATCTAGCTATGATTAAAAGATCTGATTTAACAGTACCTCTGACATATTTTATTTTGTCCATAATGTCAGGATTAGTTTGTGAAAGTTGCTCTAAACCTTGTTGGAGTGCTTCAATTTCTTCCAAGCAGAAATAATATGATTCAATCTGTTCATTAAGATAAGCTAAAGCATCAGGGAATTTCCAGAACTTCCCACGAGGACAATTTTCAAATGTCTTCCAAAATTCTGGAACTACGTTACTTTGCATATCTTCTTTAAAAGTAGCAAGAAACCAATCTCTCACCATTGCTGTCATTCCACATTGATGAAGAGTAGCAAGAGCCTCAATGTATTGTGCTTGATTAGGTCTTGCTAACTATAACAAACAAAATAAATGTTTATATTTAGGATATAAAACCAGGGGTCTACAATTTCCGAGAGCCAGATCAACTAAAAAATCATAACTGGCATCTAATATTTGTGTAAAATTAAACCTGTTTTTTAATTCAAACCTGCATATTGTCTACATAAACTCCATTCCACATTAGTTTACTATGTTTTAAAAACTAAATGGCACATTTGAATATTATGCATGCATGTATTGCGGTGATTATATAATTGTACGTTAATTAAAAGTATATACCACACTTCTGACCACTTTATTATTTTTTGAATAGTATTCAATTAAAAAATAATTGTTTTATGTAATTTAATAAAAAAAGAATGTTCAGTTGCTTTTTATTTTATTAAAAACGGACTCCTTAAACTTGTCCAGCTCCTAGAAATTTTGTAGAACCCTGTATAAAGCATTTGGATATTTAAAAACATGATAATGTTTAGGAGCAAAAGTATTATAGTCTAATTCACCTCATCATCAAAGGTTGTCCTTTTTTTAAGCATTCTAGTCACAATATTCCACACGTGAGCGAAATTAGGGGTCTCCATTTGGTATAAACTTTTTTGAAAATGCTTGGCTAAAGAAATTTTTTTATAAAAATCAAAAGCTTTGTGAGGAAGTAATAAACAAACCATCAAACAACATTGTTTACGATTTTAAAAAATGCAACTGAGCCAAGCAACCAGTTTAAACTATTTCAATTTCTCTAAGCAGTTCCACTTATTCTAATTTAATAGTCAATCAAAGAAACTGAAAAACTGAGTTGATTCCGTTCAAAGATAATTGAAAGAACCTTGGCAAGGCAGAGTGAGTAGTATGCGCACTAAAGGTAAAAAGTGATAATGCGCTGCATGTTTACAACGTTGCTGATCAATCGTAATATCACCGGCTTACCTCAGTTTCAACATTATCATCAGTTTATGTTCTTAAAAATCATCTTATTCACACATTTCAACCTCTGTCAGTTCATCCAGTCGTATAGTACGGTTTCAATCTACTTATGTAAAACATCCGATATCAACATCTCATCCCCTTTAAAGAAATGATGAAACGAAAAATTATATTTTTTCCTACTGTTTATCGTAAATATCGCTTATTTCCTAGAATATACCATGAAAAAAATGTCCAGACAACTAAACTAGTGTCTGAAAAAAACCACATTATTAATGCTGCTGAAAAAATCGTTCAAGAAAAATGGGAAATTAAGATGAAATTATGGATGAGAAAATACGAAGATCTTTTTGGTATTACTCAACTATCTGAGCTTCACACGAAAGTTTTGAATGTGAGTTCCTTTTAATTTTCTTTCAGATTTGATGAGCTGCAGTATGTTATTAAATTTCTTTGTTCTATTCGTTGATATAAAAACATTTATACTTGCAGAGACCTAGAAACCGGGGAGAGCTTTAACCTTTTAACAGTTTATAAATGAAGAGTTATTTCCCCTTCCAAGACTGTAGTTTTTATCGAAATATGTTTTGTGTGAATAAGTTTACGATTACAAAAAAGTCTAATACACGTTATGTGGGTACTAAAATAAACGTCTTTATTTCAAGGGAGCTTTCATTGTTTCCTTTTTGAAAACAATAAAATTTTTGGATTGTTCTTTTGAAAAATCACATAGACTTGTATCTAAATTTTATGTGTTAAAATTCTGTTACTTTGTTTGCAATATAATTTTCTCTTAATGCTGTCATTTTTAAATTATTTATAAATTTTCTCTTGAAAATTTGTTTCTAATTAGTTTATTTTTTACACCTTTAATGTATTGATTATCTAATTATATTTACTCATATGCTTATTTTTCTGTTTATATATAAATTCCATAGTTGCCTATTTTAAGAAAAAGATTTCTTCTCAAACTAACAATTAAATCTGGTCATTTTCATAGTAATTATTTAATTTTTTGTGCACTTAGAATATTACCAATAAAATCTTTTATAAACATTATGTTTCACTTATTTATATATCATGGTATACATATATATTATTCTATTACCCCCCTCCTCACTTCATTTACATGGGGAATTCGTTTCAAAGATGGATTGTTTATTGAGCATTTTTAAAATATTATTTACTTTCATATTATTGCAACTAATAAAGATTCCTCCATCATACTTTTCTTAATAATTGTTTTGCATCTTGAATAAAGTCTTAATTCTTTGTTATTGAACATTTTTAAAATGCCGGCCAGGTGGCCGAGCGGTTAGCGCTCCTGACTGCGGAGCCATTGGATGTGGGTTCGAATCCCGCTCTGGGCATGGACGTTTCTCTCTCTCTCTCTTTGTGCTGTCCTCTGTTGTGTGTGTATGCGTGAATGTGGCCCACCCTATAAGCAGGTTTGTGGCATGGGCAACGTTGCTCTCCTCCGTGACTTTGGTTCGCAGGTGCCCATTGGGTAACGCTAAATGAGCAACAATACCGGCATCTTCATAGGCAAAAATTCAAATTCAGTGCCTGCCATTAGGGAAAAAAAAAAACATTTTTAAAATATTATTCACTTTCATATTATTGCAAGTAATAAAGATTCCTCCTTCATACTTTTCTCAATAATTGTTTTGCATCTTGAATAAAGTTTTAATTCTTACATTAATTAATGTTTAACAATTTTGAAATAATGGAGATGAAAATTCATTTGTCCAACAAAATTTTTATTATTTTACATTTTAAAATTCTTTTTCAAGGCATTTACCTAACTCAAACCTGAAAAGGCCACTAAAAGAGGATATTGATTGCAAATTTATGTTTATGCCAGTTACTAATTGAAAATCCTGAAACATTAATTTTAATCGATTTATACCAAACAGGCATTAAGTGTTCAAAATTATCTAATATTTTTTTACTTGTGAAATACAACTGAGATATTACTCTATCAGTCCTGCATTTGTTAACTGAAGCTAGGCACCAAATACTCAGTTCATGTACTCACAAATAATTGTATGGTGAATTTTTAAGTCACTCTGGCTAACAAGTTTAACCCTTCAAGTTTATCTGACCATTTTAAAATCTAGGTCTTTTCAATATATTATATTATTACAATCATTGAATTTTGAATCACGTCTTTGATTACAGGTTTTGACTTGTTTTATCTGCAGCTATTATTGTAAACTTATGCACAACTCCTGTGATTAAAATATGATACGCAAAATATTCAAAATGCTAGAATTTTGCGCAATTAAACTTTCTTTATTTGAATGCACAAATTTATTATATTGAAATTTTTTTACTATTTTTTAATCGAACTTTGTTTGAAAAGTAGATTTTTTTTAAATTGAAGTAAATTTTAAAAAAAATTCTTGAATATTATGATGGATCTCTTACACTTTTATGTGAAATACAATAACCCTATTTATTTATTATTATTTATTTATTTTTGAGATAATAATGCTGGTTTTATTTTTTAAATGTCTTGCCTTTTTTTAGGTCGTAGTCACATTTATTTTAGAAACCTTACTTTGCTTTTTGTCAAGGCTGAGAAATTCTCTACTCTATTTTTTTGTTATCAAAATCCTATAAAAAGGAAATTGAATGCCTTTTAACCCTTGTACATTGTATTTAACCGAATAAAGCTGTTTATGGTCAAAACCTGGATAATGGACAATTACAGTCAAATTTTTTTATAATTNCCGAATAAAGCTGTTTATGGTCAAAACCTGGATAATTGGTCAAGATTGTGCTCTCTTATACAGTAATTTATGCACATATACTATCTTTACACTTTCAATTTATTTCTCTATTTCAATTTCAAGTAAATTCTAATTTTTTTTACAATTACTTACTTGGGAAAATATTAAAAATGCTCATCCTCATTTTTTGAACATATTTTTTTTTGCTTAGCCGATTGTGGTTTTGTCCACATGCTTTTTAATAAATTTGTTTTCCATAGCTTTTTTTTTCCTTTTTTGCAGGTTCAAGAAAAAATCCAAAATGTTCAGGAGAGAAGACGAATAGTTCAAGAAGAAATATTTGCTGTCCAAAAGAAACTGCAAGAATCACAAGATATTTTGCATAAAACATCACTAGGAGATGATATGTATATATCTTTGGTTACCCAAGTAAGAAACCTAATCTTACATTATACCTGTACTTTGGTTATGGAATTGGCATTATTTGGCTCATTGTGAAAAGTTTTATGTGTTATAAACAAGCAATTTTTAAAAAAAATTTGTTTTATCTATTTTTTTATTTATTTTAATTTTATTTATTTATTTTTATGGTGGTTATACATTTGTGCTAATTGGTAGGTGTTTATAAATTGTTTCATTCAGTTGCATAGCATCCAAAGATAGAATTGAATGCTAAATCTTTTGATGGAATCAATTATATAATAAAAAAAATATTCCTATGCATATTTCTAGGTTGCTATCAAAACAGTTGCAAACAACTTATTATATTAAGATGTAATTGAAGATCTTCCAAAGATAGAATTCCTCTTCAAAGAATAAAGAAATTTGTGAACTTCTTTTTTTTTTTTTATCTTTTGCAAACTAGAATAAATGCACAAATTTCTCTTACAGTAACTTTTGAGTAAACAAAATCTTAAACATGAGTTAACAAACAAAGTGCCGTCTTAGATTGAATAAACAATTGGCCACTTTTTGCTATTGCTCCTTTTTTCTTTTTCTTACTTCCTTTTTTTTATTTTTTAAATCAATTGTTTAGTGTTAGAAGTACATCGATGTCGAAAGACTCTGGAAAAAATAATTTTCATTGAAATGTCCGATGTCTCCTTTCAAAGTTTTAATCCTTCAGAAACCATCAATTTGTGATTAAAAGATTCGAGAAGAAGTGTTCTTTAACAATTCATGTATTTCAAAGTATTAATTTAATCATGAAATGTATTACGCTTCCCCAAATATTTTTAACTGAAGTTCTATAAAGTCAATACCTTTAACTAAATTTTGTCATATATTTATATTATTTTTATTGTTGAATTATAACTGTAGATTATTTCTAATTTGAATTAATATATCATATTAGAAATAATCTATGGTTATAATTCAACAGTCAATACCGACTCATTAGGTTTGAGGAAAAAGTAGCTATGAAGCTATTAGAGTCTTCTGGTCACTGGATTCTACTGCTGGGGTGACTAATATTTTGTAAGTGAGCTTATATTCATTGAAAAATAATCTATTGCAGGTACGAGATCTTTTAAAAGAGCAGAGGCGACTTCAAGAAGTCTTTAGCTTGCATGATAGAACGGAACGAGAACATCAAATGACTTTAGCTCTTGCTATAAATAGCAGTCAAGATCATGAAAGGACTTACAGAGAAAAAAATAAATATTTATCTTTGATAACTGGTGTTGTTGGTGCTATTCTAGGTCTTTTGGGATCAACAATTAATAATTGGCGTCACAGAAAAGATATTAAAGTGTTTGCTGGTGATATAGCAGATAAAGTAGCAGGTTTACAAGAACAAATAGATAGTCGTCTTACGAATTTACCAGCTACTAAAGTTAATAACAATGAATTATTAAAAACTGACGCATTTTTCAATGAACTGAAAATGCAACAAGGAGCTTTATCTGAAAATATAAAATACTTAGAATCCCTCTTAAGTAACAAAGTTTTAATAAACTATGAAAAACACGATGAAATATTTTTAGATTTCCAACTGAAGCAATTGATTTATAATTTAGAAGAGAACTTTGATGCAAAATTGAAGCTTCATACATCAATCAATGTAGGTTTATTGACAAGTTTGTTGCTACTTTGTAGTTATCTATTTTATGTAGGTAATGTTCGCTAATTAGAAAGTATATTTTGTTTACTATCAACACATTCTTGTATAAATGTTTGTATTTATTTTCTTGATTAGAAATAAAGATTTACTTCTGTTAATTTTTTCAAAGTTTAGTTCTTTTTATATAACTTTGGTTCTAAGTCCCTGCCCATAGTGAAATTCTGGAAAATATTTTAGAGTTAAAGCTAAGGATAGATGTTTCTCCAAAGAATAAATAAAAACGCAATCAAAATTTAACGAATCACTACTGCGAAGAGCAGGATTAAAAACTACTTGATTGCTAAATGCTGCAGAAATAAATTAAAAAGACACTTTAAGAAATATTTTTGAGTGTTATTAGGCAATCCAACTGGTTTTGATTTTTACTATGCTGTCGACGGACCCATACACACTCAGCTCTTGTTGGAGCAACTGTACGAGATGCGAGTGCGTTTTTTGGTGTGTACAGATGCCGTGACCAAATCAAAATGGGGCGAGGCTGCCTCCCTTTCATCCGGCCAAGGAACTCAAACCAGTTGTGTTGAAACCAGATCCCACCACATCCTTGGGCAGGTGTGTGTTCTGCTCAAAAGAGCATTGCCATAGATGTATTGCAGTGACGGGTGGGATTTCAAACTTTTTACATATGACTATGGAGCCAATCCCTCATCGATCACGAGTGTTTCATCTTTTGTAAATGACCTGTCTGAAAATATTTTTGTACCTACTCTTGTGAAAAAAAACATTTCTATGAATCCATGTTGTTATCTTTTCACAAAATGAATACATGATCCAATTTTCAAAATTAAAATTTTCTACGGATGGTCTCAACCACTCGCTCTGGATGACTCACGTTTTGCCCTAGTTTGTTTCGAGGGTCCATTCGAAAGGGTTGTGTTGTCACACCCAGACAGAATGTTCTACAGTTACTCGAAAAAATAGCTGAGCACCATGACCTTTGCAAAACGACCCTGGGGTGGCATCTCTGGAGGCAATGCAAATGATTCAATCTATTTTTTTTATTATGTCGATGAATCTCGAGCTCTTAAGAAATCATCGACAGCATTGACTTGAGCTCCAGACAACTTTCAGAGGACACCTACGAAACAGGAGTTGACTCCGTCACACTCTAAAATACATCAGTTTTATGATAGCTTCTTCAATTAACCTATCGTCTGAACACACTCCATGTTTCGTAAGTCCATTGCTTTCTAGGGCTGAATTTCCGCAATTACGATGGACAAATTTGGCAAAACAAAAGCCTGTACAAAAATGCAGGCTACTCATTGGCTGAATTCGGCATGATGGACATAGAATTGTCAGAAAATCAATAAAATGGACAGAACAATTTTTCATCTCACCATCGCAGGGGGGGGGGGACTTTACAGCTATTTTAGGTTCTAATCAATTTTCTTGTTATCTATAATGAGGTGAAAATTCAAATACCTCCATAAGTTCGGTTCTTCATTACTGAAGTAGAGTGGAGCCCCCAAAGAAGTTTTTGCCCCAGGCCCCTATTAAGCTAAGGCAGGTCCTCGGGCTACTAATCGTCCTCAAGGATGTGACCCATACTGACGTCAATAGTTCATTGTGCTGCTCTGGTTTGACGTAAATGAAGTATTACTACTTTGATCTTACAAAGTGTTGAAGGAAGGCTATATGACATTGCGTATTTAAAGTGCATGTAGTGTGCCTACCACTACAAAGTTACAATTACAATTCACTAGTATATAAAAAATGCTAACTCGATTTTATAATGGGATACCCTTTCATAGATGTCGGTTGACACTGTCCATAGCTACCATCCCAACATTGGTGACCTTCTGACGTATCGTGAACATGCGTACCTTGACGGAAACTCCCACTTCGATATGACCACGCCTGTCTTGACAGTAACACCCACTTCAATCTGAACACGCCTACTTCGATGAATGATCCACATTGATCAGTTGACTTGCTACTTGTGACTGCGACATTATCCACCTCCTCGTGCAGTTGCTACTCAGTCTCGATGACAACAACGTATTCACTCGACAGATAAAGGCGACCATGAACTTAATACAGCTCTCGCGATCAGCACTCAAAAGAGCGATGATCTTAATACAGCTCTACCAGCTTCTCACAAAACTGCAATGAATCTACAAGTGGTATCCAATCATCGAGTTCTATTACATCTATAATTCTTTTGAGGGAGCACTGTAGTTTGTCTACCACTAAAAAATTACAATTACAATTCACTAGTATATAAGACATGTTAAGTCAATTCTATCACCATTCAGATCCCAGACTCGGTCAGAGAAGGATGTCTTCCATCGAACCGGTTTCTACGAACGACGTCGGGTCTACTGGCGTGGGACAGTCCGAGTGTCGCGGGGGCCAGACCCCCGGACGGTCGGGCATCCCGCCTTTAGATTCCATCCATCTCGGGCTTACCTATCCACCCCAGTCCTTTTCAGGATTCTCTGAACGGGAGATAGGAAGCACGGCGCTGTCGCCGCCACGAGATGCGGGGCTACCTGGAACCCTTGAGGCACCGGCAGGGACGGCTACGCCAGAACTGCACGGACCTCCTGGGAGCCTTGTAGTACCCAACACGGTTAGGCATTGCGACCTCAGCATAGATAAAAAAGCAGCAGAAAACGGGAAACTAGACTGTACTAGGATAAGGGATTACAGTGACGCAATTAAGTTCAATGTAATAGGCCAGATTCAAGAAGACTCAATTAAAGCTGCATTCCTACAATTGCATAGTTGTATAGATGTTCTAATTAAACAGATAACTGTGCAAGGTGATAGAATAAATAATATGAGCCAAAAAATTAAAGGTTTTGATGAGAGATATTTGGAGGAAGTAACGGCAGAAAAAGCTTTTATTAGCCCCCAAAACCATAAAAGTCTAAAACATTATAAACCACCTTTCGCTAAAGTTAAAAATTCCCCCCTGAGAGAGCAAAATTTACCATTAAGTAATAAATTTAGCCCACTCGAAGTAGAAAATATAGATATAACAGAAAATGAGGAAATGATAACAGATAATACCAAAACAGTTAACAATAAGAGAAAAGCCTCCCCTGTTAAAGGTGAAAACAACGAAATCAAAAGACAAGCCGTTAGGGAAGAAAATAAAAATCCAATTGTAGATAATGTTGAAAATGAGAACTTAGATAGCGAAATGGTCGAAAACGACCAAGAGATCACCTTAGATGAAGTAGGTTTTCAGGAAGTAAAAAGAAAAACCAGAAACCCCCCTATTATTGTAAGGGATAATAACTTTTGTTACGAAAAATTCGAAGAGGCTATGGCGGAAAACAAGGTCTATGATTATGAATGTAAAACTAGTCAAGAGAATATGGTTATTAAACCGAAATCAGACGGAACACATAGACAAATAAGGAAATATATGGAAGATAATCAAATAGAACACTTCTCATATAGACTACCCAACGAAAGACACATGAGAGTTGTTTTCAAAAGAGTTCCATTCGACTACCAAGAGAAAAACTTACAGGCATTCCTAATAGATAATGAATTCCCAGTGGTCGAGGTGAAACAAATGACAAGTAAGCGTAACGGAATAATCAAAAAACTACCATTATTTCTAGTCTCCTTACGCAGAGAAGGGAAATTTAAAGAAATATTCCATGTTACCCACATAGGACAACTGAGAGTCAATGTCGAGGCTTACAGGACCCGGCCTGGCCCGGCGCAATGCCACCGGTGCCAGGGTTTTTATCATTCTGCCGCAATGTGCAAGCTCCACCCAAGATGCGTGAAGTGTGGAAATGACCATCTAACTTCAAACTGCACCAAATCGAAAGACGAAAAGCCACGCTGCTGTAATTGTGGTAAAGATCACCCAGCTAACTATCGGGGATGTGATAAATTCCCACTAGGACCAAAACAGCAAAGAATAAAGAAAATTAATAATAAACCCCAAGAGAAAGTATTCGAAAATAAAAGCTACGCCGATGCGGTGAAGAAACAAAATAGCTTAGACGTACAAAAAACTGTTGAAGATGCAAGAGACATATTTAACAAACTCAATGACATGGTAAGCGTTTTAAATGGCCTAAACGCAATCCCACTGCTCAAAAGAGCAGTCGAAAAAATCGAACAAGAGGAACTGAACAAAAATAATGATGAGTAAAAGCTTAAGTATTATGTTATGGAACGCCGACGGGATCAAAAACAAATTCATTGAATTCAGTAATTTTATTTATGAATACAATATTGACATTGCACTAGTTACCGAGACGCATACCAATGGCTCGAATAATCTAACACTAGCAAATTATCACACCTACAAGACCGATAGACTTACTACCAGAGGAGGAGGTACGGCTATTTTTGTAAAGAGAAGTTATAACACAGTTCTCTATAGTAATAATACTGGGCCAAATCACGAAGAAACGTCCATACTTCTGTACCAAAATAATAATATAGCATACAAATTTACTGCATTATACAACAAACCCGGAAATGTTATTACCAAAGAAACCATAGATACCCTCTTTCCATCCAACATTGATTGCATTATCGGAGGTGACCTTAATGCAAAGTACACATCCTGGGGATGCCGTACGAATAACCAAAATGGTAAAGAATTATACAAAATTGTGGCTGCGAAGAGTTTAACAGTCATTGCACCCACAGACCACACGTACTTTCCGTACGCTCCCAATAAAAGATCGGATTTATTAGATTTCTTTATAACTAATACAAACACCCCAATGAACTGTCATACTGTCACAGAGTTGGCAAGTGATCATGTTCCGGTCCTAGCCACTCTCGGCGATTTCATACAAGACACCCCTGCATTGACTAAGAAAACAAACTGGGACCTGTTCCACAATATTCTTGTGCTCGACGAACATCATTGTAACATACAAAACATAAATGATATAGAGACCACCATCAATTCATTAACGAATAAGATACAAAATGCACATCTAAATGCCACAAAAGTATCCGTGGATAAAAAGAACTATATGGCTCTACCACAAAATATCAGAGAAGAAATTGCCTATAAAAACTATATAAGAAAAAGGTGGCAAAGAAATGGTGACCCCAAGGATAAGAAAGAACTTAATAAACTCACTAAAAGTCTAAAAAGAAAATGTAGTGAATACAGAAATAATCAATGGAACGACAAAGTAGCAGAGCTCTGCACTGAAAACCAAACCGTCTGGAAAATGGCGAAATCACTTAAATCTTCAAAAACCAAATCTATTAACAAACCAATTCTTGAAAATAATATAAATATCTATAGTGATAGTGAGAAGCTGAAAATATTTGCAAACACAATTGAGAACCAATTTAAACTCAACCTTCATCCTACTGATAAAGATGAGGAAGAGAATATAAATAATATCTATGATCACTATCTTATGCATAAGAATATCGGACCTATTGACCCAATAGACCAGGCCGACATAATCCAAGTCATTAACAAGTTAAATAACAAAAAAGCTCCAGGAGAGGATAACGTAAATAACAAAATGATGAAGTATCTTCCCATAAACCAAATAAATGTTTTATGCAACATATATAATGCATGCCTTGATTATAATATCTTTCCGAAAACCTGGAAGAACGCCACTGTAATACTTATTGCCAAGCCAGGAAAAGACAGTAGACTAGCCTCGAACTACAGACCCATAAGTCTTCTTCCTACATTTGGAAAATTTTTTGAAAGGCTGTTACTACAAAGACTCACTCCACATATTAACTTCTTGCCAGATGAACAGTTCGGCTTCAGAAAAGAACTGTCGACAACCAAACAACTTATTAGGTTAATTGACTTTATTAGCGACGGTTTCTATAAACATGAGACGACAGCCCTCCTTATGCTGGACGTGGCCAAAGCATTTGACCGCGTCTGGCATAAGGCATTAATCACTAAACTAATAAGACAACACATACCCACTGCCTTTACGAATATTATTGATTCATACTTAAAAGACAGAACATTCCAAATCAAACTAAACAATAAATTGTCTGAGAAAAAACCGATAGACGCAGGGGTCCCCCAAGGGAGCATCCTTGGACCCATATTATACCTTATCTACACAAGTGACTTCCCTGTTTTAAGTAATAGAAACTGCATGGTGGCCTTTTACGCCGACGACACGGCAATAGCTGTCCGTTCACGCTGCCCAAACCACGCTGCCCTGAAATTAAATGATCAAATGCCAAATATTGAGAGTTGGTGCTCGAAAAACAAAATAGCCATAAACACCGATAAATCTAAACTACTAATAATCAGAAGGAAAAAGAGAAATAGAAAGATTACCAATAAAGTATGCCTATTCTCAAATAATATCCCAGTTGTAAACAAAGCAGACTACCTAGGGCTTACCCTAAACTATAGACTAAACTGGAATGAACATATCACGAAAATTACTAACAAAACTGAAGCTGCTTATGCCTGTCTTAGACCGATACTCAACTCAAATTCTCATCTACCGTTAAACATAAAAAGACACCTATACATCAGCTGTATCAGACCCATATTCACATACGCATGCCCTGCATGGAACTGTTTACCTGATAGTCAACTTAAGAGACTAGAAACGTTACAAAATAAGATTCTGCGAAGGATTACCGGTGCTCCCTGGCACATTCCAAACAAGTTAATTCGCAAAGACCTAAACATCGATACAGTTTATGAGTATATAAACCAACTAAGCGCCAGCTTTTTTCATAGTGTGAATAATACGAATGTGGTCAATTTTAAACAAATAATGAAAAAAGAATTAATTCAGGACAGCAGAAATCATAACCCAATTATAAATTTCCTATTATCAGACGGAATACTCTCACGCAGATACAATAGATAGGAATACACACACAAACAAAACACAGTCATGACACAAGGCCTACAGCGAACCCGGGGCAAGAGCAACCTTGTTTTTTAAATAGGGTCCCAACCGGGCAAGCTGTAGGTTTTAATACTAGAACGACGAGCAACCCGGCACGAGCGGTGGAGTACCGGGACGGCCGGGTCGTCGTATTATCAGAGGATACTACTTGTACATATTGTAAATACTGTAAATAGTTTATTATATTTGCCTTTAATTTTTATCAGACTTGTACTTTAATATTTGTACATAAATTTCTTAATTATTCATTACTTATTTTTGCCAATTTTCATATCTTTATCCCCAACTAATTCTTATATGTTATCATGATTTGAACGGCATATGCAGATATCTCGAGCCGTTACTGCCTCGTACTCCTCCAAATTTCCCGTCCTCATTACTTCCAATGTCATTAGTCTCAGTCGCCCTAGGGCATATCACAGATCAGAGGTCTAGTGCCCGCTTGCGCGGGCAGGTACCTTGCCAAATTACATGATCTAGCTAGCTAGTCAATTCTATGATGGAGTACCTTTTCATAGATGACGGTTGACATTGTCGATAACTTCTATCCTCACAGTGCATATTTTAACTGCAGCATTCTCACTTATAAATTTTTCCCGCTCGAACGAGAATCTGATTGGTGAAAATTCTTTATTCATGAAAGACTAGCGAATCAAGTTCCAAAAACGGGGGGAACTCGCCAATTACACTTTCGTTCACAAATGAATATTTTTCTTTCAACAAGAATGGTTCTTTAATCTTGCTTAACTTCGCTTCTTAAAATAAAAAGTCCCACAGTTGACTGATCGTTAAGACACGGTTCCCAGCAGATCACCGAAGTCAAGCATCGCTGGCTGCGGTCAGTGTGCGGGTGGGTGAAAACTTGGATCAGTCTGCGTAGGGACCGTAGTTCTGCGGTATTGGTCCTCGTTAAACTGTGCTACCGTAAAGTGCTCGATTTCGCATGCAGGTCGTTGTGCTACCGAAGAGGGGGTGCCATTGCTATCTCCTCTGCAGAGGATCAAAATTGTGATGGCATGTCTTCGGATCATCCTCAAGGATGTTTCCCAGACCGTCGTCAATAGCCCATTGTGCTGCTCTAGTGCGACGTAAATGAACTACAACAATAACAACAACTCAAAATAAAGAAAAAATCAATTTGTATGGGATAACATAAGCAATATCAAAATCCAGGAATTGGATTTCCTCCAATTCTATCGAAGAGAAGTGAATTCACTCATCATAATCCAAACAAATAGTTCTCTACTTTTACGAATTTTAAATGTTCCGACTTTGAATTATTTCTCTTTACGATCTCTTAAATAATTTTAAACACAGGTAATATTCTCTTATTGAGTAGTAAATTTTTTTGAATCTAATTTGGTAGATATTTCGTTTTGCTATGCTCATTTAAGTAAGTAGTGAATTACCATTAAAAAAGTAGTGAATTACCATTTGATGTCTTTTTTTTTTCTGGAAATTAAAACGACAGAATTATTTTAAAATTTTATCAGCATAAAGAATTAAACATGCTTTAATTTTTTACATAGTTTGCTTTTTTTTATACTAATTATTGCGACATAATACATTTATTAACATAGTACGGTCTTTTTATTTTTAAGCTACCATTAAGTTATATTTTTGTTTTTATTGCTTTAAGGAGGTTTAATTCGTCAAGGAAATTAAAATTTGTTAGTCGTCGAAGTGTTTACATTTGTTGGTAATATATTTAATTGAAAGCAAGAAAACTTTTAAAATTGTTATTATATGCTTGAAATTTATAAAATAACTAAAATACTATTTTTTATATAATTATTCAATTGACGTAAAATACATTGATGAAATTTTCTTGAAAAAGAAGTATGAATACAATTTTTAACGCGTTTGAAACTGTTAATGAGATTAAACCATGTTGTCTAGGTATATATATATATATATATATATATATATATATAATAATAATTTAATAGCATGTTAATCACTTCACTATAGAGTGACACTAAAATTTACGTTTTCAAACACATTTAAATACAGTAGATAATTCATCAAANATGTATAAATATATATATATATATATATATATTTTTACAAATTAAGTATGGTAAGTAATAAAACATTTTTTAAAAATTTTTTAATTGAACCTTAATCATATTTGTAAAAAAAAATTATATTGGTAATTTAATAAATATAATCTGTCAAACACATGCACATCATTACGAAAAGGAAACTATGTTGTTTAGTAATTAGATATTTATCAGGATTTTTGGTTATGAAAATTAGTGCTTGAGGCAGGTGAAGTACTGTTTAGGTATCACCTGTTCATAAGCTAAAATGTCTTGATTTTATCTCCTCTCAAGTTTTCTCTGTTCTTTTTTTATTCTAGGTTTTTTATTTCAAAGATTTTTGGGCTTGATCTGAATTTTCATTTCAAGGCTCAAAAAGAAAGATACCCAATTTTGCTAAAGTAGGAAGAATTGAAGAGTAAAATAAACTCATATTTTTAAATAAATAATGTTAAGAAACTTAAGCCGTTTGATAGAAAACTTCATTCACTTAAAAAATATATGATAAAAAAACGTGTTTTATGTGCTTCAAATATAGCTTCCTATTTTCAAGACTTGCCAGATATTAATGAGAAGAAGCAAAAGTTATTTAAAATAAACAAGGTAAAGTTGCCATTGAAAAATGAACTAATGCAATTTTCCAAACTATTTCACACTTATTAAAAAAAATAATTTGGAGCAGGTGAGTGGATAGATAGCTCTGAGTTGCACACAAAGGTTATTTTTGTAACGACAACATAAAACTAATTTTAGAGGTATGAAAAGAAATTGTAAACAAAGTGTATTTACCAAACTTCAGCAGAGAAGTTGTGGACATTAAAAACTGCATTATAAACAATGATACTCAGTTAGCCATAAATTGTATATTGATGGATATAGAAACAATTGTAATGAAATTGTATTCATATTTTCATATATATACAGTGAGAACTGAAAACCTGAAGAACTTTTGTGATTTTGTAGAATTTGAATCTAAAAAAACTTCAGGGTTATAGGATTTTGCCAGATACTTAGCAATTATGCTAAATATCTGGAGCATATCATAAAGTTATTTTCTAGTTTAAAGGCTTATTTTGAGAGCCAGGAAAATTGACCAAAAATTCTCCAGAATTTTTTTGAATTTTGATTCAGTTTTACTCAGTGCCTAGTAGCATTTTTTCACATCAATATCAAAGTTATTGAAGGGGAAAATTTTGCAGACGCTGAAGTACAAGAGACTATCTTGAATCTGGAAACTGATCTAAAGATGAAAAATGATGATTTATTTCTCCCTCGTTTTGTACTTTAAGAAGTTAAATATTGAGGGTTAGATAAACGAAAAGGAATTAGCGAAAATTATTTTAGAATTTTAGGTACTAATTTACAAAACAGCAGATTCCTATCAATGAGATAGCCATTACAAAAATGCCTACTCCAATCTTTGATAAATTTTGAACCAAATGAATGAATTTAACTAAATGGGCTTCAGAGATAGACAATGGGTAGAAATGTTAAAATTTTTTTATTCAGGAGATTGATTGAATTTGAAAGCACATAAAAAAATACTCAAATTTGGTATTAGTTTGCGAGTAACAACAGTCAGAAGAACATTTTCTTTGGTAAATAAAATTTGGTCTTCCTCAAAAAACTCAACTTGTTCTTTGAGAACTTAAAGCTTTTATTGCCAACTGACTAAGTTTTATATTTTATATTCATGCAAAGAGTTTTAGATTTTTTGAAAGCCAATAAAAATTTATTATTAAAATTTCTTTCCAATAGCAAATATAATTTATTAATTTCTAATGATAAAACTTAGTTGATTTATTGGAATTTGTTGAAAATTTTATGTTGTAAAATTATGCAGTGAACACCATTAAGTTATTTTTCACCCGTAATTCTAAATGTTATTGCTTTGTTATTTCAAAATTTGAAAACAATTGCTATGTTTTCATAAAATTGCAGGGGAAGGAAGATGGGCAACTTTTGTAAAATTTATTTCTTGTATGAAATCTGAAATTCTTTTATTTAAATGATGTGTTGAAACTCTGGAAGAAAAAAAAAATTGGTGTCGCCAGATTTTTAGTTTGAAAAATCTGGTCACATTAGGAAATCACATCATATAAAAAGATATTAGCTTTCATAAAATTCTGAACAGAATTCAGTTTTACATCAAGTGATTGTAACTTAATTATTTATTAGAGCACTGAGAAAAATATCACTAAGTCTTAAAAATTAAAAGACAAAGTACGTCAATTTTTTAAAAAAATATACAAGCTGCTGTTTTTAACATTTAAAATTTTCTATACTTTTTTAAAAATAAGACATTTTCTAATTTTTTTTTTTTTTTACTGATATATCTTTAATTTTGATAAATTTTTAAACTACATTTTATGTTTTGAATTGCCTTTGCATTTAAGAGTTTTATTATTGTAATTATTTTATTGTAATAAAGAATTTTATTTTTATTGTTTTATGTTTTTACACTGTGAAATTAGTTAATTTTTTTCCCTCTTTTGTACGTTTTTCTAATTAATTTGTGGCTGTAAGGAGATTGACCATTTGTGTTGTCATTCCTAGAGAAGGATTGCTACGCAGTCTTTTTCTTTTTAATACCGCCAGATGGCGTACTTTTCAAATTTGTATACTTAATGTTAATAAATTTTACTTTCTGTCTGAATCTAGTCTCCACAATTTGAATTTTGCTTTTAGTTCCGAGTCACAGGTTATCTAATTCTAATGTAGGCTTTAATAAAACAAAACATTTGAAATAAAATTTTTTTTAGCAGTAATTCGGAATCTATGGTTTTTATAACTTAATCTCTTTATTAAAGTTTTTATGTTTTTTCAGATGTTGAAATTATGAAATAGTTAAAAATCTGCAAATCTGGATGGCAAAGAGGCAATGATTACTGCTGGAGAACCACAAGAATTCATTCCTTTAGGGAGAGAACATCTTTATGTTCACCCTGGGGATGTTTACTTGTTGACAGATAATGTTCCGGCAGCCCCTGTCTCAAATGGACATAGCCTTACAAGAGACTTACTGAAAGCATTGCGTGGAGTTACCTTAAAAGATCAAACTCAAGTAAATTATTGAAATATACATTAATTTTTGCTATAGCAATAGCATTAATCTTGCTAGCAGTTGTATGTAAAAGAGGGTTTTCGATTTTAAACCGGATAAAAATTATTGTAAGAACTTCACCAGAAATTAACTTTAGTGTTCTCCCTTATCATGTTTAAAAGGGTGGCTCGCCCTGCCTCTCCTTTGTTCCCTATAAATGCCCCCTCCTTGCCATTCTTTGATAATAAACTGCCATCCCCATAATTTTATTTTATTTTTTAGGAAAAGGTAACACTGAAAAGAACAGAAAGTATTTAAAGCCTGTACTTTTTAAAAATTAACTCTATTCTTATTTTACTTTTAAACAAAATGTTAAAAAATCTATTTAACCTATTATAATGTTTTATTTTTAAATGGATTATGTCTTATGTTTTTACTAAATATAAATATGCAAATTTACATCTAGATAAATTTTGTGTACTTATTATTTTCTGTTTACTTATTCCATTTAAAAAAAAATTTCACTGTTTAGATAATCATTACACTTGAGAAAAATTTATTAAATTAATAATTCAGAATAAATAAATTATTTAATTCTGAATACTCTTACAAATATTTACTTTGTTAGGATTATTTTCAACTGGTTACATTTTTATAAGTTTCTTTTTTTGAGGGGGGGTATATTAATAAATTTTCTAGTGATTTTAAATTTTATTATTAATTTTTTAAATAAATACCTTTTATTTAAAAATGTACCTTTAAATGTTTATTTTCTCAAAAATTTTGAGTTTAAAATATAATAAAATGCTTTCAATGCTCTTTGTTTACCAATTAATAATTTTTTTTTCAATTTACTTTTTTTTTTGAAGAAGAAAATTTATACACAGATTGACTTTTAGCTTGCCTTTACTTATTTTCCATGAGCTTTAAATTTTTCTGTTATTTTGATAATGAGTGAAAATTACTCAGTGAAATATACACATAAAATAGCAGGAGAGGGTAATTTGAAAATTGAGGATCAAATTCAGTTATTACATAATATTACATATTTTGATAAATTTTAGCGTTGGTAAATGAGTTCTCTTTCAAAATACAAAGCACGCTTTTCTACGTGGAAACACGTTGCCCTTTTTTATTCCTAGGGAGAACTCTGTATGTATGTATTATGTATGCATACACTCTCACACACTTTAACTTTAATATTAAAGCAAGAAGCTGAATAGAAAGGACAAAATAGAATAGTTATTTAAAATTTAATAATGTTGTAAAATCATGAGAGTTAAAAGAAAAAAAAATGATAGTTAAATCTTATGAATTAATGATAGTTAAAACAATTTATTATTTTGAAAAGTATGTCAAATATACTAAATGTTAAATTTACCATTTTTCTTTCTCACCCATAAAAATAAGTGGTAAATTAGTCTCTGTAATCTACAATGTGCTTGTAATTACTGTACTCTATAAGGTGAAGAAATATTTTCACTCTATGAAGAAAAATCTTCATTGTATCTCAGCTTTTAGCTAACAACTAGCTGTTAATGTAGTGTTTTTTTTCTTCTAAGTTACTGGAAGTTAAAAAAAAGTTTTTTAGGTGAAGTTATCCAGTTTTTTAAAAAAATTTTTAGACTAGAGAAGAATTAATTGATTTGATTTTAACATACCGGAGAAAATGGGCTCACAAGAATTGTATAGATAATTAAAAAAAACTATTAGTTTTATCAATGTTTGTTTCTTCTTCCAACTAAACTTTGTGTGTAAGTAGTTCTTCACCATTTCTCAATTTTTGGTGGAATTCATATTCAAATTTAAATGTTTCAGGAGCAGTGGTTTCTGAAACAAAATGAAGATGATGATTGGGAAGAAGAATTCTTTTGGAAAGGAAATACAGTTGTTTGGAGTAAAAACTCAGGTCATGGCAAAAATAGAATTAGAAGAGTGCACAAATCTTTTACAATGGAAAATAATGTTTTACAGGTTTGTTGCTTACCTATTATATCCTATATCTCTATATAGCATAAAAATGTAATGGTCTAACACAGATTTCCATTGTTGTCGGTGCATTTTTATTGGCCGGAAAATCATGTGGTATGATCCAGTTTTTCCTCATTCTTTTCAATATTGTTTTGGTCGTCATCAGCATAAAATTAACTAAAGTCGTAAAGGTATTGTTTTCCTTTAAATATTTTTGTATCCCTAATTTAAAGTTATTTTCCAGTACTACTATTATTAGCAAAAATATTAAATTATGCTTGTGAACTCATTAAATTTGATTGAACAATATAATGTTATAAGAATATAAATGTTATTTTAAAAAATGATTATTTCGAAAAATCACTTCTGTTCACCAAGAGATCTAAATGTTTATAATACTAATAGATGATAGTCGATATACTAATAGATGACTAATATTTATAATACTAATAGATGATATTTGGACATGGGAAGAAGTAGAGACACAAGCGTAAGCAAACAGAATTCCTTTTAGTACATATATGTTAAGTGAATAATTTTGATTACTTTAAGTGAATAAGAACTGTTTTCTGCCAAGAAACGATAATTATTGTGAAGCAATCATCGGGGTTGGTGAGCAGCAGCGAACAGGGGTCTCAGCCCCTAGTGTTTTATAAATTTAAAGTTTGTGAAGACTTGATTTTTCCATTTTTTACTTCCATAAAAAATATGTCTTTTTCATTTATATGAATTTCAACTTTTAGTGTGTGCATATTGTTACAATATATAAAAATAATAACATGGATTATTTTAAAACAAAATATTAATCATGTTTTCCTTTAATGATAATTGTTAATGAAATATTATAATTGTTAATTATATTTCTTATTACTATTCAATCTGAAGGTATTATGGGCTGAATTCAGGATCAGAAGTTGCAAACCAAGAATTGTAGATTCTGTAATTGAAATGGAAGATCCAAGTATGTATTTCACCAAAAATTATATTTAACTTTTTAATATTTATTTATTTAGAACTTATATTATGATCATTTATTTTATAATTATTTATTTTATAATTATTATTTTATAATCATTATTTTTTAATCATTATTTATAATCATTATTTTATAATCATTTATAAATCTGATTGTATGTATATACAACATTACTTTTTTTAATATTTGAATTCAGCTTTATTATAAATATTTTTCATTTACTTTGCATTCATCATGTTTGCTATTCAAACAGCTAGATAATAATTTTTGTAATTTATGGTTTGTTGGGATGTGATGGGTCCTAATTACATTGAATTTATTTTTATGAAACTTTGAATTTATACTAAAATTAAAAAAGAAATTTGGTTCCGAAGAACTACCCAGGTTATTATAAACTAAAAATATATGATATATAAAGGTAGTAGTTGTGTTTTAACAATTTTTAAAACAAATTAGGTTACATAAAAAAATATGTTTCTAATATAAAATTTCTTGTAAAAAGGTACAAAAAAATAGCAAAGCTAATATTTCCAGTTTTTTAAAATAATTATCTAAAATGTCTAAGTATTACAAATGAGGCCCGTATAATTTATTATACAACTACATTCTCGCTAATCATAACTCATAAAAAATAAAATATTTAATAAGTCTTATCTAAATTACAAATATCTAAAATAATTTTTTAAATATACAGTATAGATACAATTTGTACTGAATTAAACGATAGCTAAAGTACAAAATAGTATGCTTGTTTAGAGCAGTGCACAGCTTCTGAGATATGTTTACTCTAAATATCATTAAAACCAATCTGCATAGCCTTCGATGTTTTGTAAGTCAGCTGAGTTCTAAAGTACTTAGACGGCTTACAGATCTTGGAGAATAGAATTGGTTGGATCGGGCATTTTGCACTTGAGGCCGCTATTGTGCCACGGCTTTTTGAGTGGTTGCTGGATTTGGAATATAATTTGTCTCTAGATTTGAACAACTGGCCAAGTATTTTAGTCATGTGCTCTTGCTTCTTTTATACTGTTTTTTTATTTTTATATTTATTAATTTTTTTTTAAAAAAAAAGGGTAATGCATATATAGAAAAGATATGATCTTTGTTGATCATTTTGTTGCTCAATTGACATCTAACCTCTAATTATTCCACTCTACACTATTTGTAATTTCACTCTATTAATGTTTCTGAATGCTGCCCAAGTGCTTCCTTTAAGTTTTTGCAGTGTTTTGAGCATTGACAGCTCTTAAATTATGTCTTGGTTCCTGTGGTTAACAATGATTTACCTTTAACTATTGATACCAAAATACTCCAAGAACTTAGCATTAGGAATCATTAACTGTGTGAAACTATTTTAATAACAGACTATATGTTGTAGCATACATTATAACATTTCAGCAATCTATGTTCTTTACAAATTGAAATTTATAAAATATTGCAATGTCTCTGTTTCATACTTCAAATAAGAATAATCTTAATAGTTACATGTTTTGGATGAAATTTTATTTATTTTATTCTCTTTCAAGGAATCATGACTTTTTATTTGTAATACATTGCTTCAGGGATGAGATTTTTCCGCTTTTTAGCGGATTTCCGCTTTTTTTACTTTGTCTCTTGAATTTCAGCATTTTTTTTAATCAAAAACTCCGATAATCTAATAATTTCACTTTTTTAAATAAATATTCCGCTTTTTCAGAAAATTCACCGATTTTCAAAGGTAAACAGAAAATTCAAACTACATAGCTACCAACCCTTCCGCATTTTTACTTATTTTAGCTCTTTTCTCCGCTTTTATGCGCAGCAGATAAGATTTTCCAAATTTTTACCAGCCCACCAGATAGCTCATATTTTCATAATTCAAACGACGCTGTTTCAGACAAGCGTTTTAGAAATCCCTATCCTGGAATCTGCTAATATCTCGAATCAGATTCACGCGATTTTAATATCAAATATAGCTTATTTGCATGATTTAAAAGTTGCGTGTTGCAATTCTTATTCAGGCGATTTGAATGTGGTACAATGCGATTCTTATTTACTAGACTTAAAAATCCGATATTGTAATTTGTATTTACACCTTTTTAAAAGCCTATGTAGCAATTCGTATTCACGCGAGGCGAGTTTAAAATGTCGTGATTCGGGCATGCGGTTATACAAGGTGCGTAGCGTTTTCAAAAGCCCTTAAAGGTGCTTTTTTCATTGGGTGTTTTTAAAAAGTGCTTAAAGGGGCTTATTTTCGTTTTTTAAAAGCCCTTAAAGGTGCTTTTTTCATTAGGTGTTTTTAAAAAGTGCTTAATTTTTCCTTTTCTAAATTTGATTTTTCTTTTACATTGTTGATTTTCGCTACGAATTATTCAGAAAGACACTGTTCACATTGTTCAATTCAACGTTTTCACAATTAATTCAACCCCAATCTATTTTGGTGCATCGTCAATTCATAGCGTATAAAAACGCCATTCGATTTACATGATTCAAAAATTTTTATAATTGTCAAAAACAATGCCAAATATATTTTTTTTTGACATGACGATTAAAACCAGATAAAACCACCATTTGTTAAAAACTTTCCAACCCTACCTAATTAAGATATTTTTTTAAGTGCTTAAAAATATTATTTGAGTGCTTAAAAAGTGTTTATTTTTTGTTGAATAATTTGGCTATGCACCCTGTTATATTATCAAACATCGATTTTCGTATTTATATGTAATTTAAAAATAAGGCATTTGGGATTTGCATTCACGCGATCTAAAAATTATACATCCTTATTCTTATTTATGCAACCTAAAAATTACGCATCATGATTCGTATTTACGTGATCTAAAAATTATGAATCATAATTTGTATTTACGCGATTTAGAAATTCTATATCGCAGTTTGTATTTTCTAATTTTCAAAATCATATTTCTAGTTTCATATTCTCGTGATTTCAAAATCCATAATAGTGATTCATATTCACATGATTTTAAAATCCAGGATCGCAATTTTAGGATCAACTATCACAATTCTTGTAAGAAGTAAAATTTTTTTTGGAATTAGTTACTATAAAGGTGACTTTTTTTTTCTATCGACGATTATTAGTATATGTAGATGTTACAACATCATGAAACTGGAAGAGAATATATTCAAAACTTACATTCTCTGCTTGCAAAGAAGCAAAAGTAGGATTTGTCACAAGATGTTTGAAGATGGATTAACGACTAAATATAGCAAACGTAAAAGATATGACAAATAAAAGCAATAATTTAAAAAGTGATAAACTTTTTTTTTGGAAAAATAGTTAATTAACTTAGCATCAAAATTTAAAAAATAATGTTGCTGTTATTTATGCTATGAAATGCAAAATTCTTATCAAAGGAAAAATAATTATCTAAATAGTTGCTGATTATCATGTAATTTTTCAAAATTATATGATTCTGATATGTTTCTCAGGGCTCTAGTTAGATTATATTATAATATGAACATAGTGATTCCAATTGTAAAAGTTTATTTTCTTTTCAAAATAATTTAAAAAGTCATATTACTGATATGGTTGCTATAAATCATGTAACAGTATTTATTAAAAGAAATGGAATATTAATGTATGTTCTCAATAGTTTTAATTTGTTAAACCAGGTAGTTTTTAAAGTAATAATTGTCCTTTTTCTGAACTGAAGAAAAATATAATTTCTAGCTTTATTTTTTCAAATGGTAATTTTTCTTTATGCTAAATGTTAAGTATCAATGTAATCATTTATATAATAAAGAATTAGTACGCAATTTTATCTTAACACACTGTTAATTATTATCTTAAACTGTCTTAAACGGAATTTATTATTAAACAATTGCACACGCGTAAAATTTACTCGCATGGAAATTCAGCTTTCTTGCTTTTTGATCAATCTCATCCCTGATTGCTTCCAAATATCATATAAAATTATTATTCTTTTATATGTTTACAGTTCTGTTAAATATTACTTTATTTATTTATTTTTGCAATTAATAAAAATATTTTATGGGACTTAAAGCTTATTTCTAAAATTTCTATATTGTGTTTCTGTATATATGTGTTGTTGTGATTTTTATTTCAGTTTATTACATTAGTTCTTGAAAATATATTTTTATTTAGATTTAAATGATTTCTAGCACTTTGTTGTTGGAAAAAAACATATTTAGAGTTGCAAATGAGAAGCTCATTTTTATAATAAAATAAATAACTCCAAGTACTAAAGATTCTATTTTTTCCCCTATAGAGCAGGAAGTACTTGCAGGAGTGTGCATCATTGAAAATTCTTCATTGTCCATATTTTCACATAAGGGAGAAGACTATATTGTTACAACTCCATTCCAGGTACATAAAAAATTATTTTGTTTAATTTAATGGTAGGTTTTTTAAAAATCTTTTTATTATGATTTTTGTTTGTAATTAAGGGCTTTGGTTTTACTTACCTTCTTAAACAATTATTTATTTATATATTGAAATCTGGGTATGGCAGAATTGATAATGTTTCACAAATAAGAATTTTCAGTTACTAAGGAAAAAAAAAACTATCCATTGTAAGGTGTTTTTGACGTATTCATGATTTTTACTTTTGCATAATTTACATGAAACTAAATTTATTATATTTTTGTTTAACTGTAGTAGATCCTTTATTATTTGGGAACTGTAAATCACACATTTAGCTTAAACAACAACAAAATTATTAAATCTGAGTTTATAATACAAATAAGTTTTATTTTTTAAAAATGAAAAGCAAAAAATATTTTGGACCTTTATTTAAAACTTGTGTTATTGGCTTAATTCATAAATTCATAATCACGTTTTGTTACATTAAAATGTTATAATTATGTTTTTTAAAGAAAAAGGAAGGACGAACATTAAAAATAATAAGGTAAATAGGTTTAAGGTAGTTATTTTTATAAATAACATAAGCTCAGATATGTGCAAAGACTACATTTTATAACTCAAAAATATATTACGCATAATATTTTACAAAGGAATGAATAAAATGTTTAAACTACAAAAGTATAATTAATAAATTAATGAAATTTAGAAATATTATGTATCTTTTAGCTTTTATTTTTATGCGTCCTTTTAACTTAATGACTGCATATAAGATTTCAGACTGACTTCTGCATGACACTACAATATACACTTTTGATTATCATTGTGAAGAAATCTAGATTTCAAAAACTTTTTGACTGCAGATCATGAGTACCTAGGGTAAGAATCTAATCCGTCATGTTTCTCTGTTTTCACTCAATGAGGTTTAAAACATTTCAAATTTATGTGCTTTAACTTCAAAGGAAAGCACTGATTCAAATATTTTCTTTGGAAACCTTATCTAAATCAAATGACTGCATTTCAATCTCTATTTTTGAGTGAAAGGTTTAGTAATGAGGTTTTAATGCGCATCAAAAGAAAGTCGCCCCTAAGGAATAGTTTACAGCATTTTATGTATTAGTCATAATGTAAAGGTCGCTGTATAAGGCATTGTTCTAAAGAGCATAGGATGTATTCATAGTTTTTTATTCTAAAATATACTACATTTGAGGCAGTAAAAAAATTATCCAGACGACAAAGGCGAAACAAAGTTTAAAGACAATATTATATAAACAATATGTAGACAATAAATAATAAAGACAAAATTATTGCTTCTAGTTTATCACTCTGATTTTGAAGCATCTACGCATCAAAATCAAACTGAATCTGAAATCACATATGCACACATATTTTGAAGCAGGAGAATTTCTTCATTAATTTTATTTTTTGTTTGGATATTTATAAGTCACAAGTATATGTCTTTGTATTTAGGTACTAAGAGCTTGGTCTTCTAAGTATGGAATTATATTCGAACGAAATGTACTTTTAGATGATAGTCAATCAGATCCAAAATTGTAAGTTTATCTTTCATACTCTGCTTTTAATAGTAAATTAATTTATAGATTAAGATGTATTTTTAATTGATGGTGACATATTTTAAATTTTTTAATTTAATCTGTCATTCAATGTTTATTGAGAAACATTATGTTTGATATTTTAAAATATTTCCTAAATTATTTTTGAATGGTATGTATCAAACCTTTAAATAAATTATTTTTTATTACCTCATATTTCTAAACATCAGCTCATCTGTCTATAAAATAAGAGTAAGATTTTTCTTTGAAAATTCAAAAATCCCATATATAAGCCAGTGAAAAAAAAAGGACCTTTTTAACTTTCTGTGCTAGCTTTCAACTTCTCTTTTGAAGTTTTCCACTAATTTGTTTATTCAAAACCCATGGACAGCATCACTTATTCTTTCTTCTTACTTTTTTTTTGTTTTGCTTCTCATCCTTCTTCTTCTCAAGTCTTTTGACTTACTTTGGATTGATGTCACCAGCAGTTAAACTTAGTCACACCTCTAAATTAGAATAAAAATGTTAATATTTCATGCTGTTATTAATTTTTTGACTGCCATACTATTTAAATAAATTGCTGTGTATTTCCTGTCTTATAAATTTATATCACAGTAAAAAAAAAAAACTATTCTACTGTTGGAACTATGACTGAAAAAACACAGCATAAAGCAGCAAGGAGAGCAATAGTTTTCAACCATTTGCTGAGTTTTAGATCCAAAATTAACAAATAAGTGTACCCTTTTGAGAATCAATGTTTATTATGGTTTTTAATTCTTCTTTTTTAAATCTTTTCTTTGAAGTACGTGAAATTTTATAATATTCATTTGAATTTTTTTTACAAATCAGTATCATAATTTTTCTGTTATATTCAGTAAGATGCTTATTAAGAATGACTTATCTCGAATTACTCATGAAAGAAATGAAAGTTTACCTGTTATTAGCTGTTTCAGACTAATAACGGATAAGATTTGTGATTTTTATTTGTTGAACTTCTAAATTTTGCTTTATTTAAAAATTTTTTTTAAATACTTGAAATTCCATCATATTACATTATATTTTACCTTATATAATTTACATTATTATTGTAGTATTTACATTGCATTCTCTCTGGATAATTTTTAGAAATCAGTGTGTAATTTACCTGTTGTATTTCGGGTGATGCATGTTCCTAATGAAATAGCTCCTATTTTTTATAAAAGAAATAAAGATTAACCTGCTATTTGCTATTTCTGGCTAATAACAGTTCCTATCTGGCTAATAATCTTTGTGAATTTTATTTCTTTTACTTGTGATTATCTCATTTAATAAATTTTAAATCTTTTTAACAGTTGTTTGCATAATAATATAATGAATAATCTGTATAACATTACATCAAGTACTTTAAAGTATCCATATCCGAAGCTATTTTATTTCATGTTATACTTTATTTTAAGTTATTTAATTAATGCTGTTATTATAACATGTTATGTTTTTCTGCTATTTTTTAGAAATCAGCTTGATAATTTACCTGTGATATTCAGTATGATGCACCCTCTTGATGACATATCTCCTATCATTCATAAAAGAAAAGATGGTTTGCCCATTATTAGTTATTTCTGTGATCCATCTGAAGAAATAATATTTTGCTCTAATAAACCATCTCTTGTTTTGACATATAACAAAAAAGGATATCATTCTATATGGAGATTGCGAACTACAACTTTTCAGGTAAGTTTCATCTCAACTAAGGTGTGCTTATCTTGTAATATTGAGTAAACATCTTTCCATAGTTCTTTGTTTTCTTTTAATATTTTTTATAGATTTGCTTTTGAGCTTCTGCTTTTTAATTTAAATGTGGCAATTTTTTTAGAAGCATGGCTTTATCTATCTAATATTATATTTTCAAATTTTTAGTACCATTATGCTATGTTATAATGAGTATTTCATTTGTATATATTTTTAAATCCATTTTCATTGTAAACATTTTCTTTTTACTGTATTTTAATAGTTGAAGTTTTTAATCTTAGAATTGAATAATTAAATTGTTAAATAGTTTTAGAGCTCATAAGATAAATTTTATAAACAAAGTGTTCTTTTATATTATTTTTTATATTTTCACTATGTTCCAGTTTTTTTTAAAAAAAAATAACTATTAGATTATTGTGTGATCTATTTTTCTTGTAGAAATAAATGTTTAATTAGTTTAAATTTGTTTTTTTTTTCTCTCATAGGAAGCAGAATATGCTTGTTCTAAAATAAAAATTCAAAATTTAAATACTAGCAGTACTCCTTTGACTAAGACCACATCCCTCTCCTCAAAGAGCAAATTAAACTTTTCAAATCGAACTCCTTCAACAAATGTAAATAGTCCATATTCCAGTTATCCTTCAAGTAGGGTTTCTTCACCAGCTAATATGCAAGCTAGATCTTTTAGTCCTAGCATATCAAGCTTAACTCATATGGCTACATTAAGGTAAAGTTTTCCCTGTTTTATTAATATACAAAGATAGTCAAAATTCTCAGAATAATTAAAAAAAAATGATTTACTCATGCATATAATTCTGTTTCAGTCGATCACAACCACCTTCTCATAACACTACATCTTCTCATCCTCAAAGTTATACACCAATGAGTACATTAAGTTGTAGAAGTCCAATATCTCCTTCGCAAAGCTGTGATGCCTCGAAATTTATGGAACCTTTAGCGCCTGATATATGTTTTGATCAAGAATGGGTAGATTCTACGAAGTAAAAGTTTTTTTTTCTTTTTTTGATGTACACTTTCATTTATTTAACTTTTTAGTACCAAAAATTTTATTTGTTGAACTAAGGTTTATTCATAATGTCTGGGCCTTAAATAAAAATAAAAAATTGCAGCTACTTTATCAAACAGCTCCAATAAACAACTACAAAAAAAACATTTAGAACTTGCACACTCTTTATTCAGCAACTTAAAATTATAGAGAATTGCAAATACACTGGTTAATTTTACTTTTTTGTCTAGAATTCCCACTTTCTGGAAACTTTTTTTTTAAATTTTCTTTTGCAACTTTGCCAGAAGACTAAAAGTTATTTTTTTATTAGAAGTAGTTTGTTGGTTGTTAGAAGATTATATTATACTCAGGCTCCTAAATAAAATATTAATATATTTTCTTTTAACCTTCAAACTAAACAGATGTATAAAATTCTAGATTAGTTATTAAATATATATATATATATCAGGGGTCTGTCTAGACATTTTGTGAAAGGTTTTTGTAAAATTGTGAAAAAATTACTCGTAATTTGTGAATATAAAATAAACGTTAAGCACATTTTACAACCAGGGTCCTGATTATGCTCAACACTATAAAACTATAATTGAAAAAAATTAAATTTTCAAAAATAAACAGCAATTGCTGCTTCTAAATTAGAGATGCAACATACAAATATTTGGTATTTAACCTATACTGCTGAACGTAGAATATTGATTTCGGACGAATAATGGAACAAGCGTCTGCTGAAGACAAAACTTAATTCGTTAGCACCCATCTTTCTTCCCCCTCCCCTGGAAAGGGTTTATTCGATTAACAAAGCAATAACGAAGATAAATTTGTGAAGGTTCCGTTCAAATTTCTTCTAAACAGACTCCTGTGTATCTATATATATATATATATATATATATATATTAAAAGTTATTACGCATAAATAACTTCAAGACATTAAATGCCATGATCTGAACATGAGTCTCTAATGAAAGATCTATACACCTTTTAAGAATTTTATGCTCTCACAAACTTTGGTATTGTAGTTTTTTTCCGAATCTGATATATTAAATATTGGGCAAGCTAGGTTTCAAAAAAATTCTATCAATTTCTGACCGTCTTGGATCTCCAAAAGACAATCCAGTTAAAGCATACTTCTGTATGTTATCTCCATTCAAGTCACTTTTTATACAAAAATTTACTATACAATACTGTACAATTTACTTTAATATTAATTTAAAACTTCTTTTGTCCAAAGAAAACTATGCAAAAACTAATTTGTGTATACAGCTAGTTGTCGTGTTTACATTTACAGTAATTTCCGGTAAATAGGCCGCACCCACAAAAAACATCGTTAAAAATTTCAATTTTCATCTTATAGGCTTCTTTTTATTCGATGTAAATCAATCTCTTTTGTTTTTTATTAGATATTAATTGCTATTTTTTTTTATTATTTGAAAGCTAGTTTTTATTTTTAAATTGTATTTAGTTGTTAGCTTGTTTTTTAATCATTAGTTGTTAGCTTATTAAAAATATATATTGTTATTTCTATAATATAGATAATTATTTTAATTAATGAAATTTCTTAAGATGGGACATTTTTAAATTCACCCCATCATAATCTACGATCAAAACTGAACTAAATTTATTGTAATTAATTAATTTTCGGAAATTAACAGTATAATTGAATTATCGTAATATATGGGCGCCATATTGGAATTTCCGAAAGCGATCCGAAATTCGGCAAATTCATTTAAAAAAATAAGAAAGAAAAACGTTACCAGAGTAAACATTACGAATTAGGTTCGTTATTTTGGAAAATTTTTGCTAAACATCTGATTTTGAATAAATCCACCATGATCAAAAAATTCTCACTTGTGGGATGGGATAAAAAAATTCTACATATAGGCCGCATCGGCGTACAGGCCGCGCATCGTGACAGCCCAACTTTTAAACACGTATAGGCCGCGGCCTATTTACCGGAAATTACTGTATTGAAATTTATGTATATTTTTATCATAAAAAATAAGCTTGATTTTCAGTTTATTGAAGAATATGAAAGATTGAATTTATGTAGCACATTAATATAAAAATTATGACTATATGAAGTAAGTTATTGGTCCCAATATTTTAAATAATCTAAGTTCATTTGCACTTGACTTTTGTTCTTATTTACTATTGTATATGTAAATTTTAAGGTATGGGCAATTATTTAATTTTAATTATATTTTTATAGCTATGATAAGCCTGAAAAAGCCAGCAAAGCATTTTTATCTACAGATATAATTGGTTACAAATATCTTTGTTTCCTATTGAAAGATCATCGATCACTTCAGTAAGTTTAAAAGTTTTGTTATAATTCTCTTCTCATATCGTATGTACATTTAGATAAAAATTTAGGGCAATATTTTTTAAAACTTATATTCATTAGTTATTGTTTGTAGTGATACAGGAAAATTTATCTCATTTTTGTGTTAATTGTAAATGCATAGATATCTTACGATTGCACTTTTAATGTGTTTTCTTGTTGTTGTCATATTCTTGGATGTTGCAATTAGGGAAAAAATAAGGGAGTCTCAATTTTATCAAAGGTCCGGATAAAGGTTGCTGCTAGCTCTGGTGCTTCTAGGCTGTAAAGGATTTACCACATTGGATCCAAAAGTGCAATATGCCAAGTCTTGAAATATTTGTTGTGAAAGTCAGATATTTGAAAATGTGTTTTAGTGTGGGCTAAGCTTTGGAGCAATTTTGGCATTATTAATATGTTCTTGACTTATCGTGAAAATTTTTTTCCACAATGCCCACCTTTTAGAATGACCCACCTGGGCATGATACAGGCATCTGAGGGACATATTTGTTGGCCACTCTTTCAGGGGCACCATATTAGGTGGGCCAACGCTGCTCCCACAGTAAGTACAAATAGTACAGAGAGGGAAAGAACATCCATGCCTTGCCCGGGATTTGAACCCAGAACCTTTCTGATGCAAGGGCACTTCCCTAAGCAAACAAAGTGCTGAAGCAAACAAAGTTTGCTGAGAGGCTTTCTAAGGTTGTGTGTTATCTTGTTAATAATTTATAAAGGTAGTGTGTAGTAAAACTCATGAAGGTAGAATAATACTTGATTACTTTTGGAAAAACAGTCCTTGGCAGTTTTTAGAATTTACAAGTACTTTATTTTAATATTTGAAAGATAGAAAATGAAACAATTGCTAATTTTGGTATTGATTGTTTAGTACCTTACATTTGTTTGTTTACATTTTTAAAGACATACTTTAATTTTTGTTTCAACTTGCAAAAATTGACTGAGATGAAACTGAAGCATTCTTTAGGCATACATTATGAAAAATCATATTTTTTTTAAAAACGGACAAGCATGTAAATAAAAACATTGGTTAGAGAATTATATTGATATAATTTTCTCAGCAAGAATCTTTCAAAATTCTTAAATACTGTATGCCATATTTCTCTGATTCTGTGTCTTAGTATTTTACATGTTTAAAAAGATAATGTCAAGCAGAATAATAAGCAATTTACCTTTGAAATTAAATGACAATGATTGAAAACATATTTAAGGCCCTCCTCCATTGCCACGTCTTTGACAGTTCAGTTTGGTTGTAAGGAAAGTAGTTTCTTTTTTTTTTAAATAAATAAAAAAAATTTAATTTTGCTACAAACAAAAATACTTTTCCCCATATATAAGTAGTAAATGAATTATTTAAACAGTTTAAAGTGTAACACACATGACATAAACACTTTGTAATTGTTTTACTTTCATAGGCTTGTTAAATTTCAAGAGAATGAAGAAAGCAATGAGTGGACTTTTGGCAGCATATCATCAATTCCTGGCATTGATGCAGAACCTCTCCCAGATTTGAATCTCATTATAGTTGTGGACATAAATTTCACTCTGTCTTTGTATACTGGATTAACAAAAGTAATTGGTTTATGAAGAATCAGCCTATATGACTATGTTTATAGTTTGCAGGGAGTACAGCAGTTTAAAAAAGCTTGGACAATTTTGGGATCCCCGTAGAAAAGTCATATAATATCAGGACCTGGGAAAAGTTAGGCAAAATTAAGTGCCTGAGAAAAATATAGCATTTTTCTGAAGATAATTTTAAATCTTATATTTTTTACTAATTAGGATAAATTGTTTTTCAATTTTTTGTGCAATTATTTTAAATTATTTTAAACCTTTTTCGTAACTAAAGAACGTTTTTCTACTTTAGTGTGTATGATAAAATTATGTTTAAGTAAAATTTGTTCACTTGATTTAAACATATGTATTTAGCAACAAAAGAAAAATTCTGTTAATAAATGTACATGATAAAAAATAATCAATTAAACTTGCTAAAATAAAATAGTATTCACTTCAGAATTTATTATATAATTTTCTTAAATTATTTTATGATAGATATGTAAAGCTAATTAAAAAATGTTTAATAATGTAAAACTTAAGCTTCTGTTTGCAATTGTATTTTTTAGTGAAAAGTGTGAGAAAAAGAAATTTTGTTTAAGCGTGTTGTTTTTAAAGTTGTCGTTTACTTTTTAGGTTGATTAATTTTATATTTTATTAATTGGTACACTTAAAAAATTTGCAAGAAAAAAGTTATCCTGGAAATTTTAGGTAAACCTGAAAGAATGAGAGAAAATTCATCTAAAGCTTTGCCAGACACCCTTGTTTGTAAAAATAATCATTTTCCACCTCCTGAAATTATCTCTGTAATACTGTAAACAAAACTTCCAGCATAATTTGCTGCTTTTTATTTTATGCAGGATCCTTTCTCACTGTTAAGTCTTCTTCTAGAAGGTGTTCATTGGAAAACTTTTGTATAGTTCTTTAAAAAAAAGAAATGTGGTTAAAACTATAAATAATAAAATTTCTGTATAACTTGTACTATGCATTCAAATATATTAAAAAGTTGTGATTGTATACGCATATCCTTTAAATTTTGTTGCATTTGTCTGAAAAATTTTTTTTTAAATATTTTTTTAAAGGTTTCAAAAGTTCATGTTACTGATTTCTTTGGCCCAACAGGAGATAATTCTTTATCGTCCAGTCATTTACCGCCTCACTTATTTTTTACTACTCCTAAACGAACTAGTTTGATATCCTCAACCAGACCTCCCAGTGCTGTTGGAACAAGGTTTGGAGATGAAGTATGTCATACCTAATTATTTATTAGCATTTTTAAGAAATGTTTAAAATTAAGTTGATAACACATCACATATTTAATTTTTCTTTTTATAATTGTTATTAACATGCTAGTTTGATGTTTAAATTTGTTTATTTCCTTTTTATTCAAAATATATCTTTAAAAAAAAAATATTGCCAATTTTTACTTTTTTTTATTAATTTTTTTTATTAAACTTTTATATTTAAATTCAATTGATTTTTTTTTTGTTACACGGTGGGAAAGTTGCTTCAAATTAGTATTCCTAATAGTTGGTAATTAGTGTTTGATTTAGCATTATTTTTAGCATTGTAGTCAGGGTCGAAATTCCGCAAGGCATGGGAGAAATTTGGAAATTTTAAATTAATTTATGCTTATTAATCTAAATGAATGTATCTATTTGTTGAAAGAAACTTATTGTTTAATCTTCCTTTCATACCAGAGAGACAAATCAATAAAAGGTAATATGAAATTTTTTTAAAAAAAGTCACTTCCTCTGGCTTAGTCTACTTTCTTTAGGATTTAACTCAAATATTGAAACTATTATTAAATGTTCATTACTCTCTTTATTAATTGTATATTTATTATTTTTGGTAAACTTTTCTTACATAAATATAAGTATCATTTGAGGAATAAAAAAGAATAATCTAAGCCAATTTTGTTTTATTAATTTTAATATATAATCAAAATTTTAGAGTACTTAACTGGTATTTTGGGTATTTCTGATTAAATATTTAGAAGTCTAGTAGCATGTAAGTGTAAAAGGTACGTGTGAGGCAATATCATTTTCAAGCCCTTTTTTTATTTATTTCTTGTTTCTCTTTATTTAATAGTCTATCCTTTTAAAAAAATGCCTTTATTCAGTATAGTTTTAATCATAATTTTTTTTATTTGTTTCTTAAATTTAATGCGTACAGGATACAGATGCATTCTTACATAAATTTCATGAATAGCATTTGCTGTTACACTTTTTTGTTTAATTTATTAATGAAAAAGTTTTAGAGCAAAAATTATTAAATGACTAGTTAATGCACTCGGTGTTGCAAGACTTGTCATAATTGTGTTACAGATGTTATAAGGATTATTGATAGTTAAGAAGGAAATTATATTGATACTATTGTCTTCTAATTTGAATAAAATAGTTTTCTAAATTTAATAAATATATATAAATGCTAAATTTTATAACTAAACTTATTTTATAACTATTACTAAACTTATATTTGAAGACAGCTTTTCGATATTAAATTACATGGTAGTGTAATGCATGGACCAGTAATGTTTTTGATTGTCACTAAAGATAAATCCCGGGCCCTTGAATATAGTTCATTAGTGTAATTCTAGTGCAATGTTAACCAATTAAAACTTTACATTGATAATATAATTAAAAATAAATTTTAATTCAAGCAGAAAAAGGACATTTTATATTTAACATTTTAACCTTATTTTTTATTAATTAAATTCTGTTACTATTATGTGCCTATTAATTTAATTCTGTTACTATCTCTATTTTGCCAAATTTGTAAACAATATTCCCTTTAGGAATTATTTTTTCAGCAAAAACATTTGAAAAAATGGATTCTATCTGCTCGGAAATTGCTAGATTTAACCTGTTACTGAATTTGGGATCAACATTTAAAACTATAGAACTCTTACAAACAGTTAAATGAATTTCAATTTCAAAAGTTCATAATACGTGAAGCTTTTTTTAAAATTTATTTAAAGAAAGACTATATCTGTACGTCATTTTTATTTCAGTCTGAAGTCTTATCTCCTGTTCCTATGGTTGTTGAAGAGCCAAGTTGCAAAATCGTTCCTGATGAAATATCATTCTTTCAAATTGGTATTGTAAAAAATGTCAGAGATGGTGTCAAGAATCGAGTGACTTTAGTTAGTATTATTTAACATTCTGTTATTACAGTCAAACCTCCAAAGAACAGCCACATATTTATTTATGGACTGATCATTTTCCCTATGATTTTTATTGAGATTTAATCTCTGAACTGTGGTTTCTGAACAACGACCACCTATTGTTACCATAAGTTTTGTTTCAGGTTGCATCTTTGACAACTTTTTCTACTTTTACATCCTTAACTTACTATAATTTTAAATGCTAACATTGCTAAACTGATTGCCCCTCAGGGTTCATTGCATTTCAATCATTAAGGAGCAATTTTTGGAACAATCTACAGATAAACTGCATCTTTCACGAGTGGTTTGCATGTTATTGATCTTGATCCAGCATTCACAATGAGCTGCAATTAATGGCGAGTCATCCTTCGGCTTTTATTCTATACTTTTCGGAGAAATCACTCTATCCTAGTTTGCATGAAAGACGTAATTAATGCATGCGTCTGACCAATATTTGTTGACACATGTTATTTTGTCTTTCTTTAAGCTCTAGACAATGGTAAAAATTTTTGATGGGAACTGTAATAAATAAAAAATTAAAACATGAGTGGTAATTGCTAACAAAAATTCCTTACATTGAATCATAAATCAAAGTTGTGAAAAAGGAATAAATGGGCATAAATTAGTTTCACTACATGACTGTGGAAAAATTATGACATTTAAATAAAAAAAGAAAGATAATCCTTATTGGATCAGTATGTTAGTGGATTAAACCTACTTTTTGGGACTAAAAATTTGGATTAAGAATTTTCCAGAATAAATATTCTATTAGTGAATTTTTTATATTTTTAATAATTCATGACTCATTCATGATGGGAACTGTAATAAATAAAAAATTAAAACATGAATGGTAATTTCTAACAAAAATTCCTTACATTGAATCATAAAACAAAGTTGTGAAAAAGGAATAAGTGTGCATAAATTAGTTTCACTACATGACTGCAGAAAAATTATGACATTTAAATAGAAAAAGAAGGATAATCCTTTTTAGATCAGTGTGTTAGTGGATTAAACCTACTTTTTGGGACTAAGAATTTGGATTAAGAATTTTCCAGAGTAAATATTCTATTAGTGAATTTTTTATATTTTTAATAATTCATGACTCAGAATAGTGACCTTTTCTTAACCTCTTATATAGGTAGAGTCGAGTAAGGGACTGTTCTTCGGAGGTGCTACTGTACATATTTTATTAAAAAACTTATAGTTATAAATTTGTCCTGCTATTTATTTTAAGAAATATTTAATTTAATAATTTTGTATTGTAGGAAACATCTGGTGGATATTTTAGGTTACAGATACCAGAAGTTTCGATTTCAAATACCGGTAAGGATTTTTTCATTTATATGCTAAGCATTTTAAAATAAGCTAAGCTTTCTGCAAAAATAACTTAAAACTTTTTTTTTTCAGTTCACAAATGTTTGCAAGCCTTAAAATTTGTTTTGAAAAATGAAGTCTATACTCATATGTTTGTGAAGTGGTATTGTGCAAGAAATGCTCCAGGACCTAATGATATGACTACTAAATCAGAACTAATAACATTTTTAATTTGTTTATTAAATTTATTGGGTTATGATGCAGATAATGTTATATTGGGAAACTGCAAACAAGATTCCTCAATAGGACCCACACAGATGAAAAAGCAGAAAACTCACGAGAAAGGTTGTGATGAGGTATGTAGTATATATAGATAGTAATGTTGGTTAAAATTTTTAATATAGGTGCTATAAATAAGTTTTAGCTTAATCGGTAAGCGAAATGGGGAAATAATAAATTAGGCTACAACTTTTTTAATAATATTCAGAAGAAATTCGAAAGTTTAATAGTTTTATTGTCTGATTTTTTTTGTAATATAGATAAAACCTATTGAGACTTATTTTTGCATAACAAATAATTCTATTGTAAAAGTTTGAAAATTGTACTTATTTTGATTTAAATGTTTTTTTTATCTGAAATAATATGAGTAAGGAGTTTTCGTATGCCAGACAACAACAGTTTTACTCAGTGATTTCTCACTATATTTTAAATATATTTCTTCTTCTTGAGAGAAAAACAATATTGTCTTTTAAATTATTCGAACCATAGTAGTAGGTCACGGAAGAATATTGAAATTTTTACTTAAATATTGTTAAAATTTTGTTGTTATTTAAGTTATTGCATTATTATTTATTATGATTTTTTCTTTAGGATTGGATGTATCTCGTATCTGAAAACCTTCATAAACAGAATGTTGAGTTTAGATTATTAAATCAGCTGGCCTATTTTTCAAGTGTTCCAATTGAAAAACGCCATATTGATAAATCTGGACTTCTTTATAAATATATGGCACAAATATTATTTTCATTGCATTTGGTATACGAGGTATGTTTTTATTTAGCAATATATGGTAGAAATATATTTTGAAACACATTACACCTTAACTTTTTTGAAAAAGTTTATTTTTTTAAATTTAGTGTTTCTTTTGTTTAATGTTCTTTGATTTGTAATATAATTTTTTTTATCTTATCAAGAGTAATTTAAATTCTGGTTTCATTCTTGGAATTTTTACTTGGTTTCAGATAAATATGACTTTTATTATATTAAGGTCAAGTGGAGTTTTATGTAAAAAAAAAAAATAATAATATTTTTTTTACTAACAAATTTAAAAACTATAAAGAATTTTCATAATCACTTGGTTGTACATCATGCGAAAAAAAAAAGAATACCACCCTGAATAATTTTTGATCTAATGATCAGATCTTAATGTTCTATGACCCAATCTTAATGGTTCGAGGGGATGACCTCAAATATGCTAATTAATAAGTGCAGACAATATTTTAAGTTGCAAAATACGACACAAATCAGTACTTTCTCTGAATAAACATGCTATTTTTTTTGACAGATTCAGATTTCGGACCCCCCCCCCCCTCCCGAAAANCCCCCCCCCCCCCTCCCGAAAAATAGAAGATAGCCGCAATTTGGGAAATATGGTCCCAATAGTTTGATCAGAAGAGTGCTCCAAAGTTTGGACCCCTTAATGTTTATTTTATTTTTTGTGTATTTCGCTATACCTCGAGAACTTTTTAAGCAAGTTAAAAAAAATTTGCGCGCAATTATAAAATTTATTTATCCAAAGATAATTAATTCCATGTGAAAAGTAACTTTTAGCAAATATTTATTAATTTTCATTATTTTACTTAATAATGGTCAATCAAATTGTAATTGTAAGGTATAAAATTTTTTTGCATCATTTTGAAGAACATAATTTTGCATGGCAAAATACAAAATTTGAGCAAAATCAGTTGAATAGTTCCTACAAAATGGAATTTTAAATATCTGACTTTTTTGAAATTCAATTTCTCAGGAACTATTTGACTGATTTTGCTCAAATTTTTTATTTTGCCTTGTAAAATTATATTGTTAAAAATGATTAAGAAATTTATATACCTTACAATTCAAAATTTTTCCGTCCATTATTAAAAAAAATAATAAATATTTACTAAAAATTATTTTTTGCGTGGAATTATCTTTGGGTAAAAATTTTTATTAATGGTGTGCAAAATATTTCAATTCGTTTAAAAAGTTCCCGAGATATAGTGAAATATGCAAAAAGTTAAATTAATATTAAGGGGTCCAAACTGTGGAGAGCTTTCCTGACCAAACTGTTGGAACTCAGAAATCCAAATTAGTCGAATAAAAGGTATGCTTATTCAGAGAAAGTAAGTTATTGTTTCAGATTTTGTAACTTAAAATATCGTCTGCACTTATTCATTAGCATATTTGAGTTAACCCCTTCAAGCCATTAAGAGTGTCCTAGAACGTGAAGATCCGATCATTAAATCAAAAGTTATTCAGGGTGGTCAGTTTTTTTCTTTCTTTTTTTTTGGCGACTGTGCATCTCGAATATCAACTTACACGGGGAAATATGGACTCTTAACATACAATGATGATGAATGTTGTATAAAAAAATTTGTGATAATATTTTAATATTTTTTACGTGCAATTCTGATATGCTGAATGCCAATATTCACTGATGTAAATTATAAATAATGATATTTAAGAAAAAGAACTTTCTCATCACTCTGCATTAGTGAATGCAGAGTGTAATAAAATATTTAAAAAGGCTGTTATGGTTTAAATTTAGATTACCTTTTTTTCTTTCTTGATATTTACTTACTATTTATAGGATTGTAAACTGGATGTCACTTATTGGGAAGATTTATCGCCAGTTTGCAGTTTTCTTTGTGAATTAGCAAGGCAAGTATTTGAAATTAAATTTTTTTCCCCAACAGCTATGGAATTATGTGTTTTTAATAATTTATTCTGATATATGCAGTAAGACCCACTAGTTTAATGAGGAAAATGGAGATTTTTGTTTAGCACAATGTTATAAATGTATTAGCATGTACTCTTTCAGTTAGAATTTTATTATTCTTATATATAACAAGGGAAATAGTTTTTGAAGCATGAAATAATAATAAACTATTTTTAAGTTAAAAACAAATGGTTCACTACATATAGTGACTAAAAATGTAGTAATTGGAAAGGAGTAACTTTTCTTAAAAAATTGGCATGTACTAGTGTTGCAAAGTTATTACAAAATATTGGGCAGAATACAAATACAAAATATTCATACCAAAACAAATGCAAACACTATTTTTTTTACATAAATTATTAAATGTCGAAATTATTAATTAAATATATTCGCTCTTCTCAATAAAGATTGTCTAGATGTAATTCATATAAGCTTTTCTTTAAATATATTTTACTTTCAATTCAAATTGAGTGTTCAGATTTAACAAGGATTTTTCTGTTATGCTCTGTTTACCCCTAGAATTAAGTTTAATTACTAGTGAAAACTTCTGCAAGATTTAATTTTCAAAAATGTTGTAAGTTTTTTATGCTTAAACTTATGTGTTTGCAATTCCTTTTCTGATATCTCAAACGAATGTAAATATAATAAACATGTGACAGTCATGTAAACTTTTTCTCAACAAAAGTGTGACTTAGAGTGACTTAGCAATTTTTGACTGATTTCAAATTTAAACAGTGATAAAATGAAATTTAAAAATCTAAAAATCATATTAGCCTTGATTAAGATAAAAAATAATGACTATTAAAACAATCTAGAATTACTTGAAGAACAGTAGAATTGGATTAAGGTTTACAGCACTAAACTTAATATAGTAGATTCACTAATAAACTGAGTAGATTATTTCCAGTAGAAAATTTGTTTTATGTTATTCATTCAAGTTAGTAACACCATGTGAAATTTTCCTTGAAAAATTGGACGAAGGTAAATGATTTTTAAATTGAATAATGATTGTCACTTTTTTATTACTTTCCATATTTTAACTCATTTTTATATTGTTTCTTTTTGTTTAATTTTCAAAGTTGCAGTTAATGCCTATCTACATGCGTCCCTGAGCATGGTTTTATTGTAGCGATGATCAGCAAAAAAGTTATATGTATTGTGCTTGGGAACTAGGCTCAGAAAATTTTTACTCAGAATTCATATTCTAGTTTAATTTTAACTTTCGCAGCATAGCCTCATTTTACTTTTGTGTCATTAAATTATAATTGATTTAACCAATATTGCTTTTACCATGACCTTTAACATAATTTTACAAACAATTAAATTCTTCTAGCCTCTTAACAAGTAAATAAAATTTTATAATTAAACTTTTGTTTTTATAACTGCCAAATATTACTTAGTATTACACTCAAATTTAAATTTCTTTAGTTATTATGTTCTGAATCGGAAAAGATTATTTTATAAGGGAAAGAACATTTCAAGATATTAAAAACAAACCTTGTTTCAGATACAAGTAACAAAAATTATAATTCTTATTTTAGAATTTCACGTATTAGTTTTTTTAACGACTTTTTAATATTTTAGTAATTACATTTTGTTTTTGTTCATATTTTTATAGAGTAATTGCCCTAAAGCAATGTAAAAGTTTCAAATAAAATTAAAGGTATGAAAGAAATTTAAAAATGTAGTTTAAAGTAATTTTTTAAAAATTGTGCAATAAAAGTTCACATGTAGTCCACAAATACTTGTACCTCGCTCAGCTAAAAAGATATGCATTACTTAACCCATTTTTAAGCCAAGTATAGAAATTTATAAAATGTGGTATTATTTTTATTGAAATATGCTTAAATTACATTCATTAAGACATAAAAAAAAAGTTTTGTGTATGAAAAATAATATTTTATTTAAAAAATAAAATGATGTGTTTATGTAACACTGGCCAAATCGATAGACAAACCATTTACTTGAACTCTAGTTTTTTGTGATATATGATTTATTTTGATCTTATTTACAAAACTTGCAACTTTAATCCATATAAAATCATATGATTTATCTCAAATGGAATAATTATAGATTTTCATAAAATCAAATTTGTTAATGACCATTTAAAGTTAAAACACTGGCATAGTTTAAAAATTTCTCTACAAAAAGTGTTTACTTGAATTGAATCATTAATGTTTTATGATGTCTTCAGAACCCTTGACAATAGCAGTGTTAATAGAAAAATATTTATTGAAATTGTGGGTTATGCAACTTTGGTCAAAAATAGGTTAATTAGATATACATTCCTACCCCAATTTGAACTAAAATTAATTTATAAGAAAGTAAGGTTTTCATGAAAAACTGAGTTGACTAACTTTTCCCTTTTTTGTAGTATGTTTATGGCAATATGATTTGTTGGATTCGACATTTAGTTTTGATCATAATTTGGAAGTAAATAGTTTAATTTTTGATTTCAATAATTTTTTCTTCCTGTTATCCTTAATATTTTTTGATTATTTAATAATTGTTCCATGATATTTTAAAAATGCTGTTAAAATAGATTTGTAAACTGATGTATCCAAAACTTTGTTAATAGAGAGCTTCGTCAACATAAATTTCTCGACCATTATTGGATAGACTTTCCAGAGCAATTCGAGTCTGTGAGCAAAAATATATTGCTACCAAATGGTATGGTTTATTGTTTTTTTTAAAACATTTCTCATAAATTTTTTAAAAGCATTTTCTAAAATTTTCTTACTTTTAATTTTTCATATTTTGCTATTCTATTATTCAGTTTTAATTTTTCTGATAAAAACAATCACAATACATGGTACAATTTTGAAATTCCCAAAAAATTATACTTTTAACCAAGTTATGAGTACAAGTTTCTTTAAACTGTTATTGATTTTGAAAAAATATTTAGAAATAAATATTAAACACCCTCTTTTTAGAAATCAAGAGATCCTAAATGACTATGCTATCTTGTGCAATTGAAAATTGCTTTAAGTGTTTAGGAATTTATGATGCTTTAGAATGTATTGCTATGTAAATGTTTTATTTATAGTTTGTGCATTAAAATTGTAAACCATAATTCCTTACCACATTTTCTAATAATATTAAATTATAAATATTTGTTATTTCATAAAAGCAAAAAGGTGTTATGGTACCTTTCTAAACCTTGTATGTATACATATGTGAAAAAAATTTATTTTTCTTAAAGACAAGTGCAACAATGCCTGTCTGTCTTATTTAATTAGATTTTATTACATATCAAACAAGGAAAGATAATTATCATTCAATATGTTTATTTGTACAGAAAGTTAAAACATTAAAAAATACATGCGCAGTGGTATGTATTTTTAATGTTACATTAACCTACATACACAGTGGTTAGTGGTAAAATGCATCAAATTTAGAGATTTTGAGAAATTTAGTTATGCAGAGCATAAAAACGTAAGGAAAGCTTTTTGCAAAATAAAATAAAATAAAAAAGAATCAGAGTAATTAGATGTTCAAACTTTCATATGTTAAAATTAACCTTATTGTAATATTTAACTTACTTTCCTAAAATTTTTATATATATATTTATTTTCTATGTAAAACATAATTGACTGTAATCTTTTTAGAGGAGTTACGAAAATTTGTATTGCCAGCATACCTGACTGTAGTCCCTTGTATATATCGCCAAATTAAATCATTTCTCACATCAGGCAGTCCAGATATGATATTTCCTTACATTCCCAATGTGACCAAAAGATTACAAGCTATTAATCTGGTAATAAATATTTTTCATGTTTTGATAATAATTTTTACATACCATTACCATACATACCAATTGATTTTACTCCTAAACTAATTGAAGTTAGTAATTCTTACTGAAAGACCCAGATTCTATCTGCAGTGGTATCTTGAAGACCACCATACTTCGGACTGTTAAATACCAGTTACATGAGGGGAGTAAAGTTGGCTTGTGCGTAATGCTGCTATCATTGCTATCATCACAAGATTCAATCTCAAAATTGTGGAATCTTATCCTCTATGACGTCTTTGATCAAAAACTGTGTGTTGCAGGAGTATTTACTTCTTGTTTTATTTCAAATAAATTGAGTATCATATATACAAAATATTTTGTATAATATCTCCAAGTAGTAATATACAATAATTAATGCAGAAAAATTATAACCTGAATAATGCTATTTTCTATATTTATAGTATTGCAAAAAGAGCTACAACCTTATCAGGGAAAGAAAATTTGATTATTTGTTGATAAAAGTTGCTATATATTTTGGTTTCAAATAAAATTTTGTTGAAATTATTTTAATTATTAGAGCTTGCCAAAATTGAATTTTTCCCAGTTAAATTAGCTATGGTAGTTAGAAAACATTAATAGAAATTTACAAGTATTTGCAAATATTATTCTTAACTTTAATCAATTTATAACATTATTATTCACCTTCAATTTAATTTGTTAAACTTATTTTTTATAATTTATTTTGTAATTATCTGCTGTAATTATGAATTAATTTAATATTTCAGGTCTATGCTGTTCTTACTTCAGTTGATTCACCCATAAGTTCGGCAAATGCTTGTCTTTATAAATTAGTCACACCAGGTAAAATTCAGTCATACTTATTTCCTGCTTTTCAACTTTACTTGTTCAAGTAAACTTTGTTTAATTTGCTATTTAATTGATATATTTCAATACCTTAAGCAAATACAGGGTTCCCACGGTCCTTGAGAGTCCTTGAAAGTCCTTGAATTTTTTTTTGCTAAATTTAGGTCCTTGAAAGTGCTTGAAAAACGTCTTAGGTCCTTGAAAAACTTGATAGGTCCTTGAATTTGTCCAATACTGCCGGCGGCCNATCTGTAACTAACGTAAAAAGCATATGTTCCACCAGAGAGTTTTGGAGGAAGATTTCGGGAATTATTGCAGTCCTGTAACATTAGTCTTAACACATATTGTTTAACTTTTTTCTACGACATAGCAATATTGAGGTGATTTTTAAAATTGTAGTTAAATTTGTTGCCTTCAAAGTTGCACACGTTTGTTTTTGGAATATTACTCAAATTGTAATGAATAAATTAAATTGAGATTTTGTGCCAGTAAAGAGGGTTATTTACTTTCATTAGATTGTGAAATACTCACATTTGAAAATGTTAGCTCATTAGTATTGAAATACTCATTATTTATATATATATATGTATATAAATGAAAGCTTTATTTTTTTTTCTTCTATAAAATTTCCTTTATTTTTAATAAAATGGCTTAGTTGATGAATGTTAAAAATATTTAAACAATCATGTTAACTTGATATATATTTTAAAAATTGATATTATACATAACCTTTAGATCCATTGCAAACAGAGATAATTGATGATAATGTACTTCAATCTTGTTACATTATTGATAAGCATCCAAAAAAAGCTGCTGTTTCTCTTCTAACTAAGCTGGGTGAGTATATGTTTTTTGGAAAACATTATTTTAATTTAAAAAAAAAAGAGTTTTTAATGTATTTATTGTTTGTTTTTAAACACATACAATAAATTTTTAAAAGGTTTTACTGAAAAGGAAATCAATACTCTCCCGATCGGCATTGCACTTCCAATCAGAGATGCCTTGATCAAATGTTGGCATGAACCATCAGGATTGTGGACAAAAGATGTTTATGACTTAATTGGTAATTATTTGTAACTTTACTATTTAATGTGGAAAATATTTTGAGCCAAAAAAAGAGTGTGATATAGTTGGGAACCAATTATCCCAACTGTGCCATCTGGATATCATTCCAGATATTTTTATTATCACTAAAGAATAGCAATTATTAATCATCTATAACAGGGGTTTCTAATTTACATGAGGCCGGGAGCCGCAACTAAAAATACCAGTCAAATGGTGAGCCGCAACTTTATAAAAATTTTATATAAGACTCTTTTTATGTTTGAAGAAGCATTAAATATTACTGTCAGATTACTATCAAGTTGTACAAAACAAAAGTATTGAATTACAAGTTAAAATACGAAGTAGATTTTTACCTGAGAAATAAATTTTTTTGCACGGTTGGTATGTTAAATTTCACAGAAGCGAAGAAATTATGTTTTTTTTTTAATGAAAGAAAAGTGTTTTAAACTCGTATAGATTTTTAAGAAAATTGTCAGCAAAGAATGGCAACTTGTATATTTTTGTTTGCGAGCCACAATAAAAGGCTTCGTGGGTCGCCAGTTAGTAACTACTGATCTATAAGTCTGGTATTTTTTTAATTTTTATGTAGACCATTCAAAATGGCAAGAAAAATAGCAATAAAACAAATAAATTAGGTAAATTTTACGAAAAATAAGAAAATTAGTTTCAATCTTAAACCTTTGTCAACTGTATCTGCTGAAGATTTATTTTAGTCCTGTATTATTATTTATGTGTATGTACTTAAACATTCTAGAGTGTATTCAATCTTTTCATGGCATTTGTGAAGCTATATGTCGCAAAATTTTTTAAGAAGGAATAACTAATATGTTTGTTCATTGCATAGGAAGAAGAGATTTATCTTCTTTGCAATCCACTGAAAAAATCAAAATACCATTGCAAACAGTGAAACCCAAACAAGAAAACTCAAAAAATGGGTCTAATAAGGACAATGATGATGGTCTCAATCATGTTGACTTAGAAGTAAGATTTCTAATTTTCTACAAACTTTTTTAGTTTTATCAAATATAATATAATCTCTCTCTCTATCTATCTATATCTCTATCTATATATACAAAAATAAAAATTTTGTAACCAGTGTTGCTTCAGACCTTAATTCTTTGTATATATTGGCATTGACAGACTCTCTGAATTTTCCATGTTTTCTGAAAGTTCTGAAAAACATCCCATTGAAAGTGCATTACATAATTTCTTTTGCCAGATGTTTGTTTTAAAACGGCAGGAACGTCCAAATTTTCCATAACATCCTTTTGATTTTTCATTTTTATTAGAAAAAAATATTAGTATAGCAATGCAGTGTGTTATTTGGAGGAAAGAAAAAAGAAGAAATAAGAAAGCCTAATTTTGTTTAATGAGATGCCTGAGATTGTTTTTTCTTCGATGCACAGAATAGTGCAATAAACTTTCATTCTTTTTTTTTATTCACTTTCTTTTGTAACATAATTTAGAGGCCTGACACCCAAATATAAGTGGAGGCAAGTTTTGATTGCTACAAATAGGCATATATCTCTACAAATAGGCTATTTTCAGATAGTATCAACGAGAAAAAATGTGGTCAGAAATTTCTAATTTTTGTAATAAGAAAAGTGTAGAATGTAGTTCAATGAGAAATAAAGTTTTTTGTTTTTGTAGGTGGTAAAAGTTTCGAGTGAGAGGATGAAATTTCGTAGGTTATACAATAAATAAGATATATTTATTTCAAATAATACTTCAAACTCGTGAGATAATGTTATGAAGACCTCTTCAAACATCTGACATTGAACAGATAACTTATTTATTTTTATCTATTAAAATAACTAAAATATACTCCATTTGCATCATTTTAGTTTATTTGCAGAGAATTATCCATAAGGCTTGCATTTTAAAAATCTAAATATTGCAATTTTGTGACTGATTTCCCTTCAAACATGTGTTTTATTTAGGGATCATTTTTTTAGTTCAAGAAACTTTTCTTTCAAAACTTCAAGAACTTTTTCAACTGACAAACTAAATCAATTTCATACTAAATTTAACTTATAAAAGTTTACGAAAACTTAGCTTAAATTTATTATCAGAAAATGCAAAAGAATGTGCAGTTGAATTCATACAGACCTAATTTACCTCCTAACTTAAAAAGTATGAAATTCCTCCCGTGGTTGGTAACCATTAATTTCAAGTATATTGAAATGATAGAACTGAAAAAGCTGGAATGAAATAACTGTAAACTTGTTACTTCAAAAGGATTGAACTAAGATTTAAAGTGTATTTAAAAGAACGAAGCATATGTTATTAAAAATTAGAACTGAAACTATATTGTAGCATATATATTTTAGATATTTCCTTTCATATTTCTTTTTGAATTTCAGGAAAGCAAACAGCTGAAATTAGAAGACAATCCATAATAATTATAATAATTATTTTTAACAAAATAGCTGTGAATTATTAGCCCATAATAAATGACTAAGATAATAAAGTTAATCAATTACAAATATAAGTCGTAATTTATTTTGACTAGATGTTAAATTGTCCATATACACAGTGCTTTTTAACAAATTTATTTGGAATTTTATATTTGTTTAATTATTAATTTAATTGCAGGTTTTGAAATTGAGATTTGGTAAAGATCATAGAATTCATGATGTGTACAATATGCTCCAATCTTCTAAACCAGTCAAAATAAATTTGGTACAAAGACCTGAAGTCAGGTAACTTTTTTAATCTATATATTTTACAAAATTCAAAATTCAGTTTATTACTATTATTTAAACATGAACTTCGAATTATTTATAATAATTTTATTTTCAGTGATCATGAATTTATTGAAGAACAAGAACGTCATTTATATAATTTGTGCATAAGAACAATGGCCGCTACTGTTGGAAGGTGATAGTTTTTCTTATTTTGTATTTCCCAAATACTCACCTGTTATACACAATATTATTTGTCCAATTTGTTTTGTGAATTTTTATTTACATGTTTCCTATAAATAGAGTTAAAGTAATACTTTTTATTAATTATAATGTTATTCTAGTCACATATATCCTGATATATTCTTCCGTGGCTTGACAGCCTTGGGTGGGCCCTGGATTTTCTTCGGAATCTCTACATTTGGTGACTACTTTCCATTTGTGAAAGCCTAACCCAAGTTTTTTTTCCCATTTGCATTGCGAAAAAGACTATCTTACAGCATTGATCTCCATGCATTTTGTCTAATGACCAGTCCATTATTAACTGTATTTTGATGAATTTTACAATGTAAATCAATCTGATGAATTTTAATAAATCAATTTTTTAAATAAAATCCTGTAAAGTGCTAAATTACTTCCACTTACTATAAACTGTTTACCTGAACCCAATCTTCGGTAAATTTTTTTCTTATAAGTCCCCAGAGCCTCCATATTATGTAAAGTGAATGCCAAAATCTCTTATGCATATATCAGAATAGATCTTATAAGATTCTTGTAAAGGAGCAGTTTAGTTCTCAGTTTTAGAAAGTCAGATTTTTAGAAGTAGTTTAGTAACTGAATTTATAAAATTTAGAAATAAACAAACAAAACATCTATTAGCATGCATAATTTATTTGTGTATTTCAGGAATTAAAATAATGTTGCCGCATATTTTCACTTCTAAATAAGTAAAGCTGTTAACCTTTTCAAATTTAGGGGTTTAAATTTTTAAGTGGGTATTTTGTGGATCAAACTTTAGACATTGCAAATATTTCATTTGCTGACAAATTAATTTTTGCATTTTGCGCCAAGCCATTAAGTAAATGTCATTCGCTTAAGCCAGAATATGAACTGACTTATTAAAAATAGACGCCCTGGTATTCATCACTGAATTTCTAATTACTTTTACGAGTGCTATGTTAAATATGAATCAGTATTGATCACTGAATTACTAATTACTTGTCAAGTGATGCAGTGAGTCCCTATGTTGCACTCCATTCTTGACCTCAAGCTATTCAGTGACATCTCTTCATATATGTAGATGTAACAAAGTTTCCTTAAGAGTCAAGGCTATAAGAGCAAAAAAAAATTTTTGGAATATTCAATTCCTGCAAAATCTCTATAAGAAAGTCTATTAATGCGTACATAAGTTGTTATAAAATCGACAAAAAAAATGCGTATTTTGATTGCAAAGTCTCTACATTTTAAAAATTCTGTTTTAGGTGGAAAAATTGCCCAACCGTTTATCTTTTCTTTCTAAATCCACGCTGATAATCGCCTCGTACACTTCCGACATACAATAGGAGTCTGTTTAAAAGGATAGTAGATACAATTTTGTAAGATGTACAAGGAAGACTCATTCCTTAATTAGTGCTTATTACAATAGTGCATTAGTCCTATAATTAGTGCAGTCAATCACATTTCCTCTTTTGCTTGTCGTACAAATGGTAGTAAATTTTCATTTATGGAGTATTGTTTCAGTGTTCTATATATATTGAATTATGTCCCTCCCTGAATAGCTCTGCACAGCTAAACCCTGCAGGTTTTAGATAGAATGTTGTCAGGTCTAGGGAGATTGTTTTTTTTTTAAAAAATATTTAAAAAAAAAATTTTAATAGCATTTTTTACTTTTTTCAATCAAAGGGAATCAGCCACAAGATTTCTGTTTGTTGATTCTCAATTCTCTATGTGTAGAATTTCAGTAGCAACCCTACAATTTGTGCAAACCAATCATCATATTTATCTTTTTTAGTTTTTTTACGACAGTTAGTTGCCGCTTTAATTAACCACTAAATTAATGTCTCATTAAAAAGGATGGTGTTTGTTTCAAATTTTTATGAAATTTCAGTTTATTTCATTTTTAAAATTGTAATATACTACATTGCTTGCTATGCTAAATCTGAAATGCAATCTTTATGCAATCTCAAATCAATCCTAACTGCAACTTTATGTATATGTATTTTAATTTATGTATTGTTGCCATTTTTTTAAAGAAATGTGCATAAAAAATATTAATAAGCATATATTTTATTTATTTAGAGGAATGTTTACATTGAGAGCATATAACCCTGTTGTGACAGAAACGTTGCCAATTCCAAAATTGTGTCTTACAGGCCGTGCACCTCCTAGGTAAAATTATTTCGCATTTTTTAATGTAAAAAAGCTAATGACGAATGTTTATAACTAATGTGATAATATTGATTATGATTAACAATTACGTGGAACACATAAATTAGTATTAAATTCTCAATGCATATATTTCTTGTTCTATTTTTTTATTGAGCTTTGCTGTAAGTTAATTTAATTTTTATTTGATATAAATTGCAAGGATTTTTATTTTGCTGTATTAAATCGCCAACCGACTTAAAATTACTTTTTAAGTTACGCTTTATTTACACTGGGGATTAGCTTTACCTTCTTGCTGTAACTTAATGATGTATCGTTAAATTGCATAGTTATCTACTGCATAATATGCCAACCCATATACATTACTTGCTAAGTTATGCTTTATTTACATTTGGGATTTTCTTTATCGTTTGCTGTAACTTCATAATAATTCTTTAAATTGCAAAGTCATATCTCTCTCATTTACCAATATTTTAGTGGTAAATCTTCTGAAGTTCATTTTAGAAATAATATTTGGTGCATCAATATTGGTCAAGTTATTTCCACTATATAAATATACTTAGCAGTTTGAATGCTTCAATAATTTATGTTTTGCAGCTACTGCTTCGTTTTGTTGACCATGTTGGAGTTTACCCTCTACCCTCATGTTTAGTTTTATGAGTTCATTATAACTTTATATCAGATGAATTATTTCATCTCCATATTGTTCATCTCTGTGTTTGGAAAGATCTAAATTATTGTCGAAATTAGTGTCATAATTTTATTGTATTTAATGTCCTATCTATTTTTATTACATTATTATTTATGATTTAATAGGAATACCACTGTGGATTTGTCTCATATTGATGTTCCATCTAATATGAATATGTGGCCATTGTTTCATAATGGAGTTGCAGCTGGGCTATCTATTTCACTAAATGCTTCTAAGGTATAATTATTTTGCTCACTGAGATTTTTAATAAGACAGCAATCCTTTGAAAAGAGGGTTTCAAAAGATCAATTTATTTTGCATGTTTCCCAATGTATTTTAAAATTTTTTTTTTACTAAATTTATTTTTTCAAAGATTGATTCAACATGGATGGTATATAACAAGCCTCGAAGTAGCAGTAGTGATACACCCACTGAACATGCTGGTTTTTTAATGGCTCTTGGTTTAAATGGTCATTTGTCTCGTTTAACATCACTAAGCATTCATGATTATTTATGTAAAGTAAGTTTTGTTTGTTTTATAAACCATTGCATAAATGATTCTCTTTCTTAATATTGAATGTCTTACAATATCATTTAGTAACATTTTACTTTAAATTTTTGATTACAATTTTACTAGAATTGTAGATTTTAAATTCTTAATTTTGGTTTCAGTACGAAATCTTTTTAACCGCTTTAATTAAAAGTATAGTTTTTCTTTGTGTATAGTCAGAATGATATGCTGACAAAGTCCAGTATTTAAAATTCATTTTTATTTCTCATGTCAGTATGTTTTCAAATCTTGTTTAATTTATTTTTAATGTCTGCTCAAGTATTCAGGCAATTGTAACAAAAAAAGCAGTAAAATAATTTATCTTTAGAATTAATACACTTTTCACACCATAGTTTGTTTGGTTTGACTATTGTTTGTAAAACATTTCTGAATGTGTAATTCTTGTCTAAAAATGTGTAATTTTTAGGGTCATGAACTTACAAGTGTGGGAATCCTTTTGGGAGTTTCTGCTGCAAAGTGAGTATCTGAATAAATGTTTGCCATGTCTTTTTAAGGTTGTTAAATAGTCTTTTTAAGGTTGCGAAAATGACACTACATTGAAATAGTTTTTTTAACTTAACCGTTAACATTGGTTTCACCATGTTATGTGAGACTTCTCATGTTATTTAATTCGGATAAAATTAGTATTATTAATAATTAACATTGAATATCTTTAAAATGTAAACCATCTTTAAAAATATGTTATCAAATTAAAAAAACAAAAGTATTAATATTTAAACAAAGGTAAAAAAATATCTCCTAAAAAGTTGACTGTGTTTAATTTTCACTTAAATGAAATTAATTTTGACTAAACGCAAACTTGGTGTTCCAAAAAGGATTAGCAATTGGAAAGTGATTAAGGAAAAACTAAAAAAGACACAAGTGTACAATTTTCTCTGTTCTGCTTAATAAAACTTGTTCTCACCTAGTTTTAAAATTTTTCAACAAATGGTGCTCTTTCAACACCCTCTGTAACTAGACANGCGTTCACGAAAAAAAAGTAATGGCGATACAGCAGAATAGAAGCTTCGACGACTTCCAGTTCGCTACGAACGAGTAGGACTTCTCTTGATGACTCATGCTTCCGTTCTTGAAGGAGAGCTCAGGCCTTGCCTACTTACAGAGGGTGTTGGCTCTTTGCAGCAACAAAATGGTCCAATGTAAGGATAAGATTATGAAATGCTAAAACGAATCTCTTATTCTAGTGAGCAATGTCATCTGAAAACTAACTTTTTAACCAATTTTGAAATTTAATAAGCATAAATATTTTTTTCTTTTAAGCAGAGAAAAGCAAGTCATACGTTTCTATCTCTTCTAATTTTCTTTCCAATTTTTTTAAATTTAAATTCTTCGTTCCTTTCTGAACACCAGGTATGTCTCTTATGTTATTTTCAGTTACATTACTTGTTTTTAAATATTAAGTATCTTAAACAAAATGTACTTGTTTTAAGACTTTTAAAGTTTAATTCGTTTGTTAATAATATTATATTTTTTAGACGTGGAACCATGGATTTAAGTGCGACCAAAATGTTAAGCATTCATATTGAAGCTCTTTTACCCCCAACATCTACTGAATTAGATGTATCACCTACTGTTCAAGTTGCTGCTGTCATGGGACTGGGGTTATTATATCAAGGCTCTGGTCACCATCACATGGCAGAAGTACTACTGGGAGAAATTGGTCGCCCTCCTGGACCAGAAATGGAACACTGTGTCGACAGAGAAAGTTATTCACTGGCTGCTGGATTAGCTTTGGGATTGATAACATTTGGTGTAAATATTTAAATTGTCAAACACATTTTTTAGTTATTTTATTTCAGTTAAATTATTATTTTTATGGTGCATAGAGGCAAAAAATTTTTCACATAATATTAAATGTCAAATAATCAAATAAATGAATATAATTCTTTCTACGACTTGGACTCGAATTTGCAAAAGATAATTTTTTAAAAATTTAACTAGAAATAATAGTGAAAAAATCCCCTATTAAAGATTTCAAATATATGAATATAATTCTCTTTTCTTAGAATGCAAAATTATGCATGAAAGCAATCGTTCTATTCTTTATTAAATTTTTCTTTGTGAGAATATATTGTATTTTATTTATAATTTTTTTTAAAGTGTTAAAATACTGTAAATGATGAAATTTTTTGGCGTAATTAGAAGTAATCGTGAAAAAATTCCCTATTTTCCTATATGTTCCCTGTATATATTTTTTTTATTCCTTCTTAATTTTAAGGAAATGCTTAAATAGTGAACAAAGAGAAAAGAGCGTGTTGCAGAATTAAACAGGGTTAACACAACTGAATGATTTTCTTTTAAATAGTTATAAACCAAATTAAAGAAAAACTTCAAATCTGTAATCAAAATCATTTTGTGCTATCCATGGTTAAAAAAAAATATTTCTCAGTTAAGTTTTTAACATACATAGTTCAAAATCAGTGTCTTTGCTATAATCTCATAAAAAGAAACTATATGGCATTTAAAATCAGATCATTAGTTTGTACTAACCTTGTACATTAGTGAGGATATGAATTTAGTTCAGTTTATTTAATATTTTTGATGCAATGTAGAAAATAAATTTGACTAACCATTTGCCATCTTACAAAGAACTGCTTGAATGATACAGAGAATTGCTAGACATTTGAGGATGACTTATGTGGGGAGGAGTGAATGTTTTCAATGTTAAACGAATGTCTTTTCTGGTATTTCCCTATAAAAAACATTTGGCTGGAGCATTCCTAAAATTAATTAGTAATACTAATAATAATTAAAAATTAATTGTCCTTTCAACTGAGTCATTTTCCATTATCTTTCATGATGTATGTTGCTTAAGAATTACTTTTGCTATTTGTTTGTTAGGTATTCACTTTGGCAATTTTTTTAAAAGTATTGAGGCACAATATTACTTTAAAAATTGAATGAATTATAAAAACATTAAAAGACCTCTTTAGATAAAAAAAAGGGGGGCTTCTACTACCTTTATGTTAACCTCTGGAAAATTATAGTTTTAAGGCAATTAATGTTTCAATTGTTATAAAATATTTTTAATAATAAAATGAACTTGTGCTTTAGAAAGGGAAAAGCATGTCTGGTGTTGCAGATTTTCCAATGGCAGATCAACTGTACTATTATATGGTTGGTGGTCATAAAAGGCCTTTGGTACGTATGAAAACTCACATTTTTAAATATGATGCATTGTTTTTTTATTATTATTTATTTTTATCTTATTAAATATCATAATCTGAGCATTATAAAGTAGTTATTGAAGCTTGACTTTCTTCTGTGTTTCTTATTTTGAAAGTAATCATTAGCTTTTGAAACACATAGAAAGACTTCTAAATGGTATATATTAACTGACAAGATCTTTAATATGGTCATTTCTATAGAAATAGAGAATAAATAGTCTATTCCTCAGTATTGGTATGTAATATCATCCAAATGAGCTTGATCAGTTAAAAATTAAGAATACAAAGTTTTTAATAGGTGATACTTATTGTTAGTGTTTCGTGCTATTAAGCTTCATATTTATAAGAGAAGCATAGTCTCATAACATTTAATTCATAATTATAAAAAAATGTTTCACAGAGCACCATTTATTCATTGTATAACTGCTATTCTATTACTTATTGATTAAATTGTTCGTTATTTTTTAGTGCATATTTTTTCTGGTACGTAATATAAATTGCTATGTCGCAAGCTGATTGTGTCATCCATTCGATTGAATACTAAAATTATTAAATTATTGTGCTATTATTTATTAAACTATTAAAATTATTATTAATTTAACTATTAAAATTTATTAAATTATTACTCATTGTTTTTTAATATGCTTTGTAAAATGCTATATAAATTGTTGTTCTTGTATGCAAAATTGACTGATGCATTTTACTTTTATTTATGTTAAATTCTTAGACTGGAATCCATAAAGAAAAGCATAAATCTCCTAGTTATCAAATACGGGAAGGTGACAATGTCAATGTTGATGTGACTAGTCCTGGAGCTACTCTTGCATTAGGGATGATGTTTTTTGACACTGACAACCAGTATGTATAGTTGAGCTATAATATGAATATTAATGATTGTTTTTGTTTGCTTTGTTTTTTCTTTAATGGCATGGTTTTTTAATTTCGTGATTTTTTTTTGTCTTCTTATTAAAATGTCCCTAGTCTTTCTTAATGTTAAAATATACATTAGGTGGAAGAGAATAGAGGGTTAAAATTAATAAAGTTTTTGAATGTCTCAGGAAAAAAAAACTGGAGAACCTAAGGATTCAGAATTAAAATTAGCTTAAAAAAACGGTAATATGAAACATTTTGCTATAAACTTGTAAATATTCTAGAATTTTTTTCAAAAGAAAAAATAATAAAAATTAAAAAAAATTTTTTTTTCATGATAATATTTTGGTTGGCACTGCAATTTTAGGTTAAGAAAAAACTTTTATTTATTGTAATGTTTGAGATACAATTATTACTCGAATATTAATTTATTTTTGAATTTATTTAATTTATTTTTTAAGATTTGTTAGTGATAACTGATAAACTGTGTTTTGTTTGAAATACTTTAAAATATTGCCATGTGTAATTTTGTGCCATTTAGTGCAATTGCTGATTGGATGACTGCTCCCGATACTCAATTTCTTCTGGACATGGTTCGTCCTGATTTTTTATTGCTCAGAGTAAGTTTGTTCTTTCTGTTCTTCTTATAAGTTGTTGATAGTTGGGATTTTTATTATTGTCTTATAATACAGAGAATTTTATAGAAACATTAAGAACCTATTTACAAAACACTTTTTTAATGGAAATTAATTTTACTTTTTTTTTATTGTTGATTTCTCTTTATTTCATGTTGATTTCTCTTGTATTTGAAGAATGAATGGGGTAAATTGTTTATTACTTGCTAGTAAACATAACACATTCTTAAACCAAATATATAGAGTGTTTTCAAAATGCCACACAGTATATTATTTCACCCAAATCTTCTATTTAGAAAATTGTAGCAGCTTTACGTTTTGTTTCCAAATAATAAGACCGAAATTTGTTGGCAAAGGAGGCAGACGTGAAGTAAAAAATTAAAAAAAATCTTATCTATTAGCATAAACTTTGGGATGTGAAACCTCATCTTTGGCTGTTAAAGGATTTTGCAAATTTTATATTTGTATGTTAGAAGAGGTGCACTATTTTATGCAATTCCAATGCAAATCATGTCTCTAAGTATCTAAAGAAACATTGAGTACCTTCTGTTGTAGTGTTGATCAAAAATATGTATGTATGTGTGGAAATGTGTAATAACCATCTATTCCCAAGATGTCGTTTTGCCCTAAAACTCGTATACTTCCACTGACAACAACCTTTTCCTTGTTATCCTTCTTTTCCTGTTTTTTTGCTGTTACTAAATGTTAGAACTGTCTACTCTTCACTATAACTCAGGGCTCGAAAAACCGCCCGTCCTCGGCGGTAAAAAATTTCCCGCGGACAACAAATTTCTCGAATCCGACGTCTGAGCGGACGTCCATTTTCCCGTTTATGTCCGTGGTACATTTTCAATTTTTTTTTATCATACAAGAGTCTACCGCCTCACTTCTAAAATGACCATCTAATCGAGAAATCTCGTTAATTCTTCTATTACTGTATAATGTAATCCTAGTATTTGTAATCCTAGTAACTGCTAATTAATTGTGCAATTTATATAAATGTTTGCAATAAATAAGAGAATTATACTTTTATTTATTTAGAAGCTACGGGTTAGTTTCAAAGGAGGACAGATACATTGTTGGACAAGCCGTCCTGGGGGAGGGGTAAAATTTCTGCGTTTTTTCGAGCCCTGCTATAACTATAATAATCGACATTAAATGCTCAAATTAAATGCTGAATAAAATTATGTAGAACAATTTTTGTTCATTGTTTTTGCATATTGTGTATGATTTTCAATCCCCTTTCGCAACTCCAGATAGTCTTTGCGAAACTATGTTCCTCTACGGGAATATTATTTCTTTTTGTATGCCTGTTTTACCTTTTTCATTTTCACATTATTTTCAAATGCTTTGTGCAAAACATTTTGTGGAAGATTCTGGTGGCACCTTTTATAGTTAAATTTATTTTGACTATTGATTGTTTTTCCTAACAATATTAATGAAAAATTATTTTTATATTAAAAATAATAAATCTTGTTTTTTTTTTATTTAAATTTTTCTTGCAGACTCTGAGTAAAGGCTTAATATTGTGGTCGTCTGTTCATCCATCTGTTCAGTGGGTTGAAAGCCATTTACCCTCTGTAAGTTAAAATTTTAAAATTTATCTGAAATTTTTTTTCTTTACTGTATTGTTATTAAAGGTTTTACCTAAGTGTTCATATACATTTTACTGATATTTCTCAATCAGCTGGTTTATTCAAATTGTTACATCTCACGCAAAATGTGTATTCTGCAACTAGGGCTGTTACTAATTAGTTATATTGCAAGAAATGCTTAGAAAAACTTGCATGTCCTACAGAAAGTGTAATTTCAATGCATTATTACAATTTTGGCGTTTTTAATGAGGGACACAAGTAAAAATTTTTTTTATGTAACATAGGTATTGCAATGAATATTTGTAAGTATCATTAAATGTCCACTGTAAACTCAACATTTCGGTAAATTTTTTATCAAAGTGAAACACTAATGTTTAAATGTCATGTTTAGAAAAATTTGAAATTTATTGCGCCATTTTTAAGATAGACATAAGTAAAAACTATTTAACTCTTAAATATAAATTTTTGACTATGTTATTTTCTGCATTGTTTTACTTTCTATGTAGTTTGATTTAAAATATTCTAATCTTTACTTTTAGATTGTTTTAAAGCATGCATTTCAAAAAACAAATCAGCAAGATGATATTGATTATGAAACAATGAGGTATCGAACTCAGTTTTGAAATAATTATTTAATATGTAATGATATATTACTAAATGTTTTTAGTTTTCTTCTTATGCTGCGCAATTGCATTTTCAACACATAACAATCACATTTTCTCACTCTCTATGTATTATTTTATAATTTAATATTCAATTTTTGACTTAAACTGAAATGATTTTAAATACTCTTTCCATTAGAAATATTCAGTTCTTTGAATATTACAACCTGTTCAAAATTGCACTAAAATTTTTTTCTTGTCAAACATCTACCCTAAAGTTTGTAAAAAGCCAGGATTAAAGCTCAAAGAGAATAAGTTTTTAGCTTAGTTTAAATATGATAAATTTAATTTAAATGAAGCAGTTCATTATGTATACTATAATGAAAAATCAAAGTAACTATTCATTTGTATTTTTTAGAAAGAAATGTGTAAGTTAGTTGGACATTAAATGTATATGATATGAATGAATTTACATTTTGTTAAGCTTAATACAAAATTCTTTTTTATTTATTCTTATTCTGTTATCATTTTTTATTTTTAAATATTTATACTATGGTGTTCTAATTTTTATGATATAAATGTATTTTTTTATTTAGTCAAGTATATTGCAACATTATTGCTGGAGGATGTTTTTGCATAGGTTTAAAATTTGCTGGATCTGGAAACAATGAGGCTTTTAAAACACTGGTAAGTGTGAAAACCTTTTTTTAAACAAATTTAAAGATAACTGTATATGTTTCAGTGATGGGAATGTAAGACGTCAAATGAAACAATATGGCAATGAAACATCCTCTTTAATTGTGAAAGATAACAAACCATCAAGAAACTTCACAAACTCCAATTGACAGGTTATTTGTTAAAACATTTGAAAGTTGTTATTAAAAGAACAATTAAAACTTGAACTTTTGATTGTAAACATCTCATACTGCAGGTGGGCGTCACCGGGTAGAAACCTAATATTGGTACAAAGTCTCGAACGCTGCACAACAACCCTCTCGAAGGCAAACTGTCATCTGCTTAAGTACTGGACATCAGCCTCTTCACTCCCTGCCTTGGCCGCCGGTTGATGCTCCTCCGCCGGTATACATCCGCGCGGGAACTATTCCGGTTCGTCCTCCTACCTTCGGTCTTCGATCCAATACTCGATCCTTCTACATCGGCTTTTCATGCTATCTCAGCTGTCGCAACCAACAGCTTCTACAGTAACTAAGAACTAATTATCATAATCTAATGCAGTTGTAACTTAAAATATAAGAATTTTTATAACGCAAACGAAAGGCTAAACTCTTTTGTTCAGTTTTTATAACCTTCATTTTATTAACATATTGGTGTTGTCATTGTCATGTCCATGGATATTGCTATCATTAAAGAAGTAAAGGTTCAAAAAAACAAACAAAAATTTCAGATAGCCAAAATGTTTATCAGAGATCCAAAAATTGCAGCTTCCAGCCAGGCCAAATTTACTACCGTTCAGCGGTACCATCACAAAATACTTTTTCTTAAAATTTTACATTTGTTTGCTATAAGAAACGATAAATTTATATTTTTACCTTATTTTTGTGCTGATTTTTTAATATAATATTTAATTTTCACAAATTATGTCTAAATTTTCACAAAATTGGTACCTCTCAGAAAGACCTAGACAGACCCCTGAAATGTCTTATTTAAAGCAATCAAAGTCTGAGATTAGATGCTATTTTAATGGCTGATTATAAACTCTACTTATGGCTATTGCATTTCCATTGGTAAATATGATGGTAACCAAGATTTTAGGCTTATTTTCTTGGTTCGAGGCTTTGGAGGGCCAAAGCACATACATATTTTTTCCCTTTGACATTTACATGTCTGATATCCCGTTGCAGCGCACTGGATTTACCCTTGCCATTCCAACTGACTGAATTTGTTACTCTCCATTTTAAATTGCTTCTAAGGCTGATTTAAAATTAGGGAAAAAAATTATTATTCTCCCAATAATTTTTTTGTTTTAGAGTATAAATATTTGAATGGGTTTTCGGTTTCATTCACATGCCAAAATTTTGTAATTAATGATTTTTTTTCTTAAATTTTAGATGCAATATGCAAAACATTTCATTCAGCTCTCCAGAAAATATGCTAGCGATCAAGCTGGTCGGAGCACAGTTGAAACTTGCTTGAATGTTATTGTTTTATCTTTATCCATGGTAAGTTTGATTTATCAGTATATTTTTTGTTACATCATGAGATACGGCAGTAAATATTTTTGTCAAATTAAAGCATATATCGATAGACTGATATAATAACTTTCTTTTCACCTGATGCATTATATCTCTTAGTTATGTGAATAGCTTTAAAACCTATAGATGCCAATTACATAAAAACAATACTTTAGAAATAACTAATGCATGCAACATGCTTCATGTAAAAAAGGGATATATCACCAAAATTTTTTTATAACAAAGAGGATAACAAGTAATGTTTTACTGATTGTTTTTTTAAATCTGCAAATACAAACTTTTCTCTTATGAATTTATCTTTTTAATTTATTATGAATATTTCATTATAAATAATTTTCTTATCACTAACAGGTAATGGCTGGTACTGGTGATTTAGATGTCATTCGAATTTGTCGTCACTTAAGATCTAGAGTTCATCAAGCTGCTAGCTATGTATTATATGGCTCACATGTAGTGACACACATGGGTCTTGGATTACTGTTCTTAGGTGGTGGAAGGTTTGTATATTTATGATTTTTTTATGCTGAACTTTATGTTAAATGTAATGTTTAAAATTGAACTTATGTTTTCCTTTTCCTTTTTTCTTTTCACAACTTTGCATTATAATAAAATGTACTTAGAATAATATATAAAAATTTTTGTGATGATACATAATCTATTAAATTTTTATGATAATATTAAAATGTAGCTACATTTTATGATCTGCTTTTATTATAGATTAACGTGAATGTATTTTTAAAAAAAAATTGATAATGTGAAACACTTGTCAAAATATCACCAACATTTGTTTGAATATTCATCTCCATTTGTCATGAATTACATGCAGATTTAATTGTTTTTAGTACAATAAATTTTCTGTTACTTGCAACACTTGATAAAATATCAGTAAGAATTAATTGAATGTTTTTCTTTATGTGTCGTGCATTTTTTTGCAACATGTTTTGTGGTCAGCACTATCAAAGTATTTGTCTTTTCTTAGTGTTTAATTGCTGTTCCCAACCATTTTTATTTTATGTAACAAGTTCCCAAAATTTTCTCATATTATTAGAGCTTAAGCTCTTTTAAAACAATTTATTGTTTTTAATATCAGTAGCTCTACTATGTTTATAAATACGGAAGAAACATTTACCTCAGAAATAATGGTTAAACTAATGTTTATTAAGTAAGTGAATAAAATATAAAATGTTCAGGTAGCTAGAAAATTCAATATCTGTATCATGCAAAATATTCTAATTGCAATTGCAGTTAAAGCAACTTTTGTGTTAACTAATGATGCTTTCATGGACCTGTTTCAAGTATTTATTCATATTAATCGATAAGTGAATGGTTCACACAGATAAAATGAGCTGGTTCAATGGTTAAGGCACTTTGCTGCCATTGTTAAAAACTGGGATTTAATTTTCGGCATTGGTTTGAAGCCCACTGGGTTTCAGATCAATGGGTATGAGTTCGTTTGAGAAGTAAATATGAATGGTGGGTAATGATGACCACATTACCACCATCATGCTGTTGGTCTCAAAATTTTGAAGCCACTATGCATGTATGTAAAAATTAACCCCATAACTGATGCAGGAGTGCTTTACTTCTTTTCCACACAAATAGATTAGTATAAAAGGCATAGAGTATTCTAGTGCTTTTGTGTTGACAAAATGTGTTGCTCTTCATCTTTTCGATATAATATCATGAAATCCTTTTTTTGAATGTTGTTTTCAACCAAGGATTTTTAGTTATTGGTTAAATTTTAAGACTATTTTCCTCTATTTTTTTAAAAAATGTGTATTGTTAAAAAAATATGATCTGTCTGTGCTCTTTTCACTTGCTCTTGTTTCATGCATAGAATGCTGACTGAAAACCTCTGGTCTAGTTTTAACTTTTATTAACAATCCTATTCTCTATGATAAACTACTCTATTAATATTTTTACACTAATAGTTCAAATTCTTGCCTGTTTTTTTATGAGCTTATAATTTTAAAATCTTTGTTTTGCTTTTGACTACAAAAATTTCTGCCTTAGCAACAGAGAGCATTGTAATCAATAATAAAAAATTATGAATATGTGTTACTTGTGTAGCAGAAGAAGCATCAGAATGAAAAGCCTAACACTTATCGCCCACACCATTTTTATTTTGTTGTTTGTATTTATTAAATTTAATTTTTATTTAAATTTGGCTTATTTTATTTATTCTCTAAAATTACCATTAATTTTTGATGTTGAGCATTTTCATAATTAAACTTTTTTTCAAATTTATTAGATTTGTAAACTTGATAAACTGTTTTTAATTAATATTTAGATTCACTCTGAACACTGCTCCCCTCAGTATTGGTGCTCTGATCTGTGCTTTTTTCCCAAAATTCCCTCAGCACAGTAATGATAGCAGGTATGTTTAAATTTTTTTCTTCTTTAAATCTAAAGGGTTATTTACAAATTACTGTATAGTAATTCCTTGCAAGGTCTAAAAATACCTTTCCCTATGGCAAAATTGTGAGAGGTATTTATAATGTAGGATATTTAAATTCAACATTTAAAAAAATAAATGAATTACATGTGGTGGTGAAATGTTTTCTAATAAATAAAACATGTAGTGAACCCTATAGGGGTGTCTCCTTCCAAAACTGCTTTTTTGAGTCACCATATTTTTTACCTTAATATTCCAGTTCTAAATTATCAATACCAAAGACCAGACAACACTCTACAAGTAAACAATTTTAATATGATAAATTTAAGGAGGATATTAATTTAAATTATCTTTTTTCAGGATATAAAATTAAACTAGTGCGAGAGGAAACAGACAATTTGACACTATCCAAAATGCAATCTTATTTTAAATTATTTGAATTAAAAAAAATATGTATGTAGAAAAACCAAATTATTGAGGCAACCACTTATCCTAACCAATTTTTAGAGTAAGGAGAGAGGTAATTCCCAGGAAGTTTCACTTTAAATTCAAAAACTTTAAAGAAAAGCTTGACATGTTAAAGAGAAACAATTTACTTTCTAGTGTTTGTAAATTGTTTTGAGTAGAACTACAGACGAACTAGATACACCTGTTTAGTTGAAACTGAAGAATATTCATAGTTATGAGTAGTAAAAAAGAAAAAGTTATTTAAGCTGTTTTTATTGAGTTATTACTTTGTGCAAATTTTTAAAAATGTGATTTTTTAAGTATGAATGGAATTTAAAATAATGTTATGAAAATAGATATCTTTTCGTTTTAAAGAATTATATCATTTATTAAGCTTAATGGCTTTAAAAGTCATTTTTGACACCTATAAATAGGTTATGGTGAAAGAGAAGGTGATGTCCTTTTAATTCCAGGACTACATTTGTACTTTATAAAAAAGACAATATAATCTCAAAAACTTCCAGGAACTGGATGATTTTGTATCAACTCATGGTGAGAAAAAAATGAGTTAGATAATATTTTATTAAGAATATCGATTCCAAAATTTTGCTGTATCACTTTGTAATTAACTGAAAAATGTCCAAAATATCCTTTTTTTTTGCTATTTGTATTTTTTTATTGTGAGATCGTACTATATTTCCTTTTTAATATAATAACTTCCCATTCATTTTATAAACTTATGCTAGATTACTAAGTCAGTATGAATTTGCATTTTGTTTTTAGGTACCATTTACAAGCCCTTTATCATCTCTATGTACTAGCAGTAGAACCTCGACTGATTGTTCCACGTCTGATCGATTCAAATAAACCAGTCTACATTAATATTAAAGTGAAGTTCAAGGTACCTTTAAATTTTATTTTATGTATGTTAAATTCTGGGGTAATTTATTTATTGAATTATTGTTTTTTATTTAATGAAGTCCACCATAATTTAATGTGGTAGCAAAAATACTTTTATTTTTCTCCTTATATCTCTTAATTGTATTTGTGTTTTAAAATGCTTTAAAAAAAAATTAATGGCAGTTATTTGGCTATATTCTGAAATTGTAGAGGTAACACACACTGGTAACATACTAGAGGTAACACACACTGTATAAGCCTTACTTTTATTGTCATCTTTTATCCTTAAGTTCAGACTACATTGGATTTATTGGCAATAGGTTTTGCCAGTGAATGGCACTTTCATTTTTGTTTTGCATACTTTATTATCATGGAATAAGCTATATCCATACCAAATTTCATTTATTTATATTCAGTATTTTTTTAGATATTTGGGAAAATGTCTTCCATCTCTTAATTTTGTCCACCAGTGTATAATGCAAAACTCATTAGAATATATGGTATTTGTTTTGACTTAATTGATTCCAAACCATTAACAGCAGTCCAATCAAATACATTGACTTATATTTCTTGATAGCAATTTTCTTTAAAGCAATGAGGTTTTTTTTTAATCATTTTAATTTGAAGAAAATTTTTGTTGTGTCATATATAATAAAATTTTTTATTTAAAATATTTTTGTGGTACCCTAGAGTAAAGTTAAGTTGAAATAGGATTTTAACTTTTTGTTGTGTCTTCCTTCCATCATTGCAATCTGCGCTGAAATATATACTTAAATTAATAAATATTAAAGTATGTATAAAAGTTGTATGTGATTGTTAAATTGAGAGTGGAACAAACATTTTCCTTTTAATTTTTGTTTGAAATAACATAAATTTATGAGACTATTTTTAAGTAATATCTACATAACATTGCTTTTTATTTTTAGCCGTTTGATTTTTTTTCTTCCATATCAATTTGTGTTTTAATATGAATCAGAAAATTCTTAAAAGTATTATTGAATGAACATATCTATGCTAAGGAAATATTTGTGTTTATTTGTACTTTTGTAAGGAAACTATGAAATAAGCAACTATATGACTGTCGAAAGTGTGAAAAACCTATCAATCTTTGATTTTCGTCAATATCATCTCCTCAATAACAAGTTCACAAAAATATGTATATACTAAATTTATTACCTGACTTTCAACTATAATATTTTAAATAATAAAAATTGACTGAAAAAAAATTTTTTTAAAGAAAATTTTAAATATTTATATTTCTGTAAGTTTTGTCATAAAAAATTCCAAAATACAAAACTTATGCTATTCTTCCCAGTTTAAAGCTACTAGTTTTAACAAAATAAAATAGGGGAAGAAGAAAAAAACGAAAAAATTAAATACATTTAATACTGTCATAGATTTCACTATTGTAGCTTACAAGTAAAAATCTGTCATGATATTGGAGTTCCGATTTAAAACAAGAGTTTTCTAAACTTTAGGTTTGTTCCATTAAAATTGGATAATTTCTTGTTAATGCTAATTAATTGAGGTATAATTGATTGAAGAATATAAGTCTAATCCCTTGGTAATTTTGCATGTATCTCTTATAGGACACTGAATTTTATGAAGATGCAACATTTTCTTTGAAAGCTCCATGCTTGCTTCCTGAATTGAAATTTTTAGAAAAGGTTTAGTAATCTTTCTATTTTACAATAATGCCATTCATAAATTTTGATGTATCTAAAAGAAGTCATTAATAACTCACATTTTAATTGTTGTAACTATCAATTGTGAGTCTTAGTATCAAAAGTAAAGTGTTTGTAGTTAGTTACTAAAAAGATGAGTTTTGCCAAAACTATGTAGGATTTTTTTTAAGTGAATAAATTATATGTGTTGTGCATAATTAATTTAATAGTAGCTTTTCGTTACCTTGTGCTTGTTGAGTGATAAGAAATTAGTGAGATATATATTTGAAAATGTGATATAATGGAGATACAAATAAAGAAAGGTTGAATTTTGTATTGTATATAAATAAAATTGTAAAATAGTGCAGAAGATCTGTTTGTTGGCCATCAGCATAGATTATACCATTGAATTCGATCAGGGGATCTAACCAGGGCAAAGTAGAAATATATAGTTGCTATTGCCCACTCTCCAGTGAATCAGCAAATCTGACTCATTCTCAGTCGTGCGCTTTTGGCATGATTGAAAGGCTGTTTGTATTTTAGTGAAATTGCCATTTTTAGGCTTTGATATTGATTGAGATCCATGCAATTTGGTTGTCTTGCCAAAAAGAATAGGCAAAGAAGTGCAGTGCTGCCTAGAGTGTCAATAAGTTAGAGAGTTCTGTGTTTGTTTCCAATGTTCATCAATGTGGAGAAGTGCTGTAGAGATGTACAGTGTGCAAAATAAATAACAGACCACCCTAAATAACTTTTGATCTAATGATCGGATATTCATGCTCTAGGACTCAATCTAAATTGCTCAAGGGGTTGACCTGAATAACCTTTTTCAACAGAGTCAGATGTTTTGACTTCCAAAATATAGGACGTATTTTGCTATATCTCGAGAATTTTTTATGAGAATTTTAAAAATCTTTATTCACAGCTATGAAATTGGTTTATCCAAAGATAAAACCATGCAAAAAATTAATTTTAGTAAATATTTATTATTTTTTATTATTTTATTTAGTAATAGTCGAAAATTTTTTGAATTGTTAGGTATACAATTTTTTACATCATTTTTGACAAAATACAAAATTTGGGCAAAATCGGTGGAATAGTTCCTAGGAAATCGAATTTTAAAAAAGTTGTATGTTTAAAATTTGATTTCTCAGGAACTATGCATCCAATTTTTCTCAAATTTTGTATTTTGCCATGTAAAATTGCTTCTTTAAAATTATGTAAAAATTTATATACATTACAATTTAAAAGTTTTATGACTGTTATTAAATAAAAAAATAAAATTTTTTTAATTATTTACTGAAAATATTTTTGCAATGAATTATCTTTGCATAAACAAATTTTATAATTGTGTGCAAAAACTTTTCAATTCGCTTGAAAAGTTCTCGACATATGGTGATTAATGCAAAAAGTAGAATTAACATTAAAGGGTTCAAACTTTGAATCGCTCGCCTGATAAAACTATGGGGATCATATTTCCCGGAATGCGGCTATCCCCTATATTTTGGGGCCAAAAATCCGAATCCATTGATAAAAAGGTATGTTTATTCAGAGAAAGTACATTTTTGTGTCTGATTTCATAACTTAAAATATCGTCTCCACTAATTGATTAGCATATTTTAGGTCACCCTTCGAACCATTAAGATGGAGTCCTAGAAAGTGAAGATCGGATCATTAGATCAAGAGTTATTTAGGGTGGACCTTTTTTTTAAGCGATTTGTTCATTGTCGATTTCCAAGGATTGAATTGAAGGTTTTAAGTTTGCATCCAATCAAATGCATTAACCAACTTTTAGAAGGCTGTAATTAGAAAGTTTTATGTTGTTGCCGCTGCCAAGTTTAAATAGCGAAAAAAGGGTGCAAATACAAACAACAACACAAAAACAAACATTCTCTGTTCTGTAATGAAGTAACTTTTGGGGTATCGAAACATAGAATAAACAACAAAAAGGTTACCTTCTCCCTTGGAGGGGGGTTTGACACCTGAAAAATATGCTATGCTGCCTATTTAAATATCACTATAAAATAGCAAAAATGATAGAGTGCAAATGTAGGGCTTGTGATAAATCGGGAGATCTAGTGATAGATATTTCTTAAATTTAATCTAAATAATAATTCAATATACAAAAGCATTTTGTTACTTACCTGGAAATCAGTTTTTTTTTTAAATGCTCACCTGAACAATTTGTAAAGGTGGCTTATTATTATATTGTGGAAACTCTCAAAGCCTATTCTAGAGCAATAAAAAAAAATAGTAGCAATGACGAATTACTCTTTCTTTTATTGTTACCTTTTTGTGAACAATGTTTTTTTATTAAACAATTTAGAAAAAAAAAATTAGATTTTTATACCTTTTTTTAAAAAAAAGTCTAAAGTGGTGATGCAGAGTTGTGTTCATTTTGTGTTGAAAAAATTATTTATTCTGACTATCAATCTAGAAACAACTTTCCAATAGAAATAGTGAATTTAGGTGTTATGTTAATATGATAGTTTTTAAACCTAAATTTGCAATGAATTCATAGAAAATGTTACTTTTAATATTATTTTAAAGAAAAAATTTCACACTTTTTTGAGAAATGTAAAAGAGTTTTTAATTTCTGGAGTCATAAAACATGTTTTTTCCTGACCGAATATCTTGACGATTTAGCTAAGGTATATCTTTTGAAATGTCTTATTTATAATTATTGAAATATTTGAATTGTTATCAATTTTATGGCATTCAAAAGGTACTTAGATTTATTATATGAAACTTTTGTCAGAAAATAAGCTCTTTAAATGACTAATAATTTTAAAAATTTAATAAATCTATTTAAATTTGAATATATCAAATGAGTTAAATAAAATTTAAATAATTTTTAAATGCCGATGGATTATTTTATCTGATATGTTTTAACTGTGGACAAACCTAAATATTAAGTATTCAGAGAATTTCTTTCATAATGCTCATAATTTAAATCTATTTAAATATTTCTTACTTTAAAGGTAATCATTGAAGATTCTAGGTATTGGCCTATTGTTTTCGATTGCAATGAAAACTGGGAAGTTTTACAGTATGTTTTCTTTATATTTTGCTTTGTTATTTTATTTTTAAATAAATATATTTTGACTGTTAATATTATGTATCATTCCCAGTAATAAGATTTTATTTTAATATTATGGTCTTTCTTGAATAGTTTTGACTTTAAAATTTGATGTTTAATTAAAGATTTTTTCTTTCTAATTACTATAATTATTTAAATATATATTTTTTTAATTTTTTCGAACTATTAAATCTTGTTTTTCAATGTCTGAAATAAATGTCACTAATTTCAGTTAAATCTGGTCGGTTTCAGTTATTGAGAATTGTATTATATGCACTATGTTTTTTAGCTTATTATAACCATTACTCTTTATTATTATTATTACAATTTTTATTTTATTTTCAGTCAGTTATTTTATTTTCAGTTTTATAATTATCTGACCTAATACCATATTTAATTTGACCAAATTTATCAAAATCAGTTCTTTCTTCTTCCTTTATTTTAATATTATTCTTAGTTTCTTACATTATTTTTATGTTTTATTATTATTTTGTTACTGTTTGAAAAATTCCATCTTGTTTGTTATTTAAAGAATAAGCTTTGATAAATATATTCTGTAGCAATTTGCTGGAAAATGGTGGTACTTTACATGTAATGCAAAAAGCTGGTTGTTTGCCCTACAATGAAGACCCTAAAGTAAGTTAGAAAATTTGTATCCATTGATTGATTACTTTATTTCTTAAGAATATTTATTTTTAAATAATTGCTTATTAGGTCCACTTATTGTTTTCCTTTTTTAATTTTAATGCATCAAATATTTTAATTACAAATTTGTAGGATATTTAGCAGCATAGTTTGTCATAGCAAAGATAATTAAATCTGTGTACCATATATTGTTGCTAAGAGTAAATTAAATGTTCATTGCAAAATTGATCTAATCCTAGAAAATTTAGTCTTAGTCATGCTGTATAACTAATTTGCAAATTCTTTTTACCAATTTTATTTGTTACTGTACTATTGTAGTATCTTGAAAAAAAAATTGCTTGCTATCTCCACACTTATTATTTCATTGTGTTTAATTCAAGCATTCAGTTATATGATCATAATCTTTGTTTTAATAACATTTTAAGAAATCATATTATTTAATCATGCTTCAAATGATATCATTTAAATTAATAATTTTTTTCTAGGGATTTCAAAGTTTGTTGGCTCGATCCTCTTTATGGAACAACGTACATGCCTGGATAAGAAAAGTTTGTTTCTATTATTGGTTGATGAATATTATTATTATTTTTTTTTGTTTCAGAATATCATTACTAAGTTTGTTTAAAAGCCCATTACACAGTTGACTATCTCAGGGTGGCCACAGCACCGGGAGAACCAGGAAAATTCAAAGAATGAAAAAAACTGGAAAAATTCAGGGAATTTCTAATTTTTTCTTAAAAACTAGGAAAACACAGAAATTTTTTCTTCGAAAAAAAGCCGATGTCTTTAAACATCGACAAAAATAAAGCGTGTAATCATAGCAAGCATTACAAAAGAAGAAAAAGCAGCCATGTCAGCTGCGTCAAATTTTGAATTGCAAATTTAAGTCATGACTTTTTAATGCGCTCAGTTTGCACTGATTCTATTGAAAGTTTATGTTGTTCTCGATCACTTTTTTCAACAAATATTTCTGTGAAATTCCGTATGGTTTAAAAAAAAAACAATATTTTTAATACGATATTAGGATGCGTGAGTTTCGAATTTGAGTCATAACTTTTTGGCTAGCATTATTTTTGCCAATTTTATTATAAACCCAAGTGATGTTTCTGGTGTTTTTTTTTTTTTTTTACATTTATAACTACCAATTTTCATGTGGTTTTTGAAATCTCGTTGCATTTATTACAATATTATGAATCGTGAGTTATAAATTGTGCATTTAATTTATCACTTTAGATGTGCTCGTTTTTGCCAATTTCATCATAAATCTGAATGAATTCCAATAAGTAAAAATTATCAGTTTTTAAAACACCAATTTTAAGGTAAAAATTATATTTCCACCAACATTGCTAAATATGCATGCGGCCCTTCGTTAGTCAACATGCTGTGCCCTTTAGTCCAAAAGGTTGTGCACTTAATATTTTATATTTATTCATTATGAAGTAAAGATGTTTATAACAATAATAATTTTTAAAATCAGCTTACATAATATTGTAATTAATTTCAGTTTTCGTTAATGTCTAGTTCATTAATTTTAGTTCATTCAGTAAACTTTTAAAATTCTATGTCAATATTTATAAACATACAGTATTAATATGAAAAAAATCACAAGTAATCAGTGTTTTTTAAATCAATGTTTTAGGACCTACAACTTTCAAATTTTTCATCTGATCCTGTACCTCTCAACTTTGCATCCTGCTTTTTAACAAATACTGCTAAGAGTGAACAGGTTTGTATAAATTTAATTTATTATTTTGTCTTTTCTTTGTTGTTAACAGGAAAGATTTCTAAACAGGTTCATCTTCTTTATTTTTGAAATTTGAGAAAAATTATGTGTGGGTTCTCCTTGTTAGGATGATCTCATTTTTACATACTTTGAATGCTTTTATTTAAAATACTATATTTATTCAAAGTTTTAACTATTTTTTAGATCAAAAATAATTATTTGCAATTTATGAAAATAATATTATATAAATTAAATAATTAAAATTTTTTATTTGTATATATTGTTCAATTTCCTATTTTTATACTCTATCTCGTTTAAGATTTATTATATGACATTAGATCTAGAAAACTTTCTCACTTATCATGTGCAACTCTTATTTCATTTGCATATCAAAAGTCAGGGGTTTACAAAAATTCAAGTGAGCCAGGACCATATTTTTGAAGACATACTTTTAAATTGATTTAAACTTAGCTGATAACTATTATTTTCTTTATGAAATTAATTAAAATATGGACAATCAATGTTTTTAATTTATCTAAAAATAAATAAATAATGTGGTCAGAAGTATTATATTTTAAGAAGAGTGGAAGACTGTAAACAGTTATTTTTAGCTATGTAATGTGATGTTTTAAGTAATATTTTTATTTGCTGTGGTGTACTTGCAAGGTTTTCACTTGTACTGTTGGCACTTACACACTTTATCTTCAATTGATTTTTTGTGCATTTTAATTATTTTTAATTTGAAGAGGGTAAAAAAAAAAAAAACATATTTCTAGACACAAAATTGGTTGAAATTGAGAAATCTTTGTATACTTTAAAATTTTCTATTTTTTTGCTTCAAGATTCTTTAATTAATACAATAAATCAGCTTGGAGTTACTAGATCTTACGTTAGGTCATTTAATAACATATCCCTGTATTGAAGCATATTTCATTGGTACTGTATATCAAAAGACTGAATCCAGTGCTAGCAGTACTACCATCAAGCAAGCTAAATGTAGGTTGATTATTTTCTTTTTTTTTTTCTTCATTTGAGGAATTGAGATTTTTGGGTCTAAAAAGCAGTTTAAAATATATGCAGTATGCATGCACCAGCTACTTAATAACTATTCAAAAATGTATTACATTAAAAAAAATCATTATAATTTATTAACTTAAACCTCCTTAGAAGCTGGATTAATGTTTTAAAATATTCCCTTTTTTCTATTACAGGAAAAGGAATGGCAACAAAAGATGTGTGGTATACTATTTGAATGTGCTTCATTAGAGAAAATGGAAGCATTACCAATATCTGTTGCAATGATGCAGGTATATTTCATTTCTCATTATTCATATCAATATAGTTTTTTTTACTCGTAATTAAATATTACAGATTTTTCCTATTTTGTTTTTTTAAAATTCAATAATATATCAAAGTTGTACTTTTATTTTTAAATAATGATACGTGATACTGATTTAATAATGTAGTTGTAGTATAAGATGAGTGCAATGACCAACAAGCATTATGGGTTAAAAAGTGTTTTATTGTATGTGCTTTTTTAATATCCTTTTGTGTACTTGTGCTTTTATAAGTAATTTTTCAGAACTATTATTTTATATAGCTAGTTTAGTAATTTGTTATTATTTAGTATTTTTTAAATAATAAGTGCAGTCAAACCTCAGTTTTACTAATTTTTTGATTGCTTGAAAACGAAGAATGTCCCTTAAAGTTTCATATTTATTTAAAGTTAAAAAACCTTATTTTGACAAAATATTTTTGCTCTCTCCTCTTATGTTTTTTTCCTTTTTTTCCCCTTTAAAAAAATAAACAAAAAATTTAAAAGTAATTTAAACGTATGCTGTGAAAACTCTTCATAAACTATAAAAAAAATGAAGGTTCAAATGATTTTAAAAAGCACAATGAAAACGATATTTCAATTGATCTGTGGAAGATTGGTGTGTGATTCCTGTGTGGAAAGTTAAAAATTCTAGTTTGTTTCCTTCCTTGTCTATAGACAATTGAAATGTATATGGAGTGACCAATCATACTTTTTATGCTCGTTAGTTGGTTTCAGTTTAATGGCACAAGAACCAGGAATGGCTATACTGCGCCAGTCACTAGGTCAAACTGATGTATTTTTTCTTAAAGTGGAGAATAAGGTCCTATAGTCTTGGTAAACTTTAAGAGGTTGTGATGTATAGGGTCACCAAACAAAGATTGAAGATCAGGATAAAATCTGCCAAAAAGTTTGTTCCTCAAATGTTTGAATTGTTTGTAGTCTGTTAAAATATGTTTAATACTAATGTTTTCATGGTATAGAGAATAACTAGGTGCATGTTCAGATTTTTATATATGCATGTGGGTCAAACGGGAATGGCTAATGCGCAGTCTATTGATTATAACCTGGGTTTTGCGATCAACATGTATTGTTTTAAAATTGCCAATATTAGGATAAATTTCGTGCAGTTTATTATTAATTTGTTTATTCAAATCTTCTTTCCAAGTCAGTTGTATGATATATTTACATATTCGTTTAAAATCAAGTAGCTGTTGTAAGATTATTGCTTACATTTTGAGCACGAAATATCAGCACAGTCATTCCTGCGTAGGCCAACATGTGACAGAAGGGGTGGAGTAGTCTCAGCAAAGCAAGTATTGAAAAATTAAACAGGAATCAGGTGGGTGGTTTTGAAGGTGAATGTAGAATTTCTTATCATTTTAACTATTGCAATAAGGGGTTAAAGAAACAACATGTAAATCCATGTTTGTGTTGCCTTATGTTCAAGCTGTCCACTTCTGGGAAAGTTAGAAAACATTTTTGAGGGTCAGAAAAATAAAATTCATTCTGTATTATATACTGTTATAATTTCTTTATATTTTATATATTTTTCCAGATGTCTAAAATGACACATTTCAGTCATCATACATTTGAAATGTGGCAAATAAAATTAGTGGCAGCTTATGACAGATGGTGTAGAAGTTACAATCATCGTCACAAAGATGACCTAACTTTGCTGAGACCTGATATGAGTATTATTATGATGAGTGAAATGGAAAAAACAGTTAATAACATCATAAAAAGTAACTATTGAATTAATTTTCATTATTTCCAAAAAATAAAAATACATACCTATGCTTGCAAGGGCGCCGACAGCGGGGTGCAAGGGGGTGCACCTGAACCCCCTGGCTTTTTTTAAAAACAATTAAAAGAGACACAGAAAAAAAATTTCTTTATAAAATTTTTTATTGAAAATATTTTTATTCAAAAACAAATAATTAAGTAATTATTGATACATAACAATTAAAAAATTGTTTAAGCAAACAAGAATTGTAATCATCTTGTTTGCTGTCCAAATCTGTTTATAACTTTTTCAATGAATTCTGAGTCATCGTTGATTCTTTTCTTATGCACACTGAGCGTGCACAAACTTGGCAAATATCCAAGCTATATTTTTAAATTTCATTTAATAAAATATAAATAATATTATATTTTCTATTAATTATTTAGTTTAACAAACGCGTATACCACAAGCTGACTTCTCACAACTCTAAAACTTCATCAACACAATAAATACCAATGATAAGCGTGCACAAACACATTAGTATACAAACTATGGTTTGTAGCTATTTGTGTTTCAAAGTCAGTAGCTGTGCCAGTGCCATCAATTCCATTTCTCCGGGCAAAATTTGTAAGTACAAGAAATTCGTACTTCTTTTTAAATATCTTGTTAACAATGAAGAAATGTATCTTGAAAAAAATTAACAAATGAAACTATATGTAATAGCAAAACAGTGCCAGCGCCATCAATACAGTTTCTCATAGCAAAATTTGCAATTACAAGAAATTCGTACTTTTTTTTAAATATCTTGTCAACAATGAAGAAATTTATCTTGAAAAAAATTAACAGATGAAAGTATATGTAACAAAATGACAAAATGTAATTACAGAATATTTTAAAAAAAAATGTTTTTCTTTTTTGGGGGTGGGGGTGGGGGGGGTAGTTTGTTAGTGGGTTGCACCCCCTTTTATGTCATTCTGATNACAAACTTAGCAAATATCCAAGCTATATTTTTAAATTTCATTTAATAAAATATAAATAATATTATATTTTCTATTAGTTATTTAGTTTAACAAAGGCGTATACCACAAGCTGACTTCTCACAACTGTCAAACTTCATCAACACAATAAATACCAATGATAAGCGTGCACAAACACATTAGTATACAAACTATGGTTTGTAGTTATTTGTGTTTCAAAGTCAGTAGCTGTGCCAGTGCCATCAATTCCATTTCTCAGGGCAAAATTTGTAAGTACAAGAAATTCGTACTTCTTTTTAAATATCTTGTTAGCAATGAAGAAATGTATCTTGAAAAAAATTAACAAATGAAACTATATGTAATAGCAAAACAGTGCCAGCGCCATCAATACAGTTTCTCATAGCAAAATTTGCAATTACAAGAAATTCGTACTTTTTTTTAAATATCTTGTCAACAATGAAGAAATTTATCTTGAAAAAAATTAACAGATGAAAGTATATGTAACAAAATGACAAAATGTAATTACAGAATATTTTAAAAAAAAATGTTTTTCTTTTTTGGGGGTGGGGGTGGGGGGGGTAGTTTGTTAGTGGGTTGCACCCCCTTTTATGTCATTCTGATTGCTCCATTGTACGCTAGTGATTACAAAATAACGAAATATTATGTATTTTTAAAATTACTTTATAAGCTGTTTATTTTTCTCTGTTTTTCCTGTAAAATTTTTTAAACTATAAATGCATTATATAGTCATTATTTTGTTTGCATAGTTTATTTATTTGTAGGAGAAAAATAATTTTTTGTGGTCCCTTAATATTGTATTTGACCATTTAAATTAATTCATATAAATATTCTTTATTTTTTAAGATATAAATATTTGTTAGCAATTTAGCATAATTTAAATTTTTTTAATTCATTTATCTTAACATACTTTCATAGTGGAAGCTAATTATGGTGAAGTCTAACATATAAGTTATATTTTAGTTTTTGTTTTCATGGTAGAAAGGCTTTTTTAAAATTATACTTTAGAGAAAACTTTTCTTTGTTTCAGATTTAAAACAGCCATTACTTCAATATCTCTCGAACAATTTCAAGCCTGTAAATGAGATCATCCCATCATATCCAGCTGTTTTAGTTGCTTTCATATTGTTTCATGACCTTAACACAGCAAGTCCTGTAAATTTCTTTTTCCAAGGTTAGTACTCCCATTTTCTTCTTCATTACTTTATTTAGTTGGATTTACTTTATTTAGTTACATAGATAAAGATGAAATAAAAAATGTGTGTCTCACACATTTATGTATCATTAGTTTTATATTTTTTATTTGGTTTTTAAGAAAATATGCATTAATTAGATCTTTACAAAGTGTTTAAAATTTTTTTAATTTATACTGATTTTTTAAATAAGTATAATATTGAAAAATATTTAAAAGAGCTAAATTGATTTCAACCTTTTCTGATTATTTATGTGATTTGCATAAGTAGTTAATTTACTGAAATGCGCTGAGCTTTGAGTTCTTTTTCAAGGATGTTACAGCCTAACATGGTGTGTGGTCTTCCTAAGCTAACCTTTATTATTTAACCTTGCAAGTATTTTTTTTTTCAAACTGCCCTTATATCCAAGTTTTGATCCTTCTCTTTCAAATGCAATATGTTATTACATTAAAATGTAAAGCTACCACAAAATGTATATATCATTATCATTAGCACAACAACCCAGGGTTGGTCTTGACCTTTTCAAGAAGACTTCTGGATGCAGTTCTCAGTATATATCATCATCATCATGAGCATAGCAATCCAGGGTGGGCCTTGGCCTTCACCAGAACATTTTTCCTTGCAGTTCTCTTTTTTCCCAGGTTTTGATCTCCTCTAGCTTTGCTACCAATTAGTTTACGTTTGAAAGTTTGGTTAGTTGATCACACAAATCTCATTCTGTTTAACTTTATTCTTCTTCTTCTTCCTTATCCCCAAAGTTAGCAGGGCTAAACAATGTCCATGAAACTCATGACCCAGAGGAAGTCGACCACCAAAAGTGGGTTATTCAGAATGTCCCCTTTGTCTAGACCAAGACAGTCCAACTTGTATTATATCAATAAAATATACATATTACAGGTTTTTAAGCTGCCTCACTATTGAAACTTAATTATTTGTTTGAAATTCAATGCTATTACAATCATAATACATTTACCAACCAAAAAATAAAAAAATATTAACTAACTCTTTTAAAGGTGTATAATAATAAAAATCATATTTAATAAGGCATATAGCCTTAATTTTCTGGATTCTATTTTATCCATTACTTAATATTTTGTCTTTCAAGTAGAATTACTATTTATTGCATTCTACTTATCAAATATTAACTTTCATTATTAAATGCATGTTTGGTTAATTTCTTTTAGTTTAAAGTCATTAACTGTGTTAGTATTAATGGATGAATCTTGTGAGTTAAATGAACATGGAATGAATATTTATGAATGACTGAATGAATATTTATGAATATATCTTTAAAGTAACTCAGTTATTTAGTTTCCTTCTGCATCATGCAGAAGTTATATACATTTTTTTAAATTTTATTTATTTATCTTATTTACATTCTAAGTATACACTACCCTACAATAATGGAAGAGACGCTTTCAGTTTTTGAAGTTTTTTTAAATTTCTCAAGAGATACTTAGAGGATTGTTTTGTAACTTTAGAGATGCTTAGTTCATGCAATTTTTCTAGCATAAAAATAAGATTTAAAGCTTTCAGAGATGTGAGGGCCTAACAATAAATTACGAAAGAGAAAACTAGCAATTTTATATACCCTATGTCAGAAAATCAAGCTGTAAGCTTGTAACTTGTATCGATTACTTTAATTGTTATTTGCAATAACTACATAAAATTTCGTGATTATTGCTTTAATATTTATAGAGATATAGACATTTTTATGAAAAAATAATGAGAATTTTTTTGTCTTATGCTTCTTTGCTGTAACTTTAAAAATATTCAGTAAAATTAAACAAAATTTTTCGAGCAATTTAATATTTAATTGTTTTAAAATTAGAAAAAAGTTATCATAAAACTACGCCAGATATAAAATATTTAAAGTAGTTCTTTTGTACTGCCCATGCTCGAAAAGCATATTTTTTTTTTCTTCATAATTTTGTAGTGAATTTTATTTGGCAACTAATGAAAAAAGTCTTATTTGAATATCTTAAAAACATAAAAAGTTTCAAGCAATTTTCTATGTAGTTTTTGTACCTTTTAAAATAAATCTCAATATGATCAGGGGTTTTCCATTTTGTAGTGCTGTAAATGATCCTACTTTATAACCAGACAGCAAGTACAAAATAAAATTTGTGAAAAATCCCTGATTGTTTTGAGCTTTATTTTGAAAATTACAATAATTACATAGAAAATGTTTAACATATTCAAATAAGACTTTTTTCATTAGTTACCAAATGATTCACTATAAAATTATGCAAAAAAATTTTTTTTAAAAATATTTTGCGCATGCACAGTACAAAAGAACTACTTTAAATATTCATATCTTGCATTGTTTTAAGCTAACTTTTTTCAAATTTAAAACAAAAATTTTTTATTTAATTTTAAATTGCTCCAAATTTTTTTTTAAATTTTACTGAATATTTTTAAACTTATAGCAAAGAAACATAAGACCAAAAAATTAGTTTCCTACAAAAATTTTCATATCTTTATAAATATTTAAGCTAGGCTTACGAAATTTTATGTAGTTATTGCAAATAAAAACCAAAGTAATCTATACAATTTGCAAGCCTATTACTTCTTATAAGGGTGTTTAAAAAAATTTGTTTTCTTTGATTATTTATTGTGGGTTCCTCAAACTCTGAAAATTTTAAATCTTATTTCTAAGTTTGATAAATCTCATGAACTAAACAATTCTAAAGTTACAAAATCCTCGTGTCTTTTCCATAATTGTAGAGCTGTATATATTACAATTAAGAAAATGCAAGTTCTTGTGAAGCATATTTTTATGTATCTTCATCTTTAGTCTCTACAGATATTACTCTAAATAGATATTTTTTGATGTAATAAATATTTTAATATTTTTCTTTCTATTAAATACACTTTGTCAGCTTGTTTATCTTATTTTTGAAAGATTAATTGCTGATGATCTTAAATTTTACTCAATTGATGATATTTTATTATTGTATTAAATTTCTTTAACCTTGAAAATAACGTATATTTAGATCATTTTAATTTAAACTGTGTTTAAATGTGTGAAACTACTTATATTTCATATCCTTGTTTTCTAGATGAACTTCCATTACCTATCTTAGCTGCCAAACTTAGCAACACAAGTGTTTCTCTTGCATCCATCATGTCCATGATAAAGATACTGAAGTCATAACTCCTGTTTGTGTAATATTTTTGTTAATAAAAGCTTAATTAACGTTTTAGATTTATGCCCCTTTTTTTTAACAATTTGCAGCAAAGTTTCTTTGCTGTCATTTCGCTACATTTCTTTAGAAGAATTTATGTATGTATTTTGCCCTCTATCAAAATAATGTTAAGTTTTTTAGACTAAAGTTAAAAACAATGTGGAAAAAGCTCAAATCAAGTACAGAGGTGCACATTCAAAAAAATATGATCTGTAGCTCACTTAGTCTCATTTATTTCAGATAATAAGCCTAGAGTTGCAAAGGCCTATTGTAAATAGCTTTATTAAAAACTAACTGAAAAAAGTCTAGCAAAACTAAGGCTTAGTAAAGAGAGAAATAAAAGAAATATATTAAAAGTAAAACAAGCTGTAGGAAATAACTTAACAGTACTTGGTAATTGTTATTATTCACAAATAGAAATCGGTATCAACATCTATGTTTAGGAAACTAAAATAGCAATAAAAACAATGAAGATTTCAATAGTTACGAACATTTAAATCATTATTTTTTACATGGTTTATTCCCAGGAAAAATAAGTAGCCCTTTATATAAATTTTGATTAAAGCTATAAGCTTGAGCACTCAACCTAAAATATACACATTTAATTAGTAAGCTTGAGCACTCAACCTAAAATATACAAATTTAATTAGTATTAAGTAAATGCTTTCCCTTACTAAAAATATATTTGTTCAGTACACCCTCAAGAATTTACCAGTCATCAGAAAACTAAAGTAAGGTACACATAACTAACAAAAGTAGGGTAAAGTTTTGATTCACATTATGTTATATTTAGGTTTTATGGTTTCGGGCATGTACCCATAAGTAATTGTGTTAATCTCAATCTGTTTCCAGAATTCAAACAGTTTACTTATTCAAGATAATTTCGGGTAAAAAATGATTTTAACAATTATTTATGTTTTATTAATATTTAATTTGAAAGTTGCTAAATATTTCATTAAAAATTATTAACTGTTTTTATATCATCATATAAAACTAAATCTTAAAAACAATCAAATTAACCTTAAATTCAGATTAAAAATGCGAATTTTTTTTTTTAAAAATAATAAATGTATCAATACTGAAAATTTATTATTTTTGCACTGGCTATTTTATAATGGAAACAAACCAAGGGTTTTAATAATCATACAACTTCATCATTTAGAATCATACAGACAAATTGGAAAAGAATACTATAGTACACTAAACAATAAAAAACAAAAACATTTCTTATAATCATTAAAACACTTTATAATTGAAAAAATTATTACTAATGTAAATAAAATTATACATTGAAAATACTACACTAATACAATTAAATGAAGACAGGTGTGGTTTCTAGCTATCATCATTTTTTCTCCCTCAACGAATAATAATTATATTAGTCATAGGACAAGATGTAATATTTAACAGTTAAAAAAAGTCTGAAATAGTTATCAGTACTCAATATTTGAATAGTAAAATGCATAGTGTTATTTATACTTTTTTTAAATAATTTTTGTTACATTGAAAAGTTATAATTTGGAAAAATATCTTGCTTAATAAATATTAAAAAAACAAATACATAATTGGTTATCTAAGATAATAGTTGTAGCAGTGATATATAGTGATAATAAACAGTGCCTACCACTCTTACATTACTCATGCAAAAAAATTATAATATAAATATTATAACACTGCTTTATCAAGCAAAATTCTAATATGTTAATAATGTTCAATTGATAATTGAATGAATTTTGTCATACAAGCTACTTGTTCGCTGAAATTAAAACACTTCTAGCTTAGTTAATGTTTTTAAAAAAAAAGATATACCGGTATTTTAGGAGGTTTAAATTCATATTTTGTTTTTGTTTGCATATTGCTACGTCAACTTGCAACACGTTGACGAACACTTTTTTGTTTAGCAATTTTTTTTTTTTTGGCCCTAAAGAAATTATTTTGACATAAAGGAGGGCTACCTCGAGTAAATGCAGGCTGATTTAATTATTCTTCTTGCATTTTCGAATACTCTTAAGGGCGCATAAGTAGATTGTAATAAGCTTAAAAATTTCTAATCAAGCTGAAAAGAAAATGCTGAATATGTTTCCATGTTGCCTGGAAAATTGCAAAACACCGGCGATAATTTCAAATAACCCGATTTTCCAATTAGCATAAGATATATATAGTATATATTTTAATATAAAAAGCAGTACAGTTTCGATAGTTTGAGCGTTCGCCTTCCAAAGAGGTGACGGATTCGAATCCCAACGATGGCTGGTCGATTCGAATTCTGCTCTCGGCTCACACCGACCACAGTGCTGGCGTAAAATATCTTCAGTGATAGATGGATCATAAATTAGAGACCCTTGTCAGGTTAACCTTGGCAAGTTTTCGTGGTTTTCCTCTCCAAGTAACGCAAATGTGGGTTAGTTCCATCAAAAAATCTACCATGAAGGTGAATTTCTCCCCATACTTGATTCAGGAGTTCCCTTGTTTTCTAGACTGGATTCAAAACTGCAAGGCTACAGAGTTGAACGTTAGTTGTCGTAAACCCGAAACTGGGTTGGCTGTTCAACGACGGTTATAAAATAAAATAAGATAGTCTGCGATTAACAGAACTAGTCTTACTTTAATATATCTAAAACTTGACTCGAATTATCGAGATTCTAAAAGTGATGTCATGGAAATAATTTTTTTTTTTTTTTTTTTTAAATTTCAGTTTAGTGAACCGATATATCACAACATTCTATTCGAGAATTTCTTTTTTTTTCCTTCCTTTTTTAATGCTCTTATTATGGTTTCCTCGCCTATTGTGGTTTGTAGAAAACCTTGTAGCACTCTTTGATCCATTGACTGAAAGAAGAATAATTATGACGTTTGGTGAAAAAAATGTAAAATCATAGCACGGATCTCTACATTTGAGTGTAAATTGCAATGGTGATTGTTCCCTTGTTTCTTATAAATAACTAGCTGAATGCCTTTTTCTTACGGAGTGAATAAAAAAATCAATCAATCAGTACTGAAAAACACATTTTTTTTAAAATTATTGTCATTTGTTGCCTGGTGGCTTTAAGTTATTAAACAAAGCAAAATTTTTTCTTTTACTTCATACCAGCAGAGTAGAGATTCACTGTGTTCAGCATCACTGGGCAGGATGCTAGTGTTCGAGGTCAAATCAATGATAGTCAAAATTTATCACTATAGAGTAATTTTCTCCAGGACATATTCTTTTCGAGGGGCCGTATAAGACACTGATTTCCACCTTATCGGCATTAAAACTGCTCAGTATTTGAACAGTTTTAATAATTACAGTACATGTTAATATTAAATTTTGCACCTAAATTAGTATATTTGATATCTATTACAACTCTTCAACATTTGAGTTTTGTACGAAATACATTTATCAGTGGTAGCGAACTAAAACTGAAATTTTAAAAACAAATAGAATTCTTATAAAACCTTGATGAGGACTTAAGAGCAAGGCTATTTCGCTATCTGACATACGAGGTTTACTCTGAAATTTTTGAGATACGCACAAACGAGAATTTACAAAATAAAAATAACGGTTTAATTTTAAAATACAAAGTATTTTAACACAGCAAACGATTTTTTACTGACTTACTTCAATTTGTGTAGCGTAGAATAAATTTTAAACAGAAGAGAAAATTCAGTTGCCGCGAGAACATTTTCGCGCTATGATTTTCTACGATTTTAAAGCAGGATTAAATCCAGAAGAATGTGTTCAACGTTTGCAATTAGCATTTGGTGATGAATCTCCAGCTCTTGCTACTGTATACAGATGGTTTAAAGAATTTAGCAGAGGTCGCAATTTTCTTCAGGATGAAGAACACACAGGAAGGCCGCCGTCGGCAGTAATCCCGGATAATGTGTCTGCCATACGAAAAATGTTAAAAGGATGATAATCGCTGTACCTATCAAATTATACAGAAAGAACTTACCACTGGATCCGCAGCCATACACAAAATTATTCATGAAGAATTACATATGAAAAAAGTAGTTTGTCGTTGGGCACCCCATAATCTAAATGAGCACCAAAAAGAGGAGCGTGTCAGAATCATTCAAGAAACTCTTAAATTGCTAAATGATGGTGGCCACCACATCATTTCAAAAATTTTAACTGGTGATGAAACGTACTTATCATTTTTTGACGTTCCAACGCGTCAAGAAAGCAAAGTATGGGTCTTTGACCTTTGAAGATAGTGAAAAGACAACGCGCACTAAAAAAAGTGATGTATGCCGCTTTCTTCAGAAGTACGGGATTGGCTAAAGCCATCAAGTTGGAAGGACAGAAGACAGTAACAGCAAACTGGTATTGTACCACTAAATGTCTTCCAGAAATTCTACAAGAAGTGAATGTTAGGGGACTAATGCTTCACCATGACAATGCATCTTCATATACAGCCGGATTAACAGTTGAGTTTCTTAAACAAAAACAAATTAAAGTGATAGAACATTCGCCGTATTCACCTGATCTTGCCATGTGTGACTTTTGGTTATTCTTTGATCCAAAAAAGAACTTAACGTGGACGTCGTTTTCATTCAGAAGAAGAGATTGATGTGGCTATAAATGCATTTTTTCATCCATTCCAAGAAATGAACGACTTGAGGCACTTAATTTGTGGAAAATTCCACTACAAAAGTGCATTGATGCTAGAAGAGACTACTTTGAACACACCTAAAATTTTGTAAGTGTAACTTTAAAAGCCCAGTTGTATCTCAAAAATTTCAGAGTGACCCTCGTATAATATATTGTTTAAAATATATCTAGTAGTGGTGGAAAAAAGCTCTTTTAATTCTAATTTATAAAATAATAATACTCTATCTTATCTACCAAGAGAAAAAATATTTTCTGAATGTGGAAGGAAAATCCGGCTTGGAATTCTTATTAAAACTGCGCCCATTACCACAATACCTGTAATACGTATTCCCAAAATTAATTAGGCATCATCTGATTAGAAACCTTGCTTTTTAGTAAGTTTATTTTTTATTCCAATTAATAAGGTTTACCAAAATAAATTAAG